TGGTAAAAAGTGACAAATTTCTTTAAGGCTTTGCAACTTAAACAACTTCGTTTTGTTTAGTTTTTCTGGACACGAATCGCCTTATTTCGATCGAAATTCAAGTTTTAGACTTTCAAAGTATCCCAGTGCTCTTTTGGTATACAAACACAAACGACAGAAAAAAAACAAATACCGAAATATCGCAAAATTTTCAAAATCAAATTCACTGTGAATGTATCTCATCTTAAGTGACTGTAATGCCCGCAATAACCTAAGAGGTTTAGATTTACTGTTTAGGTTTATTCTTAACTTAAGTTTAGGTTTTATTCACTGATCCTAGACTGGTTTTTCGCGCACCTAAGTTGAACGTTTATACTGCAAACATTTCAGCCAAACAGGATGGAAATTCACAGCGAAGATCAATGCCCAAAATATATAGTTCACATGCATGCTTTTTTGCAAGTGAATCTTTAGGGTATACTGATAAAGACTGCATGCTTATAGTGTTTCTTATCTAGAGCACTGGAATGGTGACAAGTCAAACACAAAATTGAACATAAAAGCTGCGAATTATATATACTTTTCACAGTAACATGCATGACATGCGAGTTAACAGCAATGTCTATATTTTACCGTCCAAATAGGTTCACCGTTAATTATCATCCTGAACGAAAACGTCGAGAGTTTTTTGTCATGAACACCAGTTTCTTTTTTTGCAGCTTGCATCCTTGTCGTCGTTTTTATAGGTTTGCCACTTGTATTGCCATCATAGGATTGGCGTCGCCTTTTTGTCTCAGACGCATCGGACCCCGTATTTTAAAACAGTTCGCTAATTATGGCGTCCATATTGTTGGAATTGGTCTGGTTTTAATAACAACTGTGCATGGTTTAAGATGAATTCACAGAAGTTCACGTTTGATATGCAAACCTGCGAAAGAATTGGAGAATAGCTATATTTAGTACTCAAATAAAATTTTCCTTTCTTAAAAAATCCTTCGTAAAAATCCTTCACTGCATGACTTATTATTTTATTCAAACTATCAACGACTTTAAACATATACTTACATCAATAAAATAGCAGAGATGTCTTTTGTTGAGAATTCCTGGAGGCGATCTAGCTTGATTGGCTGTTCACTGTTCGTCTTTGCGTGATCGTTTTTCGCAGGCAATATTTATTTCTAGTTCTTTTGCATGACGATGCTGTTCAGTCGTCGTTTTGATAGGATCGCCACGCTTTTTCACTTTGACTACGCACTACGAGTCGTTTAGGACCTCGAGCTCAAAAACTGTTCGCTTGATTCATTTTGCATCCAAATTCGAACCATTTTACTCCTGATGATGTTCTTCAAACGCCTCCAATGACGGTTCCACAATTTCTTGAATAACTGAATACGCATCTCAGGTCATCTCTTCACGACCATCTATACACCCTCTGGTTAGAGACAATGCTTTAAACATTTGTTGAAAGATTCTTCCATTCAGAGTCTTGCATTGGCTCTTATTTGCATCACAGAAATCAATCTGAAAAAGATGTTAGTAACCTTACCTTGAGGCTAATCATCACCCCTGAAACGAGACAATAGAAGTATGACATAGGGAATTAGTATACCTAAAATAGAATGGTTAGTAAAACTACAAACTACCCTAGAAAAGAGACAAAAATAGTATGAAATGAGTTAGTACCCTAAATAAGAGAACGGGGTCTCGTTAGTATTGGCCTAAAAAGAAAATTCTAAAAAAGAGAACAGAGGTGTTAGTATTTGCCTAAAGAAAAAATGGAGTTAATATTCTAAAAAAGAGAAGAGAGGTGTTAGTATTCTAAAAAAGAGAACAGTTGTGTCAGTATTTGCCTAAAGAAAAAATGGAGTTAGTTTCTAAAAAAGAGAAAACGGAGTTAGTTAGTATTCTAAAAAAGGAAGTGTTAGTTGAAGTTAGCCACGATCGAAGTTTGTGCCATCCATCTTCATAGCTTCAGCATCCTTAAACTACGCTTGTTTTACTTTATATTAACAAGGTTTATGCATATGTCCAGTTGCCTGGATCGTTTGTCTACATTTTGACTACCCTGAAAAAAAGGTGCATAACTAAATACCCTAAAATGGAAAGTCCTAGTTATTTCTAGTTACACTGACTTGTTTTAAGAAGCCATATCCTATAAAATCATAGATTATGCTTTCTTTTGTAACTACAGTATTTCTATTAACAGCAATTGTTCATTTACAAAAATCGTTATCACTTACTTGCAACAAGTTCGTTTTAAATCTGTTTGTTTTGACTTTTGTTTATTTTTTTTCTCTTTTATGTCATAAAAGTTTTGTATCCATCCATTTCTTTTAAAACACGACGTGCCAGTATTTACTTTATATTCACAATGTTCATGAAGTTAGCAATATTTTCTAAAGTTTCAAAGAAACTTGTGCTTGTATTTACTTTATATTCACAATGTTCATGAAGTAGCTATGTATTTATTACAATATTTCTTATAGTCCGAAATTTATGGGGCCCAACCCTTCATGCCTATTGTAACCGCTTGTTGTACGTTTGACCGAACTAATTCCGCGTTATGAAAATATGCTTGTATTTACTTTATATTTACAATGTTCATGAAATTAGCGATATTTCCTATAAGAAACTTGTGTTTGCATTATTACTTTCTATTTACAATGTTCATAAAGTAAGAAATATTTCTTATAGTCCGAAATTTATGGGGCCCAACCCTTCATTCCTATTGTAACCGCTTGTTGTACGTTTGACCGAACTAATTCCGCGCGTGTTATGCAAATGCTACCAACACAGCAATACTGTAAAGTTACGTAGTAGATATATAGTCCGGATAGTGCAAAGTATCTTAAAAATTCCTAAGGGGCCCCCAAATACAAATAAAACACAAACTTTGAAAGCCAGGTCATCTACTTCGTAGTCGCACTGTAATCATCGATTCTTTGCATGGCGTTGCTGTTGGTCGTCGTCGTACGGTCGTCGTTCGGTGATCGTTTTTCGTGGGCAATATTTAATCCTCATTCTTTGCATGGCGTTGTTGTTGGTCGTCGTTCCCTGATCGTGTTTCGTGGGCAATATTTAATCCTCATTTTTTGCATGGCGTTGCTTTTGGTCGTCGTCGTACGGTCGTCCTTCGGTGGAAGTTTTTCATAGGCAATATTTAATCCTCATTCTTCGTACGCTGTTCGCTCGTCGTTTTTAAAGGATCGATCGTCACTGAATTGCAGTCGTTTTTTTGGCTCAAACGACGCGTACGTTCTACTAAGAGTCACTTTGAACCACGTGTTTTAAAACTGTTCGCTTATTTAAGGCAGTTCAATATCCTGCATCAGATTCGACTTTAACCCCGATTATTCTGAGGAGAAAGCTGTAGGCTATCGTCTGTGCGTGTTGCATCCATATTGTTGGAATTGGTCTGGTTTTAATAACAACTGTGCATGGTTTAAGATGAATTCACAGAAGTTCACGTTTGATGTGCAAACCTGCGAAAGAATAGGAGAATAGCTATATTTAGTACTCAAATAAAATTTTCCTTACTTAAAAAATCCTTCGTAAAAATCCTTCACTGCATGACTTATTATTTTATTCAAACTATCATCGACTTTAAACATACTTACATCAATAAAATAGCGGAGAAGTCTTTTGTTGAGAATTCCTGGAGGCGATCTAGCTTGATTGGCTGTTCACTGTTCGTCTTTGCGTGATCGTTTTTCGCAGGCAATATTTATTTCTAGTTCTTTTGCATGACGATGCTGTTCAGTCGTCGTTTTGATAGGATCGCCATGCTTTTTGACTTTGACTACGCACTACGAGTCGTTTAGGACCTCGAGCTCAAAAACTGTTCGCTTGATTCATTTTGCATCAAATTCGAACCATCTTACTCCTGATGATGTTCTTCAAACGCCTCCAATGACGGTTCCACAATTTCTTGAATAACTGAATACGCATCTCAGGTCATCTCTTCACGACCATCTATACACCCTCTGGTTAGAGACAATGCTTTAATCATTTGTTGAAAGAATCTTCCATTCAGAGTCTTGCATTGGCTCTTACTTGCATCACAGAAATCAATCTGAAAAAGATGTTAGTAACCTTACCTTGAGGCTAATCATCACCTCTGAAACGAGACAATAGAAGTATGACATAGGGAATTAGTAACCTAAAATAGAATGGTTAGTAAAACTACAAACTACCCTAGAAAAGAGTCAAAAATAGTATGAAATGAGTTAGCACCCTAAATAAGAGAACTGGGTCTCGTTAGTATTTGCCTAAAAAGAAAATTCTAAAAAAGAGAAGAGAGGTGTTAGTATTTGCCTAAAGAAAAAATGGAGTTAATATTCTAAAAAAGAGAAGAGAGGTGTTAGTATTTGCCTAAAGAAAAAATGGAGTTAATATTCTAAAAAAGAGAAGAGAGGTGTTAGTATTTGCCTAAAGAAAAATGGAGTTAATATTCTAAAAAGAGAAGAGAGGTGTTAGTATTCTAAAAAAGAGAACAGTTGTGTCAGTATTTGCCTAAAGAAAAAATGGAGTTAGTTTCTAAAAAAGAGAAAACGGAGTTAGTTAGTATTCTAAAAAAGGAAGTGTTAGTTGAAGTTAGCCACGATCGAAGTTTGTGCCATCCATCTTCATAGCTTCAGCATCCTTAAACTACGCTTGTTTTACTTTATATTAACAAGGTTTATGCATATGTCCAGTTGCCTGGATCGTTTGTCTACATTTTGACTACCCTGAAAAAAAGGTGCATAACTAAATACCCTGAAATGGAAAGTCCTAGTTATTTCTAGTTACACTGACTTGTTTTAAGAAGCCATATCCTATAAAATCATAGATTATGCTTTCTTTTGTAACTACAGTATTTCTATTAACAGCAATTGTTCATTTACAAAAATCGTTATCACTTACTTGCAACAAGTTCGTTTTAAATCTTTTTGTTTTGACTTTTGTTTATTTTTTTTTCTTTTATGTCATAAAAGTTTTGTATCCATCCATTTCTTTTAAAACACGACGTGCCTGTATTTACTTTATATTTACACTGTTCATGAAGTTAGCAATATTTCCTAAAGTTTCAAAGAAACTTGCACGTGCTTGTATTTACTTTATATTTACAATGTTCATGAAGTTAGTAATGTTTTCTAAAGTTTCAAAGAAACTTGTGCTTGTAGCTATTTACTTGATATTTACAATGTTCATGAAGTTACCAATATTTTCTAAAGTTTCAAAGAAACTTGTGCTTGTATTTACTTTATATTTACACTGTTCATGAAGTATGTATTTATTACAATATTTCTTATAGTCCGAAATTTATGGGGCCCAACCCTTCATGCCTATTGTAACCGCTTGTTGTATGTTTGACCGAACTAATTCCGCGTTATGAAAATATGCTTGTATTTACTTTATATTTACAATGTTCATGAAATTAGCGATATTTCCTATAAGAAACTTGTGTTTGTATTACTTTCTATTTACAACGTTCATAAAGTAAGAAATATTTCTTATAGTCCGAAATTTATGGGGCCCAACCCTTCATTCCTATTGTAACCGCTTGTTGTACGTTTGACCGAACTAACTCCGCGCGCGTTATGCAAATGCTACCAACACAGCAATACTGCAAAGTTACGTAGTAGATATATAGTCTGGATAGTGCAAAGTACCTTAAAAATTCCTAAGGGGCCCCCAAATACAAATGAAACACAAACTTTGAAAGCCAGGTCATCTACTTCGTAGTCGCACTGTAATCATCGATTCTTTGCACGGCGTTGCTGTTGGTCGTCGTCGTACGGTCGTCGTTCGGTGATCGTTTTTCGTGGGCAATATTTAATCCTCATTCTTTGCATGGCGTTGTTGTTGGTCTTCGTCGTTCCGTGATCGTGTTTCGTGGGCAATATTTAATCCTCATTCTTTGCATGGCGTTGCTTTTGGTCGTCGTCGTACGGTCGTCCTTCGGTGGAAGTTTTTCATAGGCAATATTTAATCCTCATTCTTTGCACGCTGTTCGCTCGTCGTTTTTAAAGGATCGATCGTCACTGAATTGAAGTCGTCTTTTTGGCTCAAACGACGCGTACGTTCTACTAAGAGTCACTTTGGACCCCGTGTTTTAAAACTGTTCGCTTATTTAAGGCAGTTCAATATCCTGCATCAGATTCGACTTTAACCCCGATTATTCTGAGGAGAAAGCTGTAGGCTATCGTCTGTGCGTGTTGCATCCATATTGTTGGAATTGGTCTGGTTTTAATAACAACTGTGCATGGTTTAAGATGAATTCACAGAAGTTCACGTTTGATGTGCAAACCTGCGAAAGAATACGAGAATAGCTATATTTAGTACTCAAATCAAATTTTCTTTCTACGACGTAAAAGCATTCACTGGCGAATTATTCTAATCCACAATATTCGCCTCCGACAGTATAGCTATATAATTGGTCTGAAAATAAACTTAAAGGCCCCTTGAAATTATCCACGCATTTTTAATCCTTATTCATTGCGGTATACATTTTACAATCCATCTCCATCCTGGCTAATTTTAAAAGGTCTGTTAATCCTTTCTAGTATTTCATATTTAGGTGTTGCCGGTCTATGCTTTTACGGCCTTATTTTTCATTTTATCCAATCCTAGAACAATATTTATCGCTTTTACTAAAATCTGTGAAACAGAGTCGAGAAAAACTTTCGTGCTGGTGAAAATTGCTTCACGGGTATAAAAACATAGCTACTTTAGGCCACCAATTTCACCAGCAACTACAAACATTTGTAATTTTGATAATTTTATAAATTTTCCGGCAAAAATTATACCGTACATACTCATATGACTCATGTTTCGTGTTCTCTCGTGGTTTTTGTTGTCATTGTTTCATGAATGTATAAAAAATTTGATCTAAACTGGCTCAAAGGCGAACGGCATAGGCATAGCTCAATCAGTCCTCAAGTTTGGATCAAACCATCAACAACTTCAAACATATATACTTACATCAATAAAATAGCAGAGACGCCCTTTGTCGAGATTCCTGGAGGCGATCTTGATTGGCAGTTCACTGGATTTTGAAGCACATCATTCTGAAAGTAGACATCTTTGTCATCTTCGTCGATTCCAAACGAGCAATTGTCTATCAACAGAGAAACGTAAATTGAATATTAGAAGTACTGCTTCGATTCAAAAATTCATGATCGAATCATGAACTAATTACACCACACGTAAGAGAACTAAGAAAGATAAAATACTTACAAGTTTATTGGAAAGGTTTCCCTGGATAAGTGAAATATTATCAGCCTTCCTCAAACCCTTCACAGCTCGCATTTCGAAAACGTTTGCATGGTTCTTGCGGTGTATTCTTGTCAAGTGAATTAGAGCTTTGGGCGTAAGGATTTAGTCTGGCATCGTATGCATGGATGGGAGGGTCTAGAAAATCAGAAATCTGTGCATTTCATTGGCTAAGCAACATCATCAGTACAAATGAACGCGGGTGATTGGTTGGATATTTTGGATTGACCAACCAGTGAACCAACCGACGGAGCGAAGTCAACCAGAGGCTATCAATATTAGTTGTTCTCAAAACGAGTAAACAACAACTAAGGGAACGCATTTAAAACAATAGGTAATGAGAGATCTGAAATGATTATCTCTTGTTTTGAATGCATTCCGCTCATAATCGCACTTAAATCTATGCAAAAAAGCCAAAGCAGGAAATATATTCTTTTGAAATTTCTTTTGTCTTGTCTCATGCTTGAAGTCTTGTGACTTGTGCTTTGTGGTTATGTCGATGCTTGTATCCCACGGTGATTTCATTTCTTTGTTTTGCCTTTTTTCATTCTTTATCCTTGTTCTTATTTCACTCGTGTGAACCAGACCTTACTCATGCCAACTGCATACAATTTAAATCGATCATGAAATCAATATATAATAACCATTGTAATAACCAACGGTTTTCATACTACAGGGTGTCTCAAAAAAACGCAACCACTTAAATATGCAAGACATTAATACAGCTCTAAAGCACAATAGATAAGCACCTCTGGGAATTGAAAATGGCTCTTTAATCCTTCATTTAAAATGCTAAAAGCCATTTTAGCTGAACTGTGGTGCAAACCCGAACAATATTTAAAATATTCTTGCATATTTAAGTGGTTGTGTTTTTTTTAGACACCCTGTACACTTGAAAAGTTCGTGAGCTTATCATCTTTGTCACAAGGGACAGCGTTTTACCGTTCAGTTCATGAGAATATTTTTCTGTACACCTATTTTTGCTTCGTGCCTCTATCTACCTATTTCCATTAAGCACTTCGCTATATTTTGGTTATTCCATTTCACCAGACCAGTGTTGTTGTTTTAAGGAAAGTTCGTTACCAGACATAATTGACAAATCTACAGATTTTGACTGAGTCAGTTTTTATTAGCAATTTATGTGGTTGTCTTTTAAGACACATTGATACAGTCATATTATAAAAAATGTCTAGACTTACAAATGTTTATATATTAGTGTTTCGATTTTTTCCAAAACGTTCTCCAAACATTTCCTTACACGTCAAAATGCACGTCAAAAACATTTCCTTACACGTCAAATTTGTAAATAAACAATGATTTTTAAGTGGTAAGGACTTTTAGCGCATTTTAAAATTTTTGCCCAACCCCTTGATCTTGAAAAAAAGGCAGCAACACCGTCCTTGCGCATCCTCACTTTGAAACATTTTATCACCTCAAAATCATGTCATGCTTTTTGTAATCTCGATTACGCGTGTTTTGTAATCTCAACTACCCGAACAGCCGAACAAATGGTGATGCCATTTCAATCATCATGCACTAACGTTAAATACTGTCTGAAAGAAATTCAATGGATTGCACTATGCTTAAAGACGTGGACTAAGAAAATGTTAAGATTGTAGTTGATTCGTTCAAACTCAATTTTACAATTTTATTTTATAGCAATTATTTTACAGTTTAAAATTATATACCTACATAATTAAGACATTTATCTGCTAATTTGTATAATATAATCAATAAAAATCAATCCCCCCCAAAAATGTAATTTCAAGAGTTAATTGGTGCATTTAGTGTCAAACAGTCGGGACAGGATGACATGACAGCTGGTTGGTATGTTTCCACCTGAAGTGTTATGTGAAATAATCGGAACTGTTCCTTCAGTAACTGTAATGCTTGCTGGAGAATATCCTGAGAATCAATATTTAGGTCTACAAAAGAAAAGTATATAAACCAAAATGTATTAACCGAACAAGCCCCGTTGAACACGACTTGGGCAATGTCTTGCGGTATTGTCTTACTCATAACTGATTATTACGTTATCTATCGCGAAAAAATGAAATGTCACTGGTTCTACTACGACTGTCGTTTCAATTTCAAAATTGTCAAATTTCATCACCTAAAACTGGCATACAAGGGTATGGGTGTAAGAGAAAGGGTTTCCATACTGGTGATAGATAGTTTCTATTGCAGTAAACAGGGCATGAACGGAAGGGAATAATGCAACTCTACTAAATCAAAAAGAGAAAGAAATACATGGTCTTACCAATTGCTAAATGAGCCGTCAAACAGTGTTTATCGACATTCAAAGACCAAATATGTAAATTGTGAACCATCATCACTCCAGGTATATCCTTCAACATTGATTTGACTTGAAAATAATCAAATGATTTGGGCGAGCCTAAAAATATTTCTTTAATTAAATCAAGGTGATACAATCAAAAGATGCCGTAGGAAGCATCTTGAAACATCCCACACTATCCGTGTAATATATCGTACTGATTGCTGCATCGGTTGTATTTGAAATCAGGTTTAGACCCTTTTCCACTGCTGCTCTCATTGAGAAAACATGAAACCAAACAATGCGAAAGTCTAAAGGCCAGTTTACATTTGCAAATTTAGGTGCGATTTTCTTCTTTTGGTAGATGTGAACGAATAATAAGTTACGTATTGCTCTGATGTGTAAGAGCCCTTACTTGAACATCAGTGACTCATTCACTCGTTCACATCTATCAAAAGAAGAAAATCGCATATGAACTCGCAGCAAAAATCGCAAGCGTAAACGGGCCTTAACAGATTTAAAAATCACAAGCAATCAGAGAGAGGTAACTCCCCTTAAAAAAAAGAGCGAGGAATCCCCGCCGAAACGCACGTGGCGAAAAAAGTAGTTAGTGAGTTTTCCAAATGCGTAAGATTAATTGTAACTGAAACCTTTTACTGTTTATAGCCGTTATGAAAATTTAAAAGGACAAGAGGGATCGTCGGATTAGTTCGCAGGGCTCATAATAACAGAACTACAATAGAATCACAAGCTTAGAGGACGTATAAAATTAAAACAGGTAGCCCCTCTAAGCAAGTATTACATCATTCAACTTACCTTCGCATAAAATATGAAGTGCGTCTCGTAAAATACCGATCGTTGTTAACAGAACCAAGAATGAAAAGAGAAATGTGCATATTGGATCAGCAACCGCCCATCCAGGCTGTTAGAGAGAGGAATAAAATTAAAAGTTTTCTTAATTGAGTGAATAAGTTTTCCTTGAAAACATTTTTAAAAAATATTTCTTGTAACTCATACATAAGAGCAAATTTTCTTGTTGGAAATTTCGTATGACTGCATACATAAACGACATATAAGCAAGGCTCCTTCAGGTCAATTCTTGCCAAAAAAGACTTGCCTGTCTGGTCGGAGCGTGATTCAAACTCAATAGAAATTCTTAACTTGGGTTTGCTACAGTATAATTCATTCATATATCGGGTACAAAATAGCAACTCAGCTCATATATGCCACTGACTTGCAGCCCATTCACTGTGGCCCAATAGAGATGCAAAATGCTGACTCTTTTACTGTATGTATGTGGAAACACTGGAAGTCTCTCTGGTTTAATACAGTCCTTAAGGACATTTTACCTTAAATTTGATGACTAGTGCAGCAATAAGTACCCCAATACTTTGAACAGTATCACCAACGACATGAATAAATGCTGCCCTGACATTTATATTTTTCTCATCTGCAGAATGATGAGAATGCATGCCACCATGTGAATGAGCCACACCTGATTCATGAAGGATGCAACCCAAGCTATGTAGGGGAAAAATATGAATAGGTACACCAGCTATGGTAAGATTTTAACTACAGTAGCCCAAGTTGAAAAATGGGCTCGGTTTTTCTTTTTCTGTCGCAAGTTTACAAATATCACATGTGGGCAGCACGAATTCTTCAAATAAATTGAAATCATTCTAGGATCGCCTCAGGTGTAACAAACATGTCATAACACCAAAAATTAGCCATTACAAACTCAAGGGAGATATAACTGTAGCCCAAGTGAATACCTGAGCAGGCATCTTGTCAAATATATTAATGTTTCCCTGCATAAGAATACTTAAACCTGATGGGATAGACATAGTTTTATACTTACACAACATTGACACAAACACCAAATGAAGCTGTAAAAATCATGATATTTGCATCAATGTTATATTCTTTCTGCATGATCCGATGTACTGCCATATATACTAATACTGCTGTTAAAAACCATATGACAAGGACAGATAATACAGCACCAAGTATTTCTGTTGGAAAAAGTAAAAATTGTTGGATTCCATTCTAATCCAGATTCCAGAAAGATATGGGTACAGAACACACAGAAGTGTTTTAGTGGATATTTACAACAATTCATACCTGCACGGTAAAGTCCAAATGTTCGTTTATGATTTGCCTGTTTCTTGGCAATATAAAGAGCAAACATACTTATACAAAATGTCCCAAAATCAGAAAACATGTGTGCGGCATCTGTCATTATAGCCAAACTTCCAGCATAGATACCACCTTAAAAAACACAATATGTGTTTAATATTTGTAAATTATTGCCCTATATACCCAGGTCCCCACTACAGAAAAAAGAACATATTTGTCAACACTAGACAATGTGGATTGTATGATCTACAATGCAGTCAGCTCCATGTTGCTACCTACATATTTTGCTGGGAAATTATTTATGCCAACATCATTCAAATATTTTAATTGTGATAAGAATCTCTGATGTCTAGCTGATATTACGTAGAAGCTGCTTTCACATTGCCCAGAAGCTCATTTCAAGGCATTGTAAGATTTATGCATAGTTTTGTTCTGCAAGCACATTGTCAAACTGGCTGCAAGAATTATAAACTTAATATTTCTGGTTGGTGGAAAGCAATGTCAGTCTACAGACATTTCACATATTTTTCAGCAATAAAAAATATAACCACTCTGGGGTTTTCAAAGCTACCTGTATCTGTGTAATCTGTCAGGATCTATTGTTTAATTAAATTACCCATACATCCCACATCCTTTTCTTCCAAGGAAAGTCTATACATTAAATTTTTAATTTCCCAATAGAGGCTAAGTGTGATCACACATTGTCAGGCTTGAGAGGATAGTGTTTTCAAATTCTGAAACGCATTAAACACATAGCTAATCCACATATCTTTCTGATCGATTCCACTGAAACAATTTCAAACTAGGGGATATTGTTACACTGTACGAAACTGCCTGACTAGACACCTGATGGTTTGAAGTATGAATTTTTTACTTAAGCTACAACAGTCCAAACTGCTTGCTTAATGCAGCAGGAACTGGTGATGTTTATCCTACTTTTATGACTGTTTTTGTACCAAATGATACAATATTAGATATTGCCAAGCTATTATTTCATCATATAAACTTAGGTCTGACTAGCTCAGGAAATTGTTTGTTTGGTATTACCAGGGTTGGAATTCAACACAGAGTTCACTTATGGTATTAAACATCAATTGGCATTACTTCTTGGAATCTGTAATCTATGTGCTTGAAAATTTAGCCAGATTTTTTAACCATGCACGTTTTTTCAGCGCATTCTTACCACAGGGAAACGACAATCGAAAAGCAACAGCTAAATAAGTATTTACATTATGTAGTCGGCGAATTATAAAAAAATTATGGCGATTATTGGGCAATAATTGTACGATATAAACTACGCAGTCTACATATTATCAACCGAAATATCTACTTACCAACTACTTCTCCTACGGCAAAAATAAAACATAAAGTACTAGCAATTATCAATTTTTTCCATGCTTTTCTGTTTGATGTCACCAGCCTAAGATCATGACAATGTATTAATTCCGTCATGTTGTCAGGCAAATTCATTGAGTTCATAGTTATATTTTCTGCCCCTTCGTGTAGTTGAATAAACGGCTCTTCGTCCTCGTTTTTACGACTTGGCATTCCTCTGTCATTTATCCCACTGTGTAGATACCCTATATAGTTTTGTTTCAACGTGAACTCATACAATAAATATTACGTAAAAATTCAATAAAACAACACATCATATTAACGATCCAGTTGATTGTGACGATCACAAGAAGAAAGAAGTATTGCGCATGCTTAGAACACAATTTAGGGGGCAGTGGGAATATTTTGTATTCGGAGTACTGAATGCGGAGATAGGAATGCGGAGTTGGCAGAATACGAAAAGCTTACGGTAGGAGATTGATAATTTACATAGGGCAAACCGAACTTTAGAACATATTTGGAATAAGAATAACAGTAAAAGTTTGCGTAACGGTTTATTGCAACGGTTTTTGAATTTATTGTAATGGTTATGCAGTATAATCTTAACATAAAAAAAGTTTACATACACCATTGTGGATTATAAAAGGGTTATATATACACCATTGTGCATTATAAAACGCTAGACACTACATGCTGGTAAGTTAAAACGTGGAACATTGTAAAATTGAGTTCATCATGTGCATACAAATGATAAATATGAATATGAATCAGTTGAACTCAGTTTGCATGCCGGGGAAGTCTTCATTCAATGTTTATGTCTTCCTCGAAGTAGGACAACAGAAACATGATTGCAAAGCCAGTTAGAATGCCCAAATTTTGAAAGAGAAATCTTGAAAAGCATGATACCGCATTGAATTCAGCACTGTGCATCAACTCTGGTAACTAAAACGGAACAAAAAGAAAGTAATTGACGACTTTAATCAGGTACAACAGAAACCATGCAAGACACTAGGAATGGTCAGAATCGTCATACAATATTTCTAGCAAATAATACATGCATGCCCCTGAATTAAGGCTGTTGAGTTTTATGCTTCGTTTGAGGTTATACCATGTTAGTAAGTGCGATGTAAATAAAGAATCCACCAGTTGCAGCAAAAATCCATAAATTAATGTCTTCACTGACGTCCGAAATTAGTATTCCCATGACCAAGCCAACGAAACAGAAGCAAGCTGAGATAAAGTTAGCAAGCAATGCCTTCTTCACAGACATCCCTGCTGTTAGCAGCACGGCAAAGTCACCTGTGAATGAAGAAAACAGTAACATGCATTATTCTGGGCTGGGTTTGCTACCACTCTTTTGAGGCTGTAAAAAAAAATTCTTACGACGGAAAAGGATATAACTGGTGTAGTCATCTTAATTCATGCAGACATTTATAGAGCAAAATTACAGTGCAATTTTACTTTACGTCCAGACACAAAGGAAAATATTTCCAATCCCTCCTCTTCCCCAACCTCGCAAGCCAGCGTGGCCCGCGAGGAGCGTAGGTAAAAGAGCCTGGCTTGCGAGGTTGCCTCTCCCCCTTCAAATTGTATAAGAAAAACCATCCGCCCTTCCACGGGAAAAGCTATACCCCTTCATCTCCAAACAATTGAACTACGATATAATCACTACATTTCAAAACGTATCTGCATGCCTGCTCACCAACGGAACGAGTTTTCTATTAGCGATATTTTTGAAGTGATGCTATATTTCGTTTACCATTCAGAAAAACTGAATGCTCAAAGACAGATGGAAAAGGTCGTTTCCGGTATTAACTCCGATATACGAGATAATGAAGAAAAGATTATTGGAATCCAAGATATCCATACACTTCTTAACTTCGTAGATGGATACCTACCTAATTCATGAGGCAGCTCATGACAGAACACTGCGATAGAAGTGCTTATTCCCCCAGCTATACTATCCGAGAACGCCACGCCAATGGCTATACCATCAGCAACATTATGGATTGTATCACCAATAATGATATTCCATGCCACCGCAGAAATCGTTTTCTTAACCTCTCCTTCCTCTCTGATTTCCGATGTCTTTGGAACATTTTCATCCTTTTCACATACGTGAACATACAGAAAAAATATTACTTCGTGTGGTGTAAGGCTGTGTGTCTGCTCTCCCCCTCCCAAAAAAGGAATGATGCACAAATAGCACTCAATAAAATTCGTAAATTCAACTGATTTCAAATGTGTTCATCACGGTTGCCAGATTACCGAAAAATTACAGAAGCCAAATAATGTTGTGGTTGGCCCTTTGATCTTTGAGCACAAAGAAAACGAACATTATGATCATAATAATGTTCGACTAATTTATTCAATAATCTAGATGCATGGTGTTCATCAACCCTGCATGCATGGTGTTCATGAAATGGTAAATATCAAAGTTATACCTTGACGTTCTGGCTTTTGCCAAATTCGTCAGGCCCTCCACTGTTCACGTAACCCTTTAAGATCAAATGTAATGAATGATCAACATAGATTATTTGGAAGATTATGATTTGAGCGGGTGGATACAAAAATATGAAATAAAGCAATGTGACAACTGGAAGAAATTCGTTGCCTGTCACTCCACCTACCATATTCATTGATGCGACACCCGGGTTCTTATGGCTGTAACCAGATTCCACTGCAGCTACCTCTGTTACATTGTGATCATGATCATGTGAATTAATTTGTTTGTGTCGTCGAGTATGCTGAAATATTAAATTGATGCTGTTTTCTTACACTGTTGCAAGTCAAACACATGCAGGAGTCCAATTATATCCTCTTCTTTTTAAACATATTATTCTATCATGTCATCGAGACCTAATTTGACTGATTAACGTACCTCCATGGAATGTGATTGACCAATTGACTTGCGTAGAAACAGGTGTGTTATAGTTTCAAAGATGAAAAACACATAAATAGCGGCAGTTGCGACAAGAAATTTCCATAAATAGTCTCTGTCTTCACTCTCACCCGTTGACTCAGAACCATGACTATGATCATGATTAGCATGAAAACCAAGTGCCTTCAAAATGTAAAAATCAGATCATTTCTCTACTAAAAATTCTACTGTCTGACACTTAACTTAACCCTTTTTCTAAGTCATCAGATAATGGCGTTCTTAGAGAATACTCTCTACCAATAAAAAACCTTGTCTGACTAAAAACGGCAATTTATAGATTTTATTCCAACGTGTATAAAATATGTTTTTAAAATTACTCACGTGCGGGAAAAGATGTAGCAGTGCATCACCAACCAATGTACCGACTGCCAATGAAATAAGGAACATAACTGCTTTTTGATAAAATATCTTTTCCATGAACGGAATAATTGCAACTCCTAAAATCGAGCAGAAGCTGATAATGGCAACAGCCAGCATGCCATAGCCCCATTCTAAAGAAAATAAGAAATATCATCCTTTTTAACCATATCCTCGGTGACGGTGTAAAAGCATGGGACATGCACGCAATGCCATGCAATATAGATGTTTTGGCTCGCTATGTCATTTTACGTTTCTGACATTTCTAACATTCGTCTGTCCGAAAATCTGCTATCTAATACAAACTAGACTGCTTGTCTGGCCTAGCTTTCTAGGGACGTTCCTAGGGTCTATTGTCTGTCAGGGTCTCTTAATTTATTTTTCAGAACTAGAAGCTTACTATGTTTGTCTGCAACATCTTTCTCATCGTGAGGATGACCAGCTTTAATACAAACGTCGCTTTCTATTTGCTGAAGTAGAGCTGAACTAACGCTTTGAAATTTCGTCTTATCAAAACCCTCAGTTTTATTCTTTATTTGGTAAATATAAAAAAACTCGTCAACGGTAAAACACTAAAAAAAACAATATATTGTTCAACATCTATAAAAAGCAATATAGAACGCATTTCTGGACTATATAGATGAGATTGGCCTTAACACCTTTTTAACATTGTTTGTTTGTACTTTCATATGATATTTTTTCTCAGTAGTGTATTACATACACTCAGTTCTCATTCTGTTGATAGTTTTATCCATGTCACCGTATAATTGTAGCTACATGTGTCTGTTTTTACTTTTTAGAATATTCAGTGTAATTACGTAATTACTGCAAAAGATTTATAATAAACTTGATAAAAATATTTCTTTTTCAAGCTTAGTATTAAGCTATACATTTATTTAAACAACCTTTATTTAAGTGTTTTTCTACAGACTAGCCCGAGGAAGCAAACTTGGCACCAGGCCTTGTTACCCGCGTCCCGCGTTAATACTATAGTTATATATAATATAAAACCTATCGAGTTAGCGTATATTAAGATTCATAATACTGACTAAGAATTTCGTCCCTCAGCTAGGAGATTGATAATCACTAAAAGTACAACATCAATACCCACTCTAACAGCATTCTCAATTTTAAGGAAATTTTCTTAGAAAAGTTTGACTCTCTTGAGGGGAAGGAGAAATATTTAATATATTCTTTTCAAATGTTCTTTATCTCAGCTTATTCAAAACATCCTCCCCCACAATGAAAAGTATGCATATTTAAATTGTGAGAGCCCTGCACTCTAAGTAATATACCTTTTGATACATTTTCGGTTTCTTGCTTCCATCATTAACAGCGGTGTCATTATGAGCGGTTTCTCTCCGATATCGTCCCTTACGAATGGCTGAATTCCCGCTAATCTGCGACCTAATGGGATAGCTAAGATCGTTTATGGATCGACGACGACGACGACCATGCTTGTCATGATGGTCATCATGGTCATGATCGTCATGATCGTCATGTGATTCCTCGTCGGGTCCTCCGATTTTTAACTTCTTTAGTAATTCTTTAAATTTCTTTTCACTAATGGCGTTATTTTCTAGATCTGCGTACTCCTGAAACAATTGGTTGACAAAATACGAGGAGCAAGGTAGAGGGGATTGGTATCTAACATCGATGCATTGTCCTTGATAATAATCTTGATATGATGATCACACTTATCTCTGGCAGATGAGATTTGCTGTCATCGTCATCGCTCGAAATATTTAGTTGATGGAAAATATCATCACTAGAGAAACACTAAATAAAAGACAGTAAAATAATAGCATTGGACAATCGTTTCAACCACAAACAGCCCGCTGGGAGAGTAAACGGCAACGACGGAAAGAGATCCTTTTCTGTTTTTGATCAAAATGACTGATCATACATGCGAATTTGCCTGTAGCGGCTGCGAAGCTGTGATTTAATAAAAGTTACCTAGTGAATTATTAATCAATATGAAACGCGATTTCTGTCCTCTTTGTTAGTGCAAATGCATTCTAATCTAGCGATAGATAACTGCATGCGTCCTAGGTCTGTTGGGGACAAAAGCAAGGTTGTTTAATGGGATGCAGTAATTCCGATATGAAAGGCATTAGCTTTTTACTCGCCTTGCATAATCCTGGAGTTTTAAAATGCGATCTACTGCATGGATAAAAGTGAATGATAATGGCAACATTCCGACACTTTAAGCATTAAATAGCGTGATGTGGTTAGTGGTTTGATATACTGTTACGTAACAACGTTTACTGATTCTTTGACTAAATTATGATTTGATTTTCTAACAGAGGAATGAGAGCATACGAATTCCAGCTCAGTTTTGTGCATTGAAAATCCAAGCATGAAATTCTTCTTAATTGCGTTTTCCCGCTCCTGGGGATCATTCGCAGCGAAATCCTGAACGGCCGGGTTTCAAAGGATTGCAGTTGTTTTGCTTATGTCACTCTGTGTGGCCGGAAACACAAGATCGGAATTTCTCCCCAAAATCCGCTTTGTTCCAAAGGCAGAAAAGATCGTAGTTGTATTGGAATTTTAAATATAGGCTTGGTCTACACTTCAACCTATTCAATTATTTAAACAGTTGCAAAGGCAATGGCGTGCTAATTACATTGGCTGTTATCGATTAAAGGGTTGCAGGGATAACTTCCTGCAGAGCTGTCAAATTTTCGCAATACCGTGTACGTTACGAATAATTTGAATTTGAATGGTTCAGTTGTTTGAAATGGTGCAACCCGCAGAGCTTCGCAGGTATAGGAAAAGACGAGAGGTTCAACAGTGAAACATGCGTCACAAGCATCCACACACAGCCATGAGCACAAGTATAAAACAAGAAAGAAAAGGCCCAGAAAAGAGAGATTTCAAAAGAATAATTCCCGGTTTTGTTTCTTTTGCATGAATTTAAGCCGAAATGTTTGATGTGTTTATCTCATGCTACAAACCAGGGCTTATACATATATATGCTAAAAACGAATTAAAATCAGGCTTTCGATTCACCGCCCACGACGTCCATTCTGCTTTTTGTTTTGACTTTGCATGTTCGTGCATTTATGCCAAAAAGAATACCGATTCTTTGATGAGTCAGTTTCTACTAGTCTTGGGTCTTCACATATACGCAATACGTGGTCGTGAGAACCATAATAATAGAATTGTCGCCATGGACAATGTTCAAAATTGGCCTTAAAGTGCGCTTTCAAGTGTTTTGATATTGATCAAGTATTTTCTGTTCATATAAAATGAAAGAGATAACCGGCAGAGATTACGGCATAATTATCCTTTTATGCATGTCATAAGTTTTCATCCATCAACTTAATAACTTTGGGCATGTAAACCATAAGACAAATAAAGCGGCTTAAAGTGGCTTAAAGTCTTAAAGATGAAAGCAAATATATTTAATATTTGCAATTTTGGTTATAGATCCGGCGAATGTTGATCCGGCGAAATTCGAAAGTTGCTTAGTTAATAGGATTTTCTTGTCCGATGTACCCGATAAGAGGCGTTCGAAAGGCGTTTAGCTTAAACGGTGGATGAGCCAAAGCTTAAAAATACTCTCATACATCTTGTGAATGACTGAACCTGCATCTTATGCATTTAATATGTACTTCCATTGACAATTAAACAATTTACATCGAAATATTTCAGCTCCGTTGTTCAATAAATAGATCATTTGGTTTTCCATTTTTAACTTATCCACCGTTTAAGCTAAACGCCTTTCGAACAACCGGCCTCGTGCATTGAACTTACCTCTTTCTCACGCGATAGTTGTTTTCCTATTGTTTTATTGACATCTTTTAACAACTGGTCAACAATTTGTTCACAAAAATTTTGTGTTCCATATCTTTCCATAAGTTCTTTATCAACATCAATATTTTTGATGATTTCTCTATCGTCATCATCGTCATCATCGTCATGATGGTCTTCATCGTTCTCACCATGTTTATCACCATCATCGTGATCATCGTGATCGTGATCATCATCATGTTCATCCGAATGCTCCTCATTTGGTAGTAGTGCGTAAATCATTATTTGCGCAAACTTTGAAAACTCCGTTTCGTTCACTGATGATGATGTTGAAATATTGAAAATCTTGAACAATGTTTCAGATGTGACACACTATATCGGAATAACATACCGAGTTTGGGGTTATGTTGTAACGAGCTCTGATGTTGTTTTGCTGATGCCGAATTTCTATACCGAGCAGTTTAGAAATATCATGCAGTTTCCAAGAATTATATTCTTTAACCTTTCATGCGAACGTTATAAGGCCTGAATCAACAGGCCTTTTCACGGCGAAATATTTCTGAATTTCGACCGTTCGAATACATTGTTTCTACTTGATTCCTCACAATTCAAAAAAGCAGGCAAAATATGTCGCATTTAGCTAAAAAATTTTGCCCGTGAAATCCGGCCATTAACGCAAGTTTTATTGCGGGAATACATGTTTTAAACGGCCACAGAATTTGTTACGTATATTATGGAAGAGATGGCTAGTGTTATTCTCAAGCATCAATGCCAATGGAATGTCTCAGCATCAATGTCTCAGCATCGATCCGGTCGCTATTTTATTTTACCCAACTTATTTATAAGCACATTCTACACACTTTTACAAAGTTATAAGATTGTAACGTCGTAACGACGAAATTACAAAACGATCAGTGACATCAGCCAAGTTATTCAGTTATTCAGCCAAGTTTTGCCACTGATAAAATTGTTACTGTGAGGAGGCGAAAACATGCAATTTCTTATAAAAAAACCTTTACTCTTTTACTATCTGCCAGGTCATAACTTTAAAAGATATGACTATTTTGTACCTTGTGTTCGGTGGCATTTGAACAACGATGTATTCCAAGCTTCGATAAAATTGACTTCACGTCTTGTAGGCGTAGTGACGTCGCGGTCGAATTCGGTGACAATTTCGTTAAAATACTTTTAAAAGCATCCCCATCAGAATGTACTTCATCGCTAGAGACAAAAGTAATAAGCGAAAGAAGAAATAAACTCTTTAAAAGTTCCATTATTATACACAAATACACAAGTCACTAGGAAATGCCTTTTAGTCTTGAAGTCACTTGGATTGCGAAATGAATTGGTATTTCGTTGTTATTGGTTATGCATGAATATATGTAATGTTTATTCCGGAAATATAGCTAATTTAAAAACATGCAATATAATTATGATCAATTAAGGCTGCTTTCCACTGTCGCTTTTTTGAACGTACAGGCACAAACAATTGGATTCTGTTTATGATTTGGTGTGCTTTTTCTAGTATAAAATAAATCATTCCTGATGTTTTTAAATTTCGCGAGTTTAATCGAATATTTAAATCAGTTCTCGATCATAATGGAATGAGCAATCGATCCTTGGTGTGGGTTGGATTGTTTACTTTGTAATTGGCTTTAGTTGATATTGTTAGTTGATTTGTTGCCAGTGAGTTTCAAGAAGACTGGAACGCCATCTTTGACGCCAAATTAAAGGCCGCCATAAAAGCCAACAGTTGAAATGACAACGCCGATTTTTATGACACTCATATTTTACTGAAAAAAGTGACTTGAACGTGGAAAGGCTTAAATCTTTTTTTTGCTATTTAAATTTGAAGGTGAAGTTTCTAATTTTTTGCGGCAAGTAAGCTACGCCCCCCCCCCCCCCTTCCCCCTATGATCAGCCTTGCCGCGTATTTCTTGCATGGTCGGTTCCACACTTCAGGAAAGTGGTTGCGGTCTCGAGATGGATATTTTCAACTTAATAACCAGTACTCATGCGAGAACACAAGAAATAAAGCTATTCTAGTCAGGCTGGCAAAATTAAAACTAAAGTTCAATAGGCAATCCTTTCAATTTACGGGTGCCGTAAGGTATATAACGAGCTCCCTATGGCTATCGATATAAGGATCGTTGAAGATCTCAAAACTTTTAGCCAGTTAATTTTAGTTACATTTGAAGTTTTTAACTGCGAAGTTGGTGCTATGCAGGTGTTTTATTATGCTATATATTTTTAGATTGATAAAGAGGACACATGTTGAAAGCAGTAGCATTAATGAAATGTTTTCATTCTCTGTAATTACTAAATACATAATTGGGTCTCGCATCATCTGTTAAACCATGGACCTCTTCTAAAAATTCTTTCATAATTTGCTGATGATATTTTACAGATTTTGCAATCTTCATATTTTTGAAAAATCTTTAGATTGTTAAAACACGGGGAGTTTGACAAAATTAAGATATGCGGTATCCAGTTTCATGGAAATTCAGTCCTATAAGTAATAAGTTATTTGAGTAATTTGATCCGGAAAAGATTAGTTGCTCTTGACTTCAATGATCCAATAAGGAATGGTCAAGTTTTTAATAATGTGACGCCCCGCTCCACCATAATAAATTTCAGCGTCATTTTATTTCAGCTGCACAAACTGTCATGTACATAATCATAGCTTCCATTATACATTATTGTATAATTTGCTGATTTACTACAATACTACCATTCGTTTATATCATTTTTGCTGGGTTTACAATTTACAAAGCCCAATGAATGATACAAAAGTAATGCGATGTGACACTGTGTCTACAAAATATGAGAATTATTATTTGTAGACGTCCATAAACCGTAAGACATACATTTGACAAGTAAAATATCCTATTGTTAAAATTTGAATACTTTATGCACTGCATAACGACGAACATGAAACATATCGTTATAATTGTCTACTGTTGCTATAGCTACCTGTGTGCCATAAATTTATATATAAACGTGCGAAAAAAATTTCGGTTTTGTTTAAATTCATAAAGCGAAGCTTTATTTGCAACATTTGAGAGAACTTCCTGATATATAGCTGAACTAAAAAACAACTTCACGTCAACGTTTTGGACAGAGGTTATTCATACTAGCCTCTTCAAATTGCTTGCTTGTCTGGCGAACTTGTGAATATTTTGGATTGCCTTGTCGGTGAGGAAGAATTACGTGGGGTCTGCCGGATATAGTGATATCCTGTGAGTTGTATGAAACGTTTCCCACGTTTAGACTCGTATTTATAATATCTTCGTGGACGATCCATATAAAGAATCCCAGCAGGCTATATATCCCATCATAGCCATCTAATACATGGACAAACTTTAGCAAGAGTCACACTGTAATGTAAACAATATCATATGGCTTATTAATAACTCGTGATATACCAAAGGTTTATTTTTATTACGGAATTTATATGTATAATATGGCTATACGAGCAGCCAAAAATGTGGTTCCAAAAGTAGTGACTTTTTATAAAAACGGAGACAAGTTTTTTAGAGGCTATAAACTAGCTATTACTCCTCAGAAGTATCGTAATATGGAAACGTTGCTGAATGATCTTACAAGGTTGTTAAACCTACCGCTCGGAGCAAGATATGTACTCACAAAAACTGGAAAAGCTGTGGAAAATTTACAAGAATTCGAAAGTGGCCAGGGATACATCTGTTCGTCATTTCCCAAACTTAAGAATTTAAGATATGGTGTCGGTGACAATCTTCCATATTGGAATTCTTCGAAGCATGTTAACAAAGACAAAGCGACACAATCGACTAAATATTACACAACCTCTAAAGGTTCGACAGAGCAGACATCACCCAGGAAACGATCTGATACTATCAAACCTAGAATAATAACAGTGATTCGGTATGGGCATAAGCCTAGAAGAAGTGCAAAGGTTTTATTGAACAAACGAACCGCCCAGACCTTCGACCAAGTGTTAGACGAGGTGACTTTGGCCATTGGTGTATGGGGAACTAATGGTGTTCGACGTTTGTATGATCTGACTGGCAAGCGTTTGACTGAGCTCTCTGATCTTTTTAAGCAAGATGATTGTTTTATTGCTGTTGGAAATGAAAAATTTAATGTTTCTGACTTAGAAGACTTAATTCAGGGTGTTAAGGTGAATGGATCGCAGAAAATAAGATTACCATCAATCAACAGCACAGATGAAAGTGATGTCAGTCCGTCCACCCACCACAGACCTTCCCCACGCAATCCCCAATCTAAGAATTCTGTGAAACTGCCCACAATTAGAAGGAAGAGCGAAAATGATAGTAACACGAGTTCTCTGAATTCTACCCAGGGACTTAAGGAAAATATTGTGAACAAACAGACTGTGCAAAAGTGTACACCTAAGAATGGAAAGAAAAACTGCTCTCAGAATGAAGATCAGAGCATTGGTAAAAATAACCAAAGTTTGAAAGATACAAATATCAAAAGTAGTTCTGAGAAAAAAGGTAATATTTCCCAAGGAGAGACACTAAGTTCACCTGAAGATACAAGCCATGGGTTAGCATTTAATCGAGGACAAAAAAGTGAATCTAGAAAAAAAATTGATAACATAGAACTTATTTATTCAGTAGGAGAAAAAATTGGTGATGGTAATTTTGCAGTCGTTAGGATTGGTACAAACAAGGAAACTAAACAAAAACATGCATTAAAAATTATTGACAGAAAGAAAATAGTAGGGAAAGAGAACATGCTGAAGGATGAAATAAGAATCATGAAAGCATGTAGCCATGGTAATATTGTTAAATTGTATGATACCATTGATACAGAGTTTGATGTTTACTTGGTAATGGAACTCATTACTGGCGGAGATCTATTTGATGAAATATCTAATGCTGTAAAGTTTGAGGAACCAATTGCAAGCTCATTTGCGCAAGATATTGCGAATGCACTAGAATATCTTCACAAGCAGAATATTGTTCATAGAGATTTGAAGCCAGAGAATTTATTGGTAAGAATTAGTTTAATTAGGTATTAATTAGCTGGGACAACTACTAAGCATGACATTTGTCTGGTTCTCATGATCTTCGTGGGTGGGATAAAAATTGAAAATTTTTCCTATGATAGTGGACCTTGTTGTGGGGAATTTCATTAACTATGATAAAGAATTAAATATTACATTTATCCCAGCTAGAATATGGTATTTTAAATGAGTATTATCAACAGCACCTAAAATGTAATGTTATTCTTTACACATTTTAGGTTCATATTTCATCAAATGGAAAGAAGCACTTGAAACTGGCTGATTTTGGTTTAGCCGTGGAGGTTAGGGTACCTCTATTTACAGTGTGTGGCACGCCGACCTACGTTGCCCCAGAGATATTAGAAGAGACTGGGTACGGTCTCAAAGTTGATGTCTGGGCTGCTGGAGTTATTATCTACATCATGTTATGTGGCTTCCCCCCGTTCCGCAGTCCTAATAAAGACCAGGACGAGTTGTTCGATCTAATTATTGCCGGGGATTACGAGTTCCTACCTCCCTACTGGGACGATGTTTCCCAAGATGCCAAAGATTTAGTTAGTAAACTACTGGTAATCGATACCAAACAGAGATTTACAGCACAGGAAATTCTTAATCATCACTGGATTCAAGATCACCAGAAAGAAAGCATTGATGAAGAGGTTTCTTTTTCCGACCGCGAGTTTAATGCAAGACGGAAGTTCAAAGGTGCTGCCATTGCCATAGCGAGCTCAAATCGACTACAGAATATCGTACAGTTTCAGTTTAAACGGGGGGAAAAGTTGCTAGAGCAACGTTCTTAATTTCTAAAGGCCTACTAAAGCTTTATTTAAACTAAATTTACGCTAAAATTAAAAGCCTCCGGCTCAGTCGGCTCAGTTTCATAAAACGGGGGGAGAAGATAAAAATGCAGGTGAAGATTTTTTACTGTAGATTTCTACTAATATTGGCGATGTCTGTAGAGTAATCATTCCATGGCTAACTTACACGAATCAAATTGTATCAAATTAGGTTCAGTCAGTGTTAGGACTTTGTTGGGATTATACTCGTAATTTCCCCGACGAAGAATTCACTTACCAGAGATCAGCTATATATGGTGTAATATTTATCTTTTTTAAGAGTTTTAGTGAGCGGAAAGGCATCTCAACAATATAAAAATGTCATGGGAGTTTTAAATTTATGCTGATTATGCATTTAAATCACGACGTGTATAGTTGAGTCACATAAAAAAGGCAATTTACGTGCAAATAACTCACTACAGCTGAAAAAGTTGGTTACGAAATGTTGTAAAATAAGGAAGATATAGCCTTGCAAAGTTTGCAAACATTGTTTATACTTTTGTGCTTCGCACGGAAATTGTTACCATTTTCGGCCTGAATGCATTGTGGTATTAATTTCCGGGCGTAATACAAAAGTACACAAAATTTGCAAACTTTGCAAGGCTATATTTTCCGCATATTTCAACATTTCGTAACCAAGCTTTGCATTTTTACTAATTTTAATACGCTCTTTTTAGCTGTGGTGAATCAGTTGCACTTCCTATTTTGGATCAAAACGTACTAGTCTAAAATGCAAAAGTATCTAATCTTCACGCATGCGTGGGCATTAATATATAAAAAGGCATTCATATCATGTACTCTTAAATCTTAAGTTAATTTGCCGCCTTTGTTTAAAATTTCAAATCCAACCGGTTAATAACATTGGACAATGTAAGCATGCAATGAAAACGTTTTCTTACACAGACACTGCTAAAGTATATATGTAGCTGGCTTGATACACTCTGTAGTGTACACGTTATGCTGATTGTATCAGTATTTTAAAATGTATTACTAGTCTGAAAACATTTTATCGTATTATGATCCTTGCACTCTATATTAGAGCAAAATAAATAATATATGATACGTCATAGTGGACAATATCATTCATGTACGTAATTTTCAGCTTGCCCGGTTGGTTACTCGGAGTATAATATGATAACAATAATCAATATGCACCATCGCTTTGACATAATATCATAGCTTAAGATAGATTCCCAGAATGTCAAAGCACAAATAAAAAAAGTGGTAAGAGATATTTCGCAAAGGATTTAAAATCACTTTACGATTGATAAAGTTCACCAATATTGTTATTTCAATAACAAACAGAACAGAAAAAACAAACAGAGCAGAAAAATAAATCTGAAGTAATGATTACGCGTTTATTTCAAATTCGCCACACAAGTCATGATATTTTCTTACAAATTCGCTACACAAGTCATGATGTTTTCTTACAAATAAATTACAATGCACAAAAATCAGCGCGAACAATATAATTATGATAAATGAATCATTATATAATATTACATTCAGTGCAAAAATCCACAAAATCGTCCAATTTTCGAGTTCGTGCTGGGATAAGTTATGGGAAAATGTTTGCAACAAACAGTATTAAATAATTGGAATAATGTGCAATCTACAAGATTTCTATGTTTTAAATTATGATCACAGAATACATTGCTTACAAGAAACAAGCTGTAAATAAAAGCTTAAGAAATTTATGACGAAACTTCAAAGCAAATATATTTTTCGACTGTCAATTCAAATACAGTCTGCTGTAACGTTTTAGGACGGTTTTGCTGTCCATTTTCTGACTAACTTTGGCTGGCGAACTAATAATGAACAGAACCTTAATTAGGTTTCAGAAAAAAAATTGAGTAAGATTTCAGCCGAATTGACAACTTCAATCTTATTTTCTCAATTATTTTTCTCAATTATTTGTGAAGCTATAGGCACCTGCCTGAGTTCGAAAAATTACATCAACATTCAACCACTCCATAAAGGGTTTCTAAAAAATTGTAGTTTCAATAATATATGTAGACACAAAAGAAAAACTTTCATGTATAGATTATGATTATATAATATTTATGATACTGATCAGCTCATCAAAAGCAACAGAGCTTTTTTCTTGGAATCATCGTCCTCAAACTGATCAACGCGCATATTCTCAACAACATCGCGATGTTCTTGCTTCTCTACGAAATCCAACAATTCTTGCATCTTTCTATCCAGGATTACTGTGGCTGGAGTCTGGTACTTCTTCTTCAATGGCGCGACATAGGTTGGCTTAAATCCATACTCGTGTTCGAAATCAGAAATTGTTGGCGATGGTTTGTTACGGAATCCAAGCCAAGATTTGAAACGTGCTGTCATGTAGTCGACGATCTCGTATTCATTCTCTTGTAGGTCGTTGTCGCCTTTCACTACCTTGAATGCATCATTCAGAATCACCAGGAACACATTCATGAGCAGAAATACGACCACGATGCAATAAACAGCCAAGACAACTGCACTAGCCACGAAGGTATCATGACTTAGATTCATATACTTGAATTTTCCGAGGATAATATTCAGCAGGGTCTCTGTGGTGCTCAGGATGCTTGAAAACATGTCGATGTTGGTTTGGAAGAGAAGATACGCGACACTAACACATGCAATAAACGCCACTGCAAACAGGATAAGAAAATTGAACATATCCCAAGCGGCATACTTTAATGTCGAGCCAAGCAAGGACATGCGTCGATTAAAACGGAACAAACGAAGGAACTTGATTGACGTAAGAAACACCAGAAAAGCAATAACAACTCCATACAACTGGTCAGCAGTAGCCACGTAACGGAAACTAACAAAGTTTTCTGGGTCGTCATTGAATTTTGCCTTTGTCCATTTGTTTGCAATAAATCGGAGGATATAGAAGGCCAAACATGTCCAACCTACAGCAATGATACTCATCTCGATCCAATTCCAAAACTGATGCCAATATTTGGCGCCTTCATTTACCATTTGTTTAATCGTTTTGTACGTGAAAACAGCAATAGATATTATGAACACAAGTTCGCATGCCAAAACAAAGATTCTGTAGTTGCCAATAAATTCATCCAATCGCGTGGCTTGGATTTGGAAGGTTGCTGAGCATCCCCCAGATGCAGGACACTCAAACAAGATTGTAATAATACAATGAAGATTCTTTCCGGGGTAAAACAACGCGAACTCTACAAAGACAGCACGTGTTTTTCCATCAATCCACCAGGTTCCATTCAGTTCATTGATCTGTCGGAGAGCTTCATCTTTCTTCTTTTCCAATTTAAGGACATAACCACCACCTCGATATGTCGCCAGATCTGCCCAGAACGGTCTTTCATAAAGTTCAGTTTGGGTTCTGTATTGCCACATGTAGCCGGCGGCAGACATGTTGGAAGGCACCCACTTAACATCGTTGTATTTTTCTCGATATTCATCAGAGAATGAATACTCAGCTTCACAACCGTCGATTTTACCCTCGAGTTCTGAAGATATGTCGCAGGTATCTACAAAATACGTTCAATTGTAAGAAACAAAAAAAGTTTAGAAATAGTTATTATTCAAGTACTCTTCACATACATATGTCATTGAACTGACTACATGTACACGATCTTTCATATGATGACGCTTACCCTCTTTTATTCGCAAAAGTCTCAGTCTAGGGCTCCCAATGAGATAGCCTACTCCGTCTGATATATAACACCCCGCTTTATCAGTCATATTGTTGTACCACTTTTCATGCGAGAGCCCCGGGATTATGACTTCAGTAATCCACATCAATAAATCCTTTTTGTTTTTTGTCTGCAAGAAATCATGAAATTGATGATACAACAACCTTCAGTATAGAGCACGTATAATATTTCATATTCAGGATCCGTTTAAAAATCCTCCTATAGATTTACCTAATACCTGATATAGAGGTTTATATATAGTAAGTAGATCAGATATATATTTTAGATTTTTCAATATACCATAAAAATATCATGTTTGAGAGATCCTCTTTTAAAGGCAAAATTCTCACTATCATCACTAAGATCTGTAAATGTTTTCTCCATAGATGTAGACAATCTGTGGGCATCCGGTTCACGATGACCATAAGCAATTAGCAAAACAATCCACCAGAAGAAAAAGAACTGTATGACTTCACGACAAACACCGAACATCTTCCTCTCTTTCTGACGGTAAAGTCTCATCTTTTTTAATTTTAATTCATCAGGTGGCTTCCGTTCAGCCTTTGCCCTCACCTTGCCGTCTGGATTTGCCTGAAGGTTAAAAATATAGAGTTTGCCAGCGGTACATTCAATGGAGTTACACATTGTTCACAGAAAAAAGATCCTTACGTTATGCAAACTTTCTCGAATCCATCTCTCATCTTGTATCAATTTATCATTCTCCTCATTCACGTCAACATTGTTTGGTTTCCTGATAACAAATGCCACAAAAAGAGACAAAGCAAATATCTTGATAGGCTGTGACACCAGAATATCTTGAAAAACTGAGATAGCTAATGCTGTTAACCATTGCTCTTGTCGTCGTTTACCAAACTGAAGACCATAAAGTACGGTAAAGAAAGCCGCTGTTAGACTAGTAGTGATCACCAAGAACCATGCTATGAACACAAACCACCATGGAAGAAGACGCATTCTCGTAGTTCCTTGTGTCTCCACATGTGGAGTTTCATCTAAAACAAATAACATTAAGACGTTTCTTTAGGACTGTAAAGAAATCCAAAAATATCCCATTGCATTATACCTCAAAAAACTATTTTAATTGGCGATGTTTTTCAAGAAGATCATGCACGTATAGGTAAAGAAACCTAGATTCACGATCATCAGTGTTTTGGGAAAAGTGGTTTCAGTTTTTAGGATGTTCTATTTTTTCATATTCTGTTTTTTAATTAAATTATACAAAAAAGCCATTTGGTCGCCAAAAAAACGTGACAGAAAAACCTTACAGCAAAAAGGTTATAGCTTTTACCTGCTTGGTTTTTCGATTGATTTTTTCTTTTATTCCTGTCCATTTCGATGTCCCCCAAACTTATAGCAACGCCTGGAGTTTTCTTTGGTTTTGCTGAACTGCCTCCAGTGAGGTATTTTGAACTCTTTGTGGGTCTGGCAGCGATGCGTCTGAAGATGGATACAATAAGCAAGTTGATTGGAAATACGATCAAGCTGGACTGTATTCCCACCATTATTTCATGCCAGGTGAACTGATATGGACCGACGTCGACGTCAACATTGTTCTCAGCAGCCACAGGCACTTTGAAAAACATTGCGTTCACCAGCATGGTACAGAGCAACAGACATAGACAGCAGGTGACTCTTTGCGCATGAGTAAAACGACTTTGAGCGGGACGGAGAACAATGGAGAACCACAAATGTCCATCGCTGAATCCTTGCGTAGTGTTTTGCATGAATAAATATTGGAAATCTTTTAGTTCCTCGGGGCCTGCGACTGGTATCAGTCTTTCAACCAAACCATCGCCTTCGTCACAAGCAAGCCAACTGTTACACAAGAAGAAATATTGTTCTCCACTCTCAACATCGCGTATGATTACCTCAGATAGGAACCATGATGGATCAGGACCAGAGTTATCATGCCATATACGTATATACTGCAAGGAGCCTAGAGAGTTCGCTGTGGTAACAAGATATGAATCTTGGGATGTTCTTTTGAAGGAGAGCGCTGACGTTCGCTGTAACAAACGCGGTTCGCTGTCACCATTATCTCCGGTTATTATTATGGATGCCTCTGCTGTTGAGCCGGCATTTCGTCGGCTGCCAGTGAAAAGAGTTACTTCATATCTGCAGTTGTCATATGGTTCGTTATCAGCGGCACAGTGGAGAGTAGTCTAAAATAAGTAACAAAAAAACAACCACGCGGTTTCACGATTACGTCTTCACATATTAGTTTTAGACGAAAACAACTCATTTAAACATATACATTTACCTTGTAAGATTTCTTCCGATCCTTTCTAAGTGCCCAAACCATTGCAAAAAGATAAACTCCAGCAATGACACAAATGGTTGCGAGAAGTGCAGGATAGTCGGCAAGATTTGCCAGGTTATCGATCTGTGCAGCGACATCAAGCTTATTGGGTGCCACCAGGAAATTCGACCCAAACAACGTAGCGTGGTTGCACAAACATACAACCAACTCCTGAGTTGAACGACGATCGGGCTAAAAAGACCAAACCACTGTTCAGTTGCACAGAAAAAAAACAATTTTAAGCCAGCCTAGGCTGCCTAGCTTAAGTAAATGAGGAAATTAAATGAGAAAATTGCCTTCCATTCAATAGAATTTTAATACATTCAAAAAATAAATAAATTAAGTGTGAGCTAGTTTATACGGCGCGTTTTGTTATTTTGTCCCAAACACTAAAATAATAAATAATAAGATATAACAATAAAATAATGAAATGATAACGAGGCTATATGAATCTTATTATCTGTTGTTTGAATTGAATTTTCGACGAGGCCAAATTGCGACACAAACTAAGCCTTAATTAGTATTATTCCTACCTTACAACCGTCGGAGATCCAAGATTTGTTCGCTTCGTGGTAAAAATTACAGCCAATTTGATACGATATAAATGTATAATTTGCTTGGACGAATTCATTTCCGACGCTACTTGCAACTCCAACATAATACTTGAGACCATTTATTGTATCATTTCCCAAAAACAGAGGGTCTGTAGAGTTAACATTGAATGTATAATTGAAGTCGTATTTTTTCAGAGTCGGAGTCCCTTCCCGACGACAGTAGACTGTAAAGTTTGTCATATTATCGTGTGGTTTAATCTCAACGACATATGCATTGTTTACAGAGCTTAAGTGAAGAACATAGACCACCAATTTATCTAATTGTGTTCTTTCAGACTTTGTCTTGTTGTAAATCGTCTATAGAAAAAGTTCAGGAAAGGAATATATTACGATACGGACTGCGAAACACAGCTGTTACGTAAACAAGCTATATACCTAAATTTCCACCACAAACGGACATCATCTCATCATAATGTACTTACACTGTTTCCATTATTTTCATTCTCGGTTTCATTTTCAGGCACTTTTCGTGGAATCTTAATGGTAAGATAATCAGGTAAATTTTGTACTTTGAGAGGGGTACCATCTTCTTGTTTCAGTTCCAAGGAAATCGAGCTCGAGTCAACAACAGCTGAGGTATTGGAGGTACTTGTTTGATAAGGATTCTCCCTTATAAACAGTCCCTATAAAACAAAGTGTGGGAACTGCTGTGAAATATGCATATATGAAAATTAGTAGCTGACGCAGAATTTCATGCAAAATCCTCATGCGGGCATTCAAATTTTTTGAAAGAAGCGGTCGCTTGGTATGTCTTTATATGTATAACTAATCGTGATATATTACAAAACATAAATCGACGTTAAGAGTGGATCGATTGAATAAATTAAACAAAAGATGATTTACCACAATGTCTACGGCTTTTGAGCCACCCAAAGATCCAACATCGAAATCATCTGGGAGATCTACTGTCGCATTATTGTCACTTGAAAACTTCACAGACGATCCGTTTGTTAATTGAGCACTGGCACGACGAAGTGAAAGTTGTAAATTATCTGTCTTCATTAAAACACTTTGTTCATCCGGCACTTTCTTCTTCAGAATGGAGTCAGTTGTTACGTTTACAATTTGGAATGCTTGATCAACGTTGCGATTAACCTACAAAGGAAAGTCTAGTTTTCAGTTTCAATGCCAAGTTTTTAACATTTCCTAGCTATATAGCTATCTTTTTCAAAGTAGTACGATGATAAGGCAATTTTACCTCATCTGTGTCTTCTAACGGAACAGTTTCATTATTCTTTTGTTTTTCACGTATTTTAGCTTGAGTCTTTGACGATATGGCTAATACATTGCCACACAATTTTGTCAGACCAAGAGATGTATCCTCAATAATAACATTCCCAATATCTTCCTCGGCCTCATCATTAAGAAAGGTAGACGTTTTGAGGCAGGCATCGAGGGATTGTTTCTAAAATATAATAATTTTAATTTATAATATATCGGCACTGTGTGACCAGATTTGGGTTCTTTTTCTTTTAGTAAAATTTGATAATTTCTCATGAGAAACCTTGAGCAAAATGGTTACAATAAAATTTTAGCAAAGATGAATAGTTCCTGCTTTGTTCATGCAGGAAAGTATATTTTTTTAACCAGCGATTCTTTACTAATAAAGACAACTAAAAACTTAATTTTAAGGATCGGTATAAAATTTGATAACTAATTACCACTGGTAATAATCGCTGAAAATATCTAGTCAAACCTACAGCTATATCGGCATTTCTTTTTTTTAGCTATACTAACAACAAAAAGACTAAATTTTGCCTTTTGAATTCAACGAGGACGATTTCACGATCATGCAAAGTTTTCGATTACCCTGGCCTGAACGAAGGCAATTTTTCCACTACTGTTACAAAATATGGCTTAGAAATATTTAAGGTTACTGATCAAAACAAATTTCCCGAGGTTTCTCCTCCACTTTTACTGGCCTCAACAAACCTGAGTGTCCTTCGGTACATCGCCCCCCACTGCAAATGAAAGGGTATCAATGATCTGTCTCCGTGAATCAAGGTCCTCCGGCAAACCTTCGACGAGTTTTCCGACGATTTTAAGTGCCTAGAATAAAATGTTTTACAATGTAAGTTAATAAATACGCGAAAATTCACTGATAAATGTTTGAAAGTACACTTTTTTTAGCTAAATGAAATAACAAGTAGACTATATAAAATTAAAATATATATGAAACAAAATATAGCATACATATAATTTTTAAGAGTGCATGCATGTTGAGTCAAACTTTTGTGTTGCGGTGAAATAACTCCCTGCCTCTGCAGGGAATTTATTAACGATATTAAAAAATGTTTGCTTGGTATTAGTGAAAACATTTTGCGACCGACCCATAATAAAACTTGCAGATAAACAACCTAGTCCTAAATTTTCTTCGAAATTCATCTGCCTAAAAGGTCGCGTTGACTAAAAGGAGTTGATATATTGGGATACGGAGGAAACAGACCGAAGGAGTTTTTGAGGTAAAATGAACAACTATACAACTTTTGTAATTTCATAAACTAAAATATACTTGTTATACATTCATTTAAATTACTTCTTTTTTCTTTTCATGATGATCTGAATTTTCATCCACTTCTTCTTCAGAATAGATATTCGTTGTATTTTTTGTGTCCGTTGTATTTATGGTGTTTACTTCCTGCATCTTCATCGTCAAGTCCTTTGAAAAGACCCATCGCTATCATATTAGCTGCTTGGATATTCCCAGTATTAATAAGGTCGTCAACCTTTTTCGAAGAATTCCTAACTTCAGTTAAGTCCACTGTGGCTGCTTTGACCTAGATAGAAGAAGTTATCGTAAATTTTAATTTTGCATAAGTTTCCACCAAGGGGCACTTTTCTCAGAGCTGCAGGTTTGCAGGGGACCCCGGAATAAACAAAACCATTGCTGAAAGCAAAAATAATCCAGAAAATAATCATAAAAATAAATTTGCATTTCCCGGGTAGGTCGATCCAGATGTGTTAAATATTGTGAAAAATATCACCCCTAAAACGAAGGAAATGACATTTTTATCGACTGTAAATTTCAAATTTCTTTAGGGGAGAATGCACTGATCCAAACCTCCTCGAAATGCTTTACTTCCCAAAAATAAAACCCTGATAACAAACCTTAATAAATTACATTAACTATACCATTTTTGTGACGTTTTTGGTTAGGAGTTTGCATGGGCTCCAAATAAGAATTATGCCCCGGGCCTTCTATAAGATGCTGAGTGCAGTTGTTGGTATAGGAATGTACAATGTTTGGTGACTGACGTAAGTGTGGAAAAACGTATCAGACGAAAGTGGCTTAAATATTGATGCTTAGAATAATCTGGGGATAACTGAAAGTATATGTTTCCAAGCAACGTGGCCTCTACGCCACTCGATATTTTTTTCTACTTTTTCAACGGTCAGAACACAATTTATCAGTTCCATATCGATATTTCGATAGTTTATCAATCAGCATAACTATAAATATTGTCGGATTTGAACGTAGAAAAACAAGAAATGAATAAATTGAACAGTTGTTTCAGACACATACCTTGACAGGAAAAGAAATAGAACCATAGGCTTTGAACGGATCTTCAACATTTATTGACACGGTGAAATTGTTTTCGTATTTATCTGGCGCGGCAGGAAGTTCCAAGTCCACTACAGTGCTTTTTGGGCCGTGATACCACAAAAAACTCTGTTTTTCTTCATCAACACCAAAGGAATAGAATGCTTTATAGGATAAAACTGTATCAGGTTCATCGTCGACCCAGTTACTACAATTGAACGAAAAGTTGGTTTTCCTTGCAATTCCAATTCTTGGTGTTAATGTACAGCTGCCACCAACGGGTGGAGAATTTGTTACCACTTTATAGGACACAAAGCCACCTTTCTCTGAAATGTAATCAGAAATTTTGTTGTAATGTGGTAATCAAAATCGTGAATATTGAGCCAGAGGAAGAGTGTGACTGGATCGAGTTATGGCAGCCGAGCCATCAAGCACACGCACTGCATGCATAGCTTTTTAGCAAATGTCGGAATTTTTAGGCATAATGATTTTGCCGCATTGACTTAAAAACATTGCATTGATTTTCAACGTTTTTTCTATATGCAAATAGGTTTGATCACCTACCGGCGTCGTTTGTAACAAAAAGTTTGAAGATATACTCTTTCTTAAGTTGGAAGGTCCCAGCCTTTACCACTAAACTGGCGGAATTATTAGATGTCAAAGTTCTGTTCGGCCATATATCTTGTGATGTTTGATTCGAGGTAGCACTAGCTAACGTCCAGTTATATTTCAGTCCTTCGCAGTTTTCGAGACAGTCACTTGTTATTGATAGACGAGCTTCTGGGTTGACCTTGGCAGCGCAATTTGACACACACCTGCAATATATTAATGGACAAAAGTCGACACTCCAAAAATGTATTTCTATTATAAAATGATAGAATCTGTTAAGCGTCGTACTAGGGCACTAATTCCGCTCGGAAGTTAGGAAATTACACCCGGGGAAATTACATATAGCGGAATCAAACGTCGTCCAAATTTTATGTCATGGACGTTGGATGGTTTTGTATTTTGTAAAGCTTTTGTGAAGCGACAAAATTGTTCGAGTGAAGTCCACTGGTGAAGCCTGGTGATCAGTCTTACACTGACCTATACCAGTGACCTATATACTAGAAAATGTTCATATACTTGATCTGTAGCATAGGTCAGTGGTCGTAATATGTTATTTTCTATAGCTACCGCCAAATGGCCCAAATCTCACCTTTGTGTAATTTGAAATTAATAGTACTCGGTTTGTTTAAAAATCTTGTCAAATTAGACTCGGCCTGGTGGCTTTAATATTTCAAACAACAATTGCACTCATATACCTGCCATCACTCATACTATACAAATACTATACTACTACACATACTATACAAACTATACAAATCGACATAATGGTAAATTACCTGAGTTTTAGTTCTGGTGGCTTTCCTGGTATTGCATTTATTTCCTGTGTATAACTTCCTTTGTGGCTCTTATCGTTCTTGTCAGAAACGAGCACTGTGAACTGGTATGTTTTTCCTTCTAAAAGAATTCTTTCACGAAAAGTAGTGTTGCGTTCACCTTTTCTAAAGCTAAGATTTTTACCACCACCAAAACAACCGCCTTGCTCATTATCTCCTTTGATTTTACATTCCCAATTGAAATCTAGATCTTTATTATGTCTTTTGAATGGATCCATTGAATCTTCAGCATTCAGGTAGAAGGCCTTATTCCAGACTATAGACCGGGCGCTGCCACCTTCGATTATGACAACTAACGGTGGTCGTTTGAATTTAACGTAAACAATCTCCTGCGAACTCGCTTTCTTCTTCTCATCTTTAAACTTCGCCTCTAATTGAAATTGGTACAGTCCCGGGTCTAGGGCCTTTCTAGCAATGAGCAGTGAAGATTTGTTTCTTGAGGGAAATTTGGCATAGCTAAAAAAAGGTTTCGATAGTCAGTATATATAGCATTGAATAAGATAATCGACAAATATACTACCCCACCTACCCTAGTGTCTTTCATATTTAGATTGGGGGCACAACTCCCTCCCTCTCTTCAGCCCCATGTTCCTTCCCCCACTCAATCCGTTTTTGGCACACGATGAAAGCCTAGCACATTTTGAATTTATGATGTTTTTATACTACCTTTGGTAAATGAGCTTCGTTCCTTTTTCTTATTTTTAGATAAAATACAAGCACATTGAAAAAGGCTCTGAATAGAGGAAATGACTGATTAAAGAATCCTCCGGAGAACATGCCACCCTATTGCTAAATACAGTCATGCACGATAGGCATTCCTCTGCTCCACAGAAGGGAGGACGAATAAGTCTTCTTAAACTTAAAATCGTAAAAACAATCCCTGATACTTACTCCACTTCTCTGTGTTTATCTGGTGGGATTACAGATGAATTTGTTGTCTTAAGAAGATATTCATCGGCTTTAAAAATCCTCCATTCAGTTACAATAGAGTCTGCGCAATCTGCTTTATATGTACCAAAAAGTGTGTATTGAGTCCCATATGGCATGCTGGTTGGACGTTTTGCGTCTTTGCTTACACCCACGATTGTAATCTTTGGTAAAAAACATGGTTTTTTCTCGATATCCACGTGGTGCGTCAACTCATTGGTTGGGCCGGACGAGTTTAAAACATGCACTTCGATTTCATACGTTTTGCTATTCGTAAAGTTATGGGAGAAATATATGCCTTCAAGTCCCTTTGGATCAAAAGGCAGCCGGATTCTATCCTTACCGAACGTTTTTGTTTTATTTTTAAGATCAAGTACCTCTACCTCACTGCCGTCTGCGTAGTTAACTGTAAAACCGGTCTTAGTTCCTAAAGTTGCCCAGAGTAGAATGAATTCGACATTTTTGTTCACCTGCCCAACTCCGTTGCTAGATAGAAATAACCCAGTCACTGATTTATCCATTTCTATTGTCGTTGTAGCGTTAATGGCAGCGTTGCTTTTATCGCTGTCAAACACGATGAGATCGATTTGATAGCTTCCAGGATCTTTGAAAGTGTATAAAAAAGATTTCGAATGATATTCTTTCAATGTTTTGGAGTTCTTTTTTAATGTCCAGTTATATTTCAGGCAATCGTTATTGACATTTGACGAAATATTCACAGGATATTCCAAAGGTAAAATCGTTAAATTTTTATGTCCGCTCAAGCTTACAGCGGTTATCACCGCCTTTTCGTAATCACCTTGAACTTTCACCTGACGTTCTAGAAGAAGACCGCTGACTTCGTTCTTCATTCTAACTCTAACATAATAACATCCGGATTTATCATACGTGTGTTCAATTGTGTTATCTTCGTCTAACCGTTTGTAATCTTCTTTCCAACTTTGACAAGATAAAAAGAATTTATACTAGCATCGGTTGGCGATGGATTTTCCTTGCCGTTTTCTAATTTTATTTTCGTAATTTTTTTCTCCACACTTTTACCTTCAAGTGATAATTTGTAACCGAACGATAGGATGCTGAATCTCTATAGTTCCATTGTTCTCACCTTCGCTCACATCATTCTTAACTTTGACTTTAATTACAAATTTACCTTCCCTATAATAGGTATGATCGAAAGAACAGGTTTGTTTCCAAGTGCAATTAGAAAAGTTGCTAGAAGTGCCATCTCCAAAATTCCAAGTCACTTGCATTTCACTTCCATAATCGACTGTAACGTACGCTTTTAAACCATAACGAACAGAAACATATGGATTGAAAATAACTTGAGTTCCATCAATCTTTTCATAAATATGTACAGTCAACTCTTTATAATCACGTGATACGGCATTGGATGCGTTAACGCGCACGACATAGTGACCAGGTGCCGAAAAATAGTTTCCGGGTAAGGTGACTTTGCCGGAACCATTTGTATATTTCTTGGAGTAATGAATTATTTCCGCATTTATGTGCCTATTTTGTCCGGCAACGGCAAACACATTCACGTGTGATCCTTTCTGCCACGAAACTGCGATATCAATTTTCTCCTGATAAATCGCGTCGATGGAAGATTTTAACAGTTTAAAGCCATCGATCGGTACATGAACGAAAACGTCGGTAGATTCTGTTTTTTTGTTTCGACTGCCTTCGGTATTCCAGCAAGTCAATGTGGCCTTGAAGTTTTTGGCTTCTTTGTACTTATAAGACGTACCTTGTTTTAAGTCTTTTTCTAATATGTCTTCATCGTTCCCATCGCCAAAGTAAATAGAACATTTAAATACAGCTCCATCTCCGTAGTCGATCTCAAACTTTGTTGTTTCATGGAACTTTACAGGTTTCGCAGAAATTTTCAGGTCTTTTATCTCTACAGGTTCTGGACGTCGGATAATGGAAATAGTAAGGTGTTCTCTCAGGCGGCGTTCACTTATGTCGTTATAAGCTTTAAATGATGGTTTAAAGGTTTCGCCCGCAGTGTAGTATTTGATGTCGGTAGAATTTGGTGTCAATGGAGACTCTGTGTCATTGGTTCCATCGTTTCGATAAATTATGAATTTTACGCTAGTTCCGAGAGCATGAAAAACAAGAGGAATTTCTTCATTCACATAGAACTTGCCCTCACCTGCTTTACTTTTGAATGACTTATCGATCTCCACTTCAAAATTACGCACAGGATCCTGGACTGTAACTTTTGTACTGCCAAACCCCTTGACACTCAAAAGGTTTCTTGCTTCAATATTCACTTCGTAAATGTCAGCTTTGGACCATGATTTTTTCACGTTGCAACTGTACGTCGAGGTTAAGTCATCAAACTGACATTGTGAGTAACTGATGGTTGTACTGGTATTATCACCAAAACGCACGATACTGGTAACATTCGTACCGCCAGTGACATTCCATTTAATATTGGTCACATTGTTTGTTTGTAATGACTTGATCACCTCTATATTGACACCAGTTATCTTTCGTTGTACGACTATCACACGCCGAAAACGTTTTAAACTCAATAGATTGCTCGCTATGCCTTTAATTTGGTAAACGCCGACATTCGTATAGTTCCAGCTTGTAGTTTGATTGGTAACATTAATTTTCTCTTCCCTATTATCACCAGCATCATAAGAATACGAGACGTTGGAACCCTGTAAAATATTTGCATCAACAACGAAGTTTGTGTTCACAGCAACTGCCTCAGGAGTTTCAAAAGTAAAACCAGTAACTTCGTGAAGCGTTGCGACGTTCAACTCTTTTGTAACGTTGCTAACGTTGTTTTTTGCAACAACGACGATCGTGTACGTCTTAAAATCGGAAAAATTTTTATTTTGACTTGAAGTGATTGATACAGATATATTGGGACGACGGTCAGTGTTGGTTACATCGTCTCCCCATTGCCATTCGAACGTTGGACTGGTTGCATACGGTATCTTTGCCACGAACTGGAGTTGCTTTTTTGTTAATACGATACACGTCCCATCTTCTCGTGAAATTGACGGACAAGTAATTTCTAGGGGAGGGATGACGGGATCTTGTATAATAATCGGGTAAGTGGTGTTGGATGAACTTATAAGATTCGTTGAAGAAACGAATATAATATATGAACCTTCTTGGGAGAACACATGAGTGAATTTGGGAGTAGATTGTAGATCTTTATAATCTGTGGTGTTTATATTGACAGTGTAATTGACTTCGGTGCCCTGTGTTAGGTTGACGCGAAAATATACAGTCGAGTTAGTTTTCGCTGGGTTGCTGGAAGAAATTACTTTCACTTTTCCGATTGGTTCTTGAACCGTAACAATTCGATATGCAGACTTCTTAGACACAGCGTTTATTGCCGTGACTGTCAGATTTACGCGACCAGCATCACCGAGAGTCTTAAACGGAATTGAATATGAACTGTTAATAAAGGCATCATACGCATCTGATCCGATTTTCCATTCATAAGACACATTATTTCCGCTAGTTATGTTGGCTTCAACGTCATATGATGTATTAATGGCTAGAGGAGGTATGTCCAAAATTGATAATCCTGTAATCGGTTCGACCGCGAAGAGGGAGATTTCGGAATGCAAAACGACTGTTTTATGGATATAGCAATGGATATCATGAAGACCTGGTGTGAAAACATACTGGATAGTATTACAGTTTGATGAAACCAATGAATCGTTATCAACCTGTAATACAACGGTGTACATTTCCGGTCCACGTTCAGCAAGTTTACACGTAATATTGGTTGATATATTAAAAACGGCAAACGGAGGAACTGTGATTTCTACAGGATTGGAAACATTTACAAGAAAGGAGAAGTTTACTGACGATACCATGTTTGTTGCCTCAACTGTCGTATTAATTGTCCCGAACTTGTGGTATATGTGGTTCACGGTGCTTTCTGTCGTCACCACGACATCGCTACCATCACCAAAATACCACTTGTAAGTAACGTTCGTTCCGGTCGAGATGGAGACATTGAATTTTGTCTCGAATCCTTGGTAGGACGTTTTTGTACTGTTCCACTTAAAAGCCTTAAGCCCAGATATTTTTTCCTGGATGAAAATAGTGGCGGTGAGCAACTTACCGCTAACCCCATTTGTGACTAACACAATCAATGGGTATTCATCGATACTGGGGAATGTGAAATTCTGTTGCCAGGTAGTTTTGTCCAGGATACCAAGCGTTTCGTATGGTGATGAAGCCACAGAAAAGTTGTTTACTTTCCATGCCACACGAGCCTTGGTTCCAAAATGAAAAGTGATAGAGATGTTGAACGGTTCATCTAAGGGTCCATATATTGAACACGAGTTAGTAGCTCCGGTGAAAGAAACATTACCCACGGGGTAAAGAACAGAAACTGGCCGTGTTACCGTGAGGGTTTCCTCCCTCGTTTTGTGAGCAAACGATATATTTCTTTCTCCATGTGTACTTGGTGCAGTTATGTTCACAACAAACTCTGTGGGTTTGGATGCAATACCAGCAAAAAGAACAGTTCCGTGCGTCTTATTCAATTGTTGCGAGAGGTAAACATGTGAAGTAGGCTGTGGCAGGGATGTAATGCTTTCAACGACAATATATTCACCATGACTCGTGTCCACAGCGAGTGTTGCGCTTGATGATGTCTTCATCCAACCAATGATGTCTCCAGGAAGATATTCAAACCTTTTACTTGGCTCCAAAATCTCTATGTTGTGACCAACGTCCACGGAAAAATTGAATTTATGATATACCGTGTAATTTTTGAACAAGGATACCGGAGTATTTACATCACCGGAAGAGCAGTTTCCTGAATTAACGCCGATAGTGCTTGTTCCACAAAAAGAGGTTTCTTCATTGCATTGTTCAGCTGAAAATTGACCACTGATTTCGCAGCAAGATGATGATACCGGACAGTAAGTCGTGCCTGCCCTGCATGTTGGTCTTAAAATCTACAAAAGATAATGTAATCATTGTTGTCAACTACTCGGGTACAACACTCCACCGAATTATTTCATTACACTCCCAATCTCATTATAGGCTCAATTAGCTTTAATTTTTCTGTAAAACAAAATTAAACGGTTACGCAAAAAATGCTCGAATAGTAAGTAAACAATCTACACTCCAAATAGTAAAATAGCAAAATGGCTTCAGCCATTAAAACTTTACCACAAAATCAAGCGATCCTTGCTTCTGAACATTCATTTCCCACGCGTAGACAACCACAGGGTGGCTAACTCCCGCGGTCAATATGACGAACCCATCCAAAGAATGAACACTAGGATCAGGGATAGTCCATCGTGGAACTGGTTCACCAATATACCAACTCAAAGGATCTAGGAAAATATCAAATGAAAATGATGAATTGGGGGTAAATAGCATTCAATTGATGGCACCAAATTCAAGGCGAATCACAAGGGTACTACTGTGCATCTGAATTATCAGAGAACCTGAGAAAACCTGCCGACAACCCACTGAAATCTTTCGATAAAAATTTGTCTCTATGTTTTTATGTAGATTAATGTGCGCAAGAGACTAGCAGCGGACATTTGATTGCTGAACTATTACACGGCCTCTTTACAATCCAAAAAGTGCGTGACAATGCCCCTTGTCGTTCTTACAAAATTTGTGAAAAAATATATATTTATTTCCGCAGCTGGGAAAGAGATGGGGTAAACAATTAGAAACGAACACTTCTGTGCCCACTCTTTGTAAGTAGGAACAGTTTTACTTAATAACATCACATTTAATTATTGTATTGTGGCTAAACTAACCTGCAAAATTCATTGAGCCAGACAATCCACCTAAATCCCATGTCATATTGACCTCTTTGCCAAGATTCAACCGTCCAGTACATGTAAAGGGATGGCCAGCAGTAACAAACTGTGGGCAATTAATTGATGAATCATTCAACGGTGAACTCACTTTAACGGTTTCTTGGAATTCCTGACGAATCTTACCAAGGACAACGACCGTTAATTGTACGTCACTTCCCCAAGCAGTGGGTCGGTAGGAATAGGAATTTCCGAATATGAGATCAGTGTTTGTTGCATTGAGGAATCCAGTGGCTTTGTACGCAAGTTGATACCGATAACTGGTCGTCTCGTTGACTGTCATCGCTTGGTATTGCCCCTCTTGCAAGAACGTTGGATTGCTGCTAAACTGAAGTTGCGGTTTATTTCTGAGCAGCATGCTGAGGTTGAAAATTCCTAGTGCACCTGGACCACCACAATTGAGGGACGAGTCCGCTGCGCATGCCTGATTACAGGCCAAGGATGGTCCTGCCACAGTATCTGAGCATACGCACAGTGCACCGCTGGTTAAGCCTGCCAGTTTTCGCTTAGTAACAGAACACAGGATGACACACTTGTAAGGCGTCATTTTAGACAGTTCATAGTTACTAGACGGAGGCTGTAGGTCTGATGGTGTACCCAACTGAAAACATCCTTCATAGATGTTTCCTGCAAAGAAGAGACATAGTGAGAACTGGTCATCTCGTGTATTGGAATTGTGAAAGATATTCTTTCATTCAAGCATGCATGCTTTGCGACTTGCTCGGAGGCGGTAAGTTACGGAAAAAGCCAATTTATTCAGAAATCTACAAAGCTGCAAACTGAAATTTAGGTTTATTTTTGACCAGCATGCTGAGGTTGTGAATTTTTAATGCAGCAGAACCACTACAATGGAAAAAAATGGGAACGCAGCGCGTACATATGTCTGTCACTCCGTATGTATCATCTGAGTGGAATCGTAGTATCAGTTTTTGATCACCAGAAATGCTAATGTGATAAACTGAGTTTTCGTATCGTAACAACGTCATCGTATTCGAAAACCTCCGTTTTCGCCCGTCCACACGTAAACATGAAAACGGCGTTTTCGAAAAACTCCACTCTGGAGAGCGTTTTTAAAAACCTCCGTTTTCGGTTACCGAAAACGCCGGTTACGTGTGGACGCAAGGCCAAAACGGATAAAAAAACCTCCGTTTTTAAAAATATCCGGATACGTGTGGACGGGGCCTTAATATTGTCACTGATCAATCGCATAAATTGTATATAACTCACTCACTGCCATTCAGAAATGAGGCAATACGTCATAAACGCTTTTTCAATGCTGAAAATTTTTAGGACGTGATTATTAGGACATGAAAATTTCAACAGTAAATTAAAAGATATATATAACACACCGTACACAGATGCAAGCTGTGTTGATGTCTAATTTGCATTTGAATTGTATTGCACCAGGAAGGTTGCTGAAAAATGACGAAAATTGCCGTGTGTGACACACATGCTTATGTGAATTGTTGATCGAGTGTGACGTAAATGGATTAAATAAAAGCATTCAAAGAAACACGCAATAGAAAGCAATGGACCTTTTTCATAATGATGTCAAACGAGGAAAGTATGATGTTACACGAAGTTTGATTGGCTCGACAGTTTTGTGGAGCCAATCAAATTTCGTGTAACATCGGACTTTCCGCGTTTGACGTCATTATAAGAAAGGTCTATTGAGAGTCGTGCCATACTCGCACACATCTTGCGTACGTGCAGACGTCACCACATGCATGTTTTTGGATACATATATTTATAATTTTTAGGTATTATATATTGGCCCATATTTATCACGTTTTTCGCTCCCATACAAAACATGTATTCTCCCTATTTATTTTCATACTAACTCTCCTGACGAAGGCCCTCAGGTCGAAACGTCGAGAAGTGTTTCGTCTATTTTAAGCAGTTGTTATACCATATTTGATGCAATATTATATACAGTATAATATATTTTTAAACCGAAACGAAACGAACATAAATCAGTCAAAAACTGAGGAAGATATTACGAGAATTACATAGTGCAATAAACTATGTAGCTATACATTATCTGCCTCGTTATCATGTTTTCGGGGTTTTTTCCAAGTAGCTACTGTAGTTTAAGATAACTATTAATATATATTATATTATCATCAGTAAATTATCAGTAATGCCATGCACACAGGAAATATATATTTTCCATCTATAAAAAATCGAACCTGCGACAGGCAGTCTTAATTTGAAACAAATTTTTGTATTAAGTCATTTAAATACGATTTCGGGATGACATACGTCCTATAGCGTCCAAATTATTTTTGAGTCACCTGCAGCTGTGCACGCGGAAAAACATTTGACAGCATGTTCAAGAATAGAGTAATATGTTGAAATATTTCTTAAATTTGGCCACACAGTACCTACTATACAAATCATCCAACCATATTACCTTGAAGCCCATGCAGTTTCCAAAGTCAAAACGCAAAATTTTCAATTAAGATAGCGCTTTAAGTCACAGCGATGAAAAACCCCTGGAGTTGGGTCGTGAGTTTTTGCTATGGCAATGCATGTTGTTTTCAATTACTATACGACAGTTGAAAATTAATGGAAACCAGAATTTAGTGATACGTTTGATTCTTGAAAAATTCAAATATTCAAAACTAATCATGCAGTAACTAAAGACTTTCCGTTTTCCGGCAATGGATTGGATCACAAAAAAATAAAACTTCTACAAAACATATACTTTTTGGGCGACTATCTGCAACCTGCACATGCTAACATGCAGGAATAAGTTATCAAAATTATATAGAGAGGTTAACCCTAACTTAGGCAAAGACCTAAGCTCATTAACATTAGGTCGGCACATGCATAAAGAGTTCAACGTCTGAAACGGGCCTATAAATGAACTAAATTGATGCGGTTAATGCCGACTGTTGGTAATAATCTGCATAACCTCTTAACACCTGGCTCTACTACAGTTAGTGACAGTATAACTATATAATGCGGTTTTATTCCTATAGCTAACCATTTTAAAATATTGACACATTGCTTTGCATGCATGTAAACATCACGTTTAGTTTACACAAATCCAGATGGACAAAACCCTAGTAGCACAAGCCACAGGTAGCGCATGCATGGCCAGCCCAAACAACAGTTTATTGCCAAGAGTAAGACAAAGTTGTATGTTGTATAGGTTTAACAATTTTTACAAAGGCGTTTAATCACTTTACGTATATTGAAATGTAATCGTTTTCTACAGCTGTGGACACTTTGATATCTGTCCAAAGAATTAAATAACTCAGCTTTTCAGGCTCTAGTTTCTATATGAAAGCGATGTCTGTATATATCATTATACGACAGCGCAGTCATGAATAACTGGTAGTAATACAAAATACAAAAGCATGCATGTTCGACATGCAAAACAATTTTTTACATATAATTTTTGAGACAAACAACCCATACGGAAATGGGAATTTTTTCGTCCCATGCATTTAAAACGACATGCAGCTGCATTTAACATATGTACGACGACACACGTTGGCAATAGCAGTAAACACCGCCCACTCCCTCCACGACTGAAGTCATTTCAAAGAAAAATCATGTTGGACAACAGTTCCCAAACTACATATACATGCAAGCGTTCTCAAGAAAGTTAACAATAATAAATTACCTGAAACATGCAGTTATACAGAGGCGGGAAAGGCGGGGGAGGAAAAAAATCCTGGAACGACATTTTGAACCTGTTCAGCATGCCTCAATTTGAGGCCTCAATACCGGCTGGACTTTTTTGTTAATCATTGAAGCCTCAATATTGTCTGTTTATTTCTCAGGCCCCTTTTCTACCCTTTGGCTTTGGATGATACGCCCCATTGCGGTTATCATTCAAACGTTTGCATGTGCATTTTCATATGCTAAACCTGGACAATTGCCAGTTCATTTAAATCGTCACAACAGGAAAAATTTCAAATGGAATAAATATATAGAATGTTATACAAATCATTTAAAAAATAGTCATACTTCATCAAAAGAAAATAATACTGAATATATAGCCGAATGTTATACAAATCATTCAAAAAATAGTCATATTTCATCAAACTTATATACCATTTAGCACGGTACGGAAAGCAGACCCTTCGACCTTCGTGCCATTAAACTTTCATCCGCGCTGAAATACCGGCGTGGTTTTAAAATCTAGTTTAGATGTTAGTGCATGGCATGGTTACCACAAGGGACAGATAGATGCTAAATGAATGCTATAAATGTCGTATCTATGACTGAGAATGAGGCAAAATGCAGATTTATATTAAACCATATTGAAAAATCAAAGCGAATAGATTTTCGAAATATATACATGCAAACTCAAAAATGACGGAAACCGGCACCTGGAAAAGAGTATATGTATATGAAGATACAATAGCTACTCAACTTTGCCAAGATCTATACTACCCATCAAAGTATTTATTGTTAAATTAAAAGCCTGCCAATGTAATTAAAATACGCAATATAGAAATATATGACAGATGATTTTAAGAATTATGACAAATATCTAGTGCAAACATTGTGCCCATACATGTATAGGTTTTATTTGCAAATAATATATGGGTATAAAGCTAGCTGTCATGCTTATATATCACTTTCATTCGCTTCTAGATGCATCAAGAAAAAATTTTTTTAAATTTCCGGCTTATCGTATGTATATATGTTTTAAGCTAAGATGTATTAAAAGTTTGAAACCTATAATGAAAGGATTGAAACTGAACTTCGCTCAAAATAATTTCCTACTAAAAAGGTTTCGTCTTCAGGATAAAACCTAATATAAAATGGCACATACATGGATAAAAGTGTCAAAACGCTACAGCTGTTTGAATCACGAAAAATTCTTAAACTCATTCAACTTCAAAGTTTTAAAACGGCAACGGTTGAAATTTTATGCAAGATAATCATCTCAATTTATTTCATTTTATTAAACGAAATTGCAAGTTTTAAAGCAATTATATGCGTCTTCATCAGGCATCACAAAGTTGGAGATTATGTTGGGCATCGCGCGATAATCTTTGATATCACGCGCAGAATATGATGCAATAACGAAGCTCTTTCACAATATTATTCTCCATGCAACACTTATGTTTCTATTTCTAACGGATAACTCTCTTAAGAAAAATTTTCTTTAAAATTGCAAATGAAAAATCGTATGCATTCAATATTTTCTTTTGTGTTGACTTTCTGCCCTTGTTGCTATGTAGGCAGGTGGTTCGTGCATGGACGAAAACAGGACTAAAATTTTATTTCATCATCGTTTTCGCAGCTATATTACAATAAACTTAAAACTTACCGGCCGTTGCATTGAAAATAAATCCTGTTCCCAAACTCTCGGGAAGCACGAGTTGAAATATCGAAATAACTTGAAGGAGTGTTGGCCACTTCATCGCCTCTGTGTATTTTACACACAGTACCTTAAACACGTCTGTTATCACCTTTCGGAGAGACACAGGACTTCACATCAAGATTACAATCTAACCAAAATATTTGAGAAATAGCATTAGATAAGATATTTTGTTTCCATGTACTTGAGATAAAACTCCCTCAGATATTGCGAACGCTCAATTCGCAACTGGTTTTTCTCGGTTCAAACTGCGCTTTTCAACATTAATGTTTAATGTGAAAATGCGTCTTCAATCATTGGTGGAAAGACTGAATAGCAAATTATTACATCCTTGGCAACAGCATTTAATATCAAACAGGACTTTCGCCATGTATCGCGTAATTAAAAGAAAAGTGCTCGTTGGCCGTTTACACTTGCGATTTTCTTCTTTTGATAGATGTAAACGAGTAATAAGTTACGAATGCTTTGAAGTGTACGAGCTCCTATTTAAGCATCCGTAACTAATTCACTCGTTCGTATCTATCAAAAGAAGAAAATCGCACACGGAAATTTACGAAATAATAATTTAGGAATATCAAGGAAATTTTTCGAAAAAAACAATTGAACTAAATTAAAATCTTAAACATTTCGGCATCCTCTGCAGCGCCTAACGCGAATTCAATTTCCACTGAACTATACGAAATTGCAACATTTTATATGCGCGGATCGATCAATGATAAATCATTAGAAAATTAAACTAGTTATATTTATACTAATTACAGGTAAAATAAATATGTAGCTGTAGCTATATCTGCAAAGGTAGAAAATACGATCGAATCGACATTTATTATCAACACGTCTTAAACCAGAATTCTAATTGTGCATGTGAATTGTCGTAAATCGAAGCAATTTAATTGATAAAAATCTACATTTCATGCAAATAGAATTAATTAAAGCTAGGAACGAGTTTTACCGAAGGTATTGGGAATGGCAAAGCCGTCAAAGGAGAAACTATTCAACACTTGTATGTGGCATGAATAATAAAAATACAGCTTCACCGGTCACTATCCTTGACTGCATGGCCTCAGTTCTTAGACTCTACACACTCTATAAAGGATAATTGACACACGAGTATACAGAGGGCAGTTGTTCGAAAGCTGGATAGCGCTATACACCGCCACCGCCACCGGATACGGTTTTTTCAAGTACCCGTTGTCCGGTATAATTTTGATTACCTATACAACATCTTGTGGCTTTAACTATTTGCCTTGTCTGGTTAACGCAAAATTAATTCACATGTAACTCAATCAAAAAAATAAATTGTTTCTGGAATAAAAACAACAGGCCAGGGTAAACTCTAAATATTCGTATATTATATCATACAAAAACAGCTAACGCGAGGCAAACCTTGAAGTATAGAGAACTATAGCCTCGGGTCAAACGTCGTACCTATAATAGAATAATAGAACTAGAGGACATAAAGCGAAAATGGCTTTCGTCGTTTTGGGGTTTAATGTTACAGAAATTGGGGTCGTAGCTACCTAGCTTGTAGTTATAACCATGTTTAAAATCTTTGAAAACACAAATCAATATAAGTTCTATATTCAGTTATTAGAAGTAACTATGACTTATGATATTGTTGTCCCATATCAGAGTCACCCGCATCTACTTTCCCATTACTTTACCTATCACCTGCATGTTTCATATAAATTAGCATGACAGGTGGCTAAATTCTTGCAATATTCACAATGTCAAGTGACTATATAGTTATAGATGAAAGCCTAGATTTACTTGAAATTGGTAACAGCATTATTTAGTAGAGATCTAGAACTTAGATATCAGTTTAAAACTAAACCCTGAGTGAAAAATCGATAAATTAACTAATCGTTAACCAAAGCCCCATCACAGAATGCAGAAGTGAAAAAATCCATCGTTATACTAGACTAGAGAAAACAAGTTATTTTTGTCTTGGATGAAATGTATGGCAAATGTTTAAACTTATTTTCCATAAATTTGCACTAAAACTATATGCACTAACCAGGTATGTCACAAAAAAATTAGTCATGCAGCAACATATTATTGCATAATTAAACAACAGTATAGTTTCATGAATATCGTATATCATAGTTACCAGAAAAGTGATTTTTGTAAGTATAAATAGTAAAACTCAGCACTCAGCAGTCCTTTTAGTCTTAGATTCATCCGACTGCTAAAAATGTAGCACATAGCCATAGGCTATAGCTACGCTTGGCTATATATTGACGTATTGTCAAAAAGGGTGCCAAGGTAAGCCTTGCGTGAGTCAATACACCGGCACATCAAAAAACCATTAGTGACATTACGGAGATGTGACACTAGGGGACACACTACATGACGCGGATGTGACAGACATCATGAGAAAGGGGACATTGACTAATCATTATAACGGTCCTTCTGAGGCATGATATCATTGCAAATTCTAAAGACTAAACCAATAATATATTTTGCTTTAAGAACATGCATATTTATTCTATAACACATTTAAAACGGCTTTTTTGTAGAATTAAGCGTATACGCTTCGCCCACGCCTCACCAGCACATTCGGTAATGCGATTTGTTCACAAAACATTATATTATTGTTAAATTTTATTATTAGACATCGTTTAAAATATACGGATAAGCCAGCACACGAGTCCACTTTGTGTTTGAAGAGCATTTTTGAATTTAACCAGGCTGCAGAAGAAAGTTCACGTTTATCAATGCAGTGTGTATTGAATGTGCCAATGAACTTTATTTCGTTTTTAACATACAATACACTCGTGTATATAACTTTTTCAAAAAGGCTAACTCAACAAAAAGTAAACAAATCTTACTGCATAGTGTACATATACTCCCAACGCCGGGGTATAATTAGATGCCACATCGAACATTCTCGACAGCCCAAAGGCATTTTACTTCGCTTTAGCAATTTAGCAACTGTGCACAAGGTAAATAACAAACGTTTCATCAATAGTTTATCAATGTCCATATAACTGCTATAGTGCCAACACTGTGGGAATCTCAACAATTGAACAACAACATTATCTTGTGTTTAACAGCAAACTTTTGTCACTTTTTAGTTTCTGACTGCGTTTTTCTTCAACAAAATCCCATCCACTCAATAACAAACTTTTTTGTGGCTCTTCCAGTCGGCTCTTTGACATTTCTGCGAACAATAGCGAATGTTTTTACATGCAGAACATCTCTTTGTCTTGACATCTTCCTCACCACAAACACTGCACATGTTTTGCCAAGACTCTTCTGAAGTTATGTCAGCCAGTTCTTTGAGGGACGGTGAAACCTTGACAGCCTTCTTGAGAATATGGTCAAATAGCTCTTGCTTGAAGTTATCACAATGGTGTAACCGGATTAGATACTTCCTTGATGGAACATAACCCGCTTCCAGGACAACGTCAACACAAGCAGTGAACGAAGCATCTTTGGAGTGACTAGTGGAGTCATGCACGCAACGTTGACATTTGGGACCAGTACCCATAATACATTCATAGCATGAAGTATTGAACAAAACGAAAAGGACATCGTTCATCAGATCTTTCTTCTTTCTAGCGGGCTCGTCTGGTAAACAGCTGATGGCAGCCCGGAGTGCACGAAATGCTCCTTGTTCAGCAGCCATTTCAATAGCACAGTAATGCAGGCCATATTTAGCAGACGGATCAGCACCTGAATAAAATAATCAAAGATTTATAATTGTGATAATTTCATGAACATCCATATTAGAATTGAATTTTCTATGATATCCTTTTTTAAGAAAATTTTTTTATTTAGGTTTGCACAGATAATTTATAAAGTATCTACAGATGTAACAGTTTTACCATAGTTGCATAAGAGCCTGATAATTTTGGGATCATGATCATAATAGCAAGCCATATGTAGTGCTTGAGGAACACATCTTCCATGGCGAACAACAGCTTTAGCTCCAGCTTTCAGTAAAACTTCAAGATGATCAACCATATTGGCTTTCACAGCTTCAGTGACCAGACCACCTTCGAATCCTGGCAATGAGCTGTCAAGAAAGATCCCCTTCTTCACGAACGACATAAAAGTTGACAGGGTTTGCTTGATCTTGAGGAAATCCAGGATCTCTTTCTCTTTTTTCAATAACAGAATGCAGTAATGCGTATGACAGTTCTTAGCTGCCCACTCAATAGCTCCTGGCGTTTCATTCCACAACTCAATGTTGGATGTGCAATACACAGCTGCGTTGCTTAACGAGCTCTCAGATCTCATAACGAATGGGATCCTGCAATTTGGTAACTTTCGTTCACCAGTGAGAAAGGCAAGAACATAATAGGAAGCTTGAGATGCACACATTATTGCACCTGGAGGAGGGAAAACTGAACCAAGTTTATGATTGTTTTCGTAAAACTCCTTTGCAAAGCCTCTTGTACGCTTGTATCTGAAATCAAGCAACGCAACGCTCCAAAACCACGCACTTGCAGACGATGCAAGGCCAAATGCTTGCTGATTTGATTTCTTGGAGGCAAAGGCAAGAGCACCTCTGTCGTCACCAAGCTTCATGTACACTTCCAGAACATGAAAACGCCAGTTGGCATACGACGACCAGCTATGAAAAAATTTTTTAGACATTTTAGAAATAATGGATAAGAACGAATACTTATTTTGCCAAAATCTGTTATGCAATGTTAAGCCGTAATATTAGCCGTAGCATTCGACACAAAAAATGGAAAAGTTTAGTCGCGAAATATTCAGTGCAAAATCTAAAAATGCAGCGTGGTATTTCTTCAAAAACCACAACTCACTTAACAATATGTATAAGATCAATGCAACAGGTATACAGTCCATGTAAATTATATACCTGTGAAAGTTTGGATCAAGTTTCTCGAGAAGTAAATACTTCTCTAAAGCTTCTTTGTAGCGTCTCATTTTACGTAAAGTATTGGCTTGACCATGCACGGCTCTGAAGTAACTTCGCAGATGATTTTTACTCCAACATCTCCCTTCTGCAACATCTGTGGCGAAATCTGGGCTGATCATCGGTGCAATTTCAACGGCCTTGTTGTAAAACTCTACGTATAAAAATAATAAAATCAGTAATTCGAGTTAGAATTAAACGATAAATAAGATAGGACCTGACTGCTTTCCACTGTCACGTTTTTTGTACGTACGAACACGCACGTAAATTTTAAAATCATTGAAATGATACTTATTAAATCAACATTTGAATACACAGATGTAGATGCATAGGGTTGGATTCGGTTGATAAATCTGAGGTTTCTGGGTTCACTCGTCACTACAAAGGCTGCGGAACTATTTTAAAAACAGGGGAAACCTGCAGCACTTAACCTTTCAAATTAAGATGTTTACACTTATTTTAAAATCGTTTTACTTCGACAGTTCCTAATTACAGAAATCTGTTTGTCGGCAAAAATTGTAGACAAGAGGTGTGGGCGTCGTCGGATCTAATATGCGGATTTTTTGAAATATTGTATTTCAAGCAGATTTTACATGGTAGATTGTGCAAATAAATGATAAGCGTAATTTACTGTATATATAATTGTAGTATATTCAAAATACATCGGTCCCAGAGTTAAATTTCATGTTTCGTCGGTCTTAATGGATCAATTTTTATATCGGTGTTGCCAACAAAACTCAAAAGATATGTTTCTACTTTCTATTGGTCGAAATAAATAAGTGTTTAAACTGTAGGTCAACATGTACATATTACATACATTGTGAATGTCAATTTTAATTATTTCTATACTAACAGATAGGGAAACATTTATAATAATGTAAACGTTCCGCGTCTGTTTCCTGAGTGGTAATAAAGGATCCCTACAAACAATGAAACATGGAGTTTCTGCCTCAATCTAAAGCATCAGGGGTGTGTGCATGTAGACATAGTCTATGCAGTGTTTGTACTTAATTTACATCATACATGGCAACATCAACCCATCCTTCGATAGAAAGGACGAAACTATGCAAATTTATCCAAATCCATTTAATTGTTAAGTTTCATCACTGATTTAGTGGTTAGAGATATAACTTTTTATTAACTTATAAATCATTGTTCTTTACATGTATGACAGTGGAACATTCGATCTTTAACCTCATGAAAAATTCTTACCATTCTACTCATAAACATTCATTATATTACAATGTTAATTTGCAATAACTTTATCTACCTTACTTTCAAACACTTGTATACAAAAAGTAGAAAAAAATTGGTTCAAACACTCAGAAAATATACAGTAGTCAAGGAAAGATTATAACTCATAACAGTCTTGCAAAATTTCTTAAAGTAAAATAGAGGATTTGGATTGACAATACAAAAAAATATTTATTACAGACCATTTCATTTGCCCAAAATTCCCAGACCTTTTTAGATAATCGGGGACCATGTCAGGTTGTGTCAGCTTGAAGCAAACATGGTGCAAGAGTTGGAAAACTTTACTAATCCACAAGGTTCAATTTTTTAGGGAAGTTATTCAAATGAATCAATCAAATCCTTCATGATACCTACAGTATAGCTACCTATATTAAGGTGATTGTTTTGCTACAAGTCTTTTGATGGTGAACGTCTGGCTATTATATCTTGTGTTTGCGTGCAGTTACATCACATCCATCCAGTCTTCAAAATTGTTTGAAAAGAAAATAGCCATTGCAAAGATGAGGATATCATTAAATACAATTATTCTTGAATGGGCCATTGAAGGCATTAATTTATCAAACAGAATTCCATGAAAATACCTGGACTAGATACAAGTCATGAACTTCAAATTAACTCTTTGGTCAAAAGTTTTAAAACTACATTTTTATAGGGCTTGTCCATGGTGACTTTTCCAGAAATATAAATATATAATCACAGATTGAGGACCAGGTATTGCTAAAGCTGCTTTGTAAAACAATATTTGAAATAATGATATGACCAAACAAATCGTACCTGAAGGGTAAACTCTGTTAACAGATTGTCACCATTTCAAATTTTAATTATAAGTGGGTTAGACAAAAGTTGCCAGTCCACCACTTGCAAATTATCATATTAAATGCACCATAAAAATAGTATGAATTAATCTAAAATACATCACACACATCACCTTCCTTATAAGAATTCGTGTAATTTAAATTTAAATAAATTCAAGAAAACAAAAGTTTATTTAATACTAAAATACGAGTATATTATATTAACAAACACAGTAATTCTTACCAAGCGCCTCTGAATAACTGTCAGCACCAAACATTGCCATAACATTATATGCTTCAGGACAATACGGTGAAATAGCCAAAGCTTCCTTGGCTCCTTGTACGGGGTTTTCGGCCATATAACACTTTCTCGCTTTTCCTTCGGCTTTATATATTCTCTTGCTTCCATAAGCGTTGGCCATGGCAGGCATTTCGCACGGCACTGGGCTGCCGATGGTTTTTAAAGTTTCAATGTGCGCCTGAAACTCCGGGTCTTTTGCGATGTCAGCTTGACCAAAACGCTCAAACTTGAGAGGATACATTGGATTAGTTATAGTCATAATGTCTCCGCCAAACATTTTGGCAATTTCTTCCATTTTTAATACCACAGGAGTTGAATTAAAGCTGGTGGCTGACTTGTTGTATGACTTGAACTTGTTGTTGCGCTTCGAAATGTCATTCACACGTGAAAGCCTTGCGTGTCGCGTTTCACAAATAGCGGGAACTTGTGTCCAATCAGGATCCAGCAAAGGGATGAAGTCATGTCTGTCACACCTGGACCTATGAATGGACACCTATATCACCCCTATGTGAAATGGTTTTCATAAATTATGAGAAATTCTGAGTTCTATACTGTTAGTTGTTAATTAAGTTCTGTAAAATTTTTAAGGGCTGAGTCTGAGTCCCCTAACTCCCCACCATATAGTCCATACTCCATAGCCTTGCAAAACGCTCTCATCGCGTGTAAGAGTAGAAAGGGCGAGACGCACAGACTTAGAGCACTTTTGAATGAGTTAAATGCTTTTAAAAGTCTTATAATCACGAAAACATTCAGTTTCATAGTCAAATGGGCTCTTTTACTGTAGCCCTTGCGCTAAGGAGACACTCCTACCATCCCCGAGGTGACTGAATGGTAAAGACTTTGGCCATTCCGGCTAAAATGGTTTATTATATCTGGCGGTATGGGACGACAATACTCCAAGGATAGAATTCACATGTCAGTCAAAATCACAAATCAGATTTAGCTGTGTTCTTTTTCAACATCTATTTAAAACTTAGTTCGTAGTGCAGTCCTAATGTATATAAATATTATAAATATTTTAAAAACTATCTAACTATTCTTATTTTCACTCTCGTGAAATGTTAAAAGTACTAGTTTTTCACCGTAATCACAAACTACACTGTTTTCGTCACATTTTAACACGTGGTTGATTAAAATACGATCATATCTCTGTTCCAGTTCCACAACCCTGAGTATGTGACCTTGAATTAATCCCACAACTACCATTGTGTCCTGGAAAGTGAGAAAAACCAGAGTTGACATTCAAAAATGGTGTTTTGCAACAGTGAATGTGAATTACCAAGGAAAAAAGGACAACGATGAGGAAATTTAACATAATTTAATCGTTTGAAAGAAAAAAAAGAGATGCGAAGTTATAATGCAGAATGTATATAGATTATACTCCATGCACGAATGGTTATGGGAGTATTTTTGTATATAATGATTATATACAAGAATACTCCCGTAACCATTCGTGGACGTGGAGTAATTATCAAGTATACATACCTTTCCCACACACACGACAATGTCATTCGACAATGGCGTAATACCAAGACAACCACCAGGAAACTAAGAAGAAAATGTTTTTATTTTCGACAGTGTATATAAATATCAATGAATTGTACCGTCAACCTCGTTGGTCTTCCGTATCTACCTTTGTCATTTTGACACTCACCTTGGGTAATTTGTAAAGAGTGAAACAGGGATCGATACCCAAGGATCCAAAAACAACAACAAATATAGCTACCTCTCGTTAATGGCCTGATTGGCCACACAAACCCGACGGGGGTGCTTTACACTAACCTGTGTCAAACATTGCAAATGATTTCTTGTGAAGCGATCCCACACGCACAACATTTCTGTAATATCCAGAGTTGCTATGCGGGAGGGTGTACTGACGATTGCCACAATTGATGTCGAGTGTTTGGGTGCAAAACGGTTACTTTCACCAGATATAAGACTCCACGATCGAATTTCACCATCAGCAGAACCACTTATCGCAGCATTTCCATCAAACTACACATTATCATAGACAAGCAACGGATATTGAATATAAGTAAAAAATGTGCAAGAATTCTGTAATTTTTTATGAAGGAGAATATATAAACATATTGTCATTGTACCTCTGTCGTGAGTGCTGTAACAGGAGTGGTGTGACCTCGTAAGGTGAAGAGACAAACCCCGGTTTGTGAACGAAATACCTATATACATGGGAGAGGAGTAGTAGAGATAAGGAGTCAGAACAATGCCTTGATAATGTGAACCCTTTCCCAAAGTCTGAAAATAAATGTTGTTAGTGTGTCTAAGAATTTACAACGGAGAAATGTACCCTGGTTACCTTGAGTAAGTTATCAACACTTCCGGATATAACCAGATCTTTACAAACTGAAATGACACTGATTGTTTTTCCATGAGCTCGACAAGAATGAGAAGGGAAATGATCGTTGGATACACTATTCATGATGGTTTTCCACGACGATGGATTGGAATGCATCTTTTTGCGCATGCTTGGCATTGAAGAACTATTGCTGGAATTCTCTGAAAACCGATCTCCAAGATCAATAAATTCAAGGAAACCATTCAGTCGACTTATGACAAGAATTTTGCTAAAATAAACACAGAAAGGTGGGTATATTAAACAGGCAATGAACGTGGGCATTTATAGTGTGTTATTCATTAAGATACGTACGGGTTAATATATTATAAATACCAAAGTACAGTACTGTACCTCCGTGAAACATATCGAATTGTCGTAATTCCACTAGGATCATTTTCATAAAGAAAACAAGTGCGCTTTTTGAAGAAGTCCCAAATCTAGATAAAAAAAAGGTAAAACTGAGCTTAGAGCAGATAACTCAAAACGTTGCTTGTTATAGTAGGCATTTTCACTTTGCATAATCATAATCATATTGATGCAATTTCTGCTACAAAGATTTTCTGCTACAGTGTGTTACTGCATTTCTGCATTCCAGGATAAGCCATGCAGGAACATTGAGTCAGGTCAATTTTTATGCTGGAAAACAACATTACTGAATGTATACCTCAAGATCGCCATTTGAACATCCCATAGCAACAAAGTTTTCCCAACAATGCAACGACCAAATTTTCGTGATGAGTGACTGCAAACAACAAAGTTAGAAGAATACTCTACTGAGCATTACGTAAATCTACAACGGGTGACAAACGGGGTAATTCCTGCATTAATAACACCCCTGCAAACAGTTATATGCAATGCATCCTATTATACATGCACAATACTGATTACCAGACATTACCATTTCCTTTCCACAACACTAATGCATTCTGTTGTTTTCGAGTCCCAAACTCGAACAGATCCTTCAAGACAGGAGCTAACGATAACGTTATCACTGCAGTCAACACATTCTATGTTCTAGATAATAGGATTGAATATACATTGTTTCGTTTAATTGTTCATTATTAATTCTTTGACATAAAGGGAAGAATGAAACCAACACCATAACAAACAATAAGTAAACATGCTCATGCTAGTAACTGGAATTTAGAAAAACGTTTTTCATACGGATTAAGCACTGCCCAAAACATCCAGTTACCTGTTGATGGCCGTCCAGGAATATCGGAGATGTGAGAAGCATTATCGATTTAGCATTAGGCTTAAACTTTTTCACCTTATGATATCTCGGTCGAGTAGACAACAGCTGATAAATTAAATAGACCAAGACGATCATAAATATGGCAGTTATGAGATACAATATTTTCACAAAACCAGCCAGCTCCACAGCATAACTATGCGAGGTCCATCGTAGGTCTTTGCTTATATCCTGATAGAATTTCGATATATTCTCACTGTCCCGAGATAACGGATCCCGAATATGTAAATTTTCGACCTTGTATTGCAGATTTATGGGCGGGAGAACGCTGATATACCTAAAACGAAAAAATGGAACACCGTATACGTATATGTACTTTTTTTAACCTAAAATTGAGTGCATGCATGTACACACAGTGTGATCGACAGCAGAGAGTTAGATACAGACATTTCCAGTGTACATACCTATCCATAACATTAACACCATAAAGGTCTAGTAACTCAGGCCAATGTTGTCGTGAGAGATTCCTCCATAATCCTTCAGTCTTTAGACTCTTTTTACATGGGAAAACATTCGGAGAGTCCTCACTCAACTTTTCCTCATTTGCTGTGTTTGCCAAATCTTGAAGACTGCCACTACTAGCTAGGACTTTTGTGGGGTACTCGTCTTTGTATATTATAGTCGTGGATGTAATATACAGTAAGTAGATGATAGCAAATATCTAAATAATTATAACAAAAATGTAGCAAATAACAATGGCAATGTCACAGTATCGAGATATTGAATCAGTTACTGGCTGATGTTAGCTAGCTCGAAGTTCTGATTGGCTGGAAAATGCAATTTACTGGCTACGAATGCGAATATGGTAATGCCATGCGTATATCATTTGGTATGCTAATGGACGCATCATGAAGGGTTCATTCCAATCTAAACTATCTTCAACCTGTGTCATTTGATCATATTTCTATTAGAAGTTTTATGATGAAAGCATAAACATGCAATTAACATTTCTCGCGGTGACGAGCCCTTTTTTAAAATTGTAAGATATGCGTCATCGTAAGAAAAACTAACGTGAAAACTGACATCTTAAATAGCTTACCATTATTCCTCTTTGTACAATCCTGGTTCGGGCCCAAAAATAGGCAAAGTTTAACCTTCTAGGAAGATCCTGGCGTAGCGAAAAGATTTTCATTGGATTATAGAAGTAAGTGAAGACATCACGCCAGTTTCTTAATCCTGGTCCTTCAGGCTCATCAGGTGTTGATGGTTTTTTATCAGAGGGATCAGTGGGTGGGAGGGAAGGTACTGCAACGAAAATTTATATAGAGTATAAATAACTATAATAGTGTATGTCGCCTGTTAGATTAGTATAAAATTTTCTTGAGGATAATTTTTTACAAGCTATAATATATAGGCCTAAGTACCGCAGTGCGAGTCATTTGCTTTGTATATTATAGGAAGAGTAAAGATATAATTTCGTACCAGGAATTTGAATATGCGGAGACTGCGTCGGGTGCTAAAGAAAAAGCAATTAAAGCAATTAATTTAATCTTAAAATTTAATCTATACAATGCATATATAATGTTTGCTGCCTTATAAATTTTTTTTAGGCGGATTTCCTAACACTCCTTCCGTCCCTCGAAAAATGTCAGCATATCCAGAATTAAGATTGCATCAATCTTTGGTATGTGCATGCACCCCCCTGTCAGGCCTAATCCGCTCCTGCAGTTATTAATTTAAAACAATGGATTCACCTCCAAGCGACCCAGGTCAATTGATAGTACTGTAGCAAAGAAAACAATTTGAAGGAAGAAATCAGTCAGAACACCAACTCCTCCGACCATACAGAACTCCTAACAAAATAATTACAATCGTTTAAAGCGTTGAACTTTACAATCCGCTCATCATGGTGCATGTAAAGAATCGTAACATGGTTAAAGTAGCGAGGCCAGGACACCTATATCATATAGCCAAAGATTGACAATGAATTTTGAAATTACTTTTAACTAGATCAATTACCTGAACTCCAGGAACGAACGTCAAATATCCACAAAGTAATAAGAGAAGCTCTGTTGTCAAATTCAGTGTGATAGACCGTCCTTCTCTACTTAGTCCTACAAAATAATGACCATATATATTTCTAGTAATATCCGAATCCCCCCACAATATACGGTACGGCCCCGATGATAACAATGGGAATGCATATACTAGTATATATTTATACATACATTGGCATTTAGAAGTATAATTTTCTATAGTGATTGAAGTGCACAGGAGACAAAACAATAGTAGATTTTGCATGGGGAATAAAGAAAAAATAAGGAAATGAAAATACAACAACAATATTGCGCACCTTCAGCCACACGTATTGGAACGGGAAGACAAGGATGTGTAGAAACTATAGATCTTGTTATGACCAAAATATTTTCTAATCCAATGATTATTACAAGGTACGGAAATATTTCACTATAAAACACAAAACATATAACATGCGTTGTTGAATCCCGTGTTGAATAAATCTCAGCGTGTACTACCATTGTATCTCACCTGCTGCTAACTGATGGTACCATCCCAAAAAATATACACAGTCCCGCAGCCATTGACAATGAAGCAACCACAGTAACAACGGCACTGAACGCTAGACCGAGTTTCGACTTGACCATTTCAATTTTAGCTAAACATGCAAACATACAAGTGCTTCAATCAGTAACAGCTTAAGTTTTGTTATTTTGTTAAGTATATTAAATACATCACTTTAGCATTTGAATTTGATTAGTCGCAGTATTTTTCTTAACTTACAGACTGAAAACACGAGGTATATGAACACCATGAAATATGTAAAACACAAATGGTAAATTTCAATTATATTGTCACCCTATAGAAAAACATGAAAGATTCAAACGTATATTTCATATTGTTACCTCACACATAATGTTGTAAACATAACGTCATAAGGTGGTGGTTTGTTCTTCAAATAAAGTTCAAAACTGAATTTTCACACGCGGCTTCTCCACAACACCATTTAACGAGAATTATTCCCGACTTATATAATTATACAACATTTAACTTACAGCATATGCATACTTATAGCCCAAGATAAAAATTTGAAATGAGATACCTTGTTGCTGAAACGTACGTGAAGACCCAAGCCAATCATCCCAAGCGCCCGATGCTCGGACACAAGTTAGTAGAAAGAAGCAAAAATTTCATGGACGATATATACATGCAATAATTCATTTGTTATAATTACCTCGTAATGGATATGAACTATTGTATGACTATCGCTGTCACTTTTCATTGTACAAAATTGCGGAAACTTTTCTAGAAGAAACTTTTTCAGACTCTTTGTAAAGCTAGCAAAATAAAAAAAAATACATTGTTCCATTATACCTCGCTACTATATAACACGTCCAGGTACACATTTAACGAGCTTTAATTTTAAAAAATGAATTTATATAGGAGACATTCTCCTTGCATTATTCAGTCATTGCATTAAAACGTTAATTACATTTTAAAATTTCTCTTACAGTTTACCAACCTTGGATTATGGTCACGCAACACAGTCGTCACAGCATAACGAATGACCAGACACGTTTCATTCACAGCTAAAGGAAACAATCCTATCGACCGCAGAGGCACTCCAAAAATATTTTCTAAGAAGTAAAAACAACACAAGCTTGTTGATTAACAACACCTCACCTGACTCAAGCACCTGGATAGCTCAATAAATTATTGTATACCTTTTAAACTGACGATATTCTTGCTTGGTTTCCCATATATTTTTCCTAAAATATTCTTATCATTTTGAAAACTAAAAGTAAAAAAAATGGTAATATAATAGTGTATTTGTATATATAAAAAACAATAATTATACGTCAGTTACTCGACAATAATTAACATGGTTTTAAACCCTGGTACTTTTTGATTTCAAAAAAACACCACGAAAAAACATCTAAAATATACGCTTCTGTTCATGGAATTTTTTTAACCCTGTCGCACACAGTTTGCTAAAAGTATGGTACATGCTGTGTATGAGACAAGGTTCTTACCCAATGTTTTTTTTCCACTAGATTTCTAAACCGACTCTGAATTATAATTAATTCAATGCACAATGTTGGAATTGTTGGGTTGTTGACACTTAAAACCTTTTTGACGTGGTTCATATATATATTTCTTTCCATGCAATTCCATCGAGGAATGCCAATAGGATAGATTTTTATACAAATAATTATCGTATAGCATTGATTTAGCTAATCCTATTTTGGTGATAGGCATTTAATTAAAGATGATATGATAGATATAAAGAGTGATTAGATAAACCAAGCATGACTCACGTGTATCAGAGGCGATTTAGAGAACAAATGTGAAACATATATACATATAGAATTCATTCTACGATGTTTGTATAATGTTTAGTTTTGAAAACATTGTGTTAACGCAGTGAGGGGCTTTTATTTACAATATACATACACTGTTCAGAGATATAAGAAAATTACCAAAGAGACCGACAAGAATTCAAAGAAAAACTAATATGAAGTATTCTATTTCTTTAACTACAATATATTTTATTTCATAATCACATGTTTCGGTTTAGCTTTTAGCACAAGCACTAGTGACGCAGCTGAAATAAATGACAAACGTTTGATGGAAAGATTGGTGAATTACGGAACTTCAGGAAGGTAAGATTTTGTTCCATCTTTTCAATATATTACAGCTTACAATCTAAAATAACGGCGCTGTAGACATTATGTATTAATTTCTTTACTTCTATATGCGATATGCGATACACATGCATGCATGCATGCAAATCCCAACGCAATTCGGGAGATGCTTGTCACAAACACTTCCACAAAAGAACTTACAAAAAATCAGCAAGAATAAAAACACAAAACACACCATTATCTAGTTTTCAAGCATACAATTATTGTACAGTGACCACAACAGTCTAAATAAAGCGAGTCTTAGAATAACTATACATGCATGCGTGAATTAAAATAGCTAGATATAGGAATACTGAATATTGCATAAATCTTCCACTTTCATCCTATACATATATATTAATAGTTATTTAGAGTATATAAACACGGAAGCAGGAACATAATTCTATTAAAGCAAGGCCATTATAAATAAGAAATTTTATTAGTCTTATTTGAAAGAACCCATAAAATATTACTGTACATATTAGGCTGGATTTTGAATTTTTGATATCTTGCTTATAAATCTTGATTGAAATATTTTGAATAGCTAATATCAGTAAGCCTTTCGCTATCCTTTTCTCAAACGTGATGAAGCAAATGCTTAAAAGATACAAATGCATGTACAACTGAACTAATGCACTTTCAGAAGCCCCCAAGTCGTAACATCGAGAAAGTTGCTTCACCGTTTTTGTTGAGCAGATTTTCGAAGACGCTGTTTCATGCATGGTTATTTTCCATCTGCATGGTGCTATAATTAGATCGTAACCCCACCTTGATTGATCGGAGGCTAATATCGGAAGGCTATTATTCGCTTAATTTCGAATAATGATAATGTTGTAACGAGTATTAGAAGTGGGTATCAATCTGACGTTTTCCACTTTCATGGGGCATGCATATAGTATAATATAGAATTATAGATACGCAAAATATATATGTTGGAATTGTAGGCCTATTGATATTGTAACCTTTTTGACGCGGTTCATACATATATATAAGGAAATACTTTCAGTTATTTAATTAGCTTAAATCCCCTTCGTATAGAGTAATAATGTTCGAACCGGCTTTTGTGGAAAAATAGAAATTGAGACCTTCATTCCAGACTATATATACAGTATTTACACACAGCATGCAGCCGCATGTACTGTGGATGATATCGTATCTTCTTTCCATGCATTTCTGTCGAGGAATGCCAATAGGATAGATTTTTATACAAATAATTATCGTATAGCATTGATTTAGCTAATCCTATTTTAGTGATAGGCATTTAATTAATGATGATATATAACAGATATAACAGTGATTAAACACTACGATGTTTGTAATGTTCAGTTTTGAAAATGTTGTGTTAACGCCGTGAGGGGCCTTTATTTACAATATATATATACACTGTTTAGAGATATAAGAAAATTACCAAAGAGACCGACAGGAATTCAGAGAAAAACTAATATGAAGTATTCTATTATTCTAACTACAATATATCTTATTTCATAATCATATGTCATTCGGTTTAGCTTTTAGCACAAGCACTAGTGACGCAGCTGGAATAAATGACAAACGTTTGATGGAAAGATTGGTGAATTACGGAACTTCAGGAAGGTTAGATTTTGCTGCATCTTTTCAATATATTACAGCTTACAATCTAAAATAACGGCGCTGTAAACATTATATGTATTGATTTCTTTACTTCTATATGCGATATGCGATACACATGCATGCATGTAAATCCCAACGCAATTCGGGAGATCCTTGTCACAAACACTTTCACAAAAGAACTTACAAAAAAATCAGCAGGAATAAAAAAAAACACAAAACACACCATTATATAGTTTTCAAGCATACAATTACTGTACTGAGTCACCACAACAGTCTAAAGCGAGTCTTAGAATACATGCATGAATTATTATATAGGAATACTGAATATCGCTTGCAGGAATATACTGAATATTGCATAAATCTCCCGCTTTCATCCTAAACATATATATTAATAGTTATTTAGAGTATATAAACACGGAAGCAGGAACATAATTCTATTAAAGCAAGGCCATTATCAATAAGAAATTTTATTATTCTTTATATTTGAAAGAACCCATAAAATAATACTGTACATATTAGGCTGGATTTTGAATTTTTGATATCTTGCTTATAAATGCTTATAGATCTTGATTGAAATATTTTGAATAGCTAATATCAGTAAGCCTTTCGCTATCCTTTCCTCAAACGTGATGAAGCAAATGCTTAAAAGATACAAATGCATGTACAACTGAACTAATGCATTTTCAGAAGCCCCCGAGTCGTAACGTCAAGAAAGTTGCTTCACCGTTTTTGTTGAGCAGATTTTCGAAGACGCTGTTTCATGGTTATTTTCCATCTTGTTCTATAGTTAGATCGTAACCCAAGCTTGATTGATCGGAGGCTAATATCGCAAGGCTATTATTCGCTTAATTTCGAATAATGATAATGTTGTAACGAGTATTAGAAGTGGGTATAAATCTGACGTTTTCCACTTTCATGGGGCATGCATATAGTATAATATAGAATTATAGATATGCAAAATATATCTGCCCATTTCAACATGTTAATCAAACATCATCACACTCATAAATTAGCTTTTAGGTACGTCCACATAAGTATGTTGCAAAGCTTTCGGACTCGGTCCGTTAACCTTGGCCTTCCCGGGTTAACGGCCCGAAGGCTTTGCAGTACTAATACTTACGGGTGTACCGTGAACCTATTTACAATACAATTTATTCATATTGTGATATCATCATGCAAAATGACAAGAATATTATCATGACATTCATCAAATATTTTTGAATGCAACATCTTTGCTTTCAGTTATATAGGTAATAGCAAACATCAGGTTTGACCTCAAAACATGTAACTTGATCCAGGATTAATCAATTATTATTCTTTTTGGCACTTCACTCGATGCTGGAATATTCCAGAAGTTTAAAGGGTCTTAAATTCGAGCGGTATTATACACACTTCAAAACTATAGATCTTCAAATTCAAAACTATAGATCTTCCGGCAGGAATCGAACCTACGCTTTTGCGATGCCGGTGCAATGCTCTTGCCACTGAGCTACAGAGGTAACTGACATATTCCATTACCATCCTATACACATTAACCACGCTTGCTCTTGTCAGCTACCTCTGTAGCCCAGTGGCAAGAGCATTGCACCGGCATCGCAAAAGCGTGGGTTCGATTTCTGCCGGAAGACCTATAGTTGACTCGTTTTTGAAGTGTGTATAATACCAGTATACCACTCGAATTTAAGACCTTCAAACCTCTAGAATTGATCCAGGATTACTATAAGTTACCTATCTGCTTCGATCTGTTGTTCATAATTGACTAAAATAAAATAGAGCAAAAGCCACGGCCAAGGTCTTATTACAGGGCCCCCTTCTCTTTTCGGTGGCCGCGTTATCTGAGCAGCGCGGCCTATCAAAATAGACTTATATGTACAGTATGTCCTACTTTTATCAATATGTAAAGTACTCTGCAAACAACGACGTTCCTGGAGCAGTAGAGTGGCATCATCAGTTGACGAGAATGCGCTGATGTTTTTTTAAACTTATTTTTGTTGAACGCTTTTTGTTATTGAGAAAAACAATACTTTATTATTTCTGTACCTGGTAACATCTTTCCAAAGACTTGCCGGAGATATCTGAAGACAACCTTTCTTAGGTAAAATATTTCCATCCTCGCCAAGCAAAATCGAGTCACGATGGCGTATCAGGAAACACAGATCAGATAACTTGACTCTCTTTTTGTTTCTAGAAAAAATTTATATAATTGCATAATACTCATTCGAAGAGTAATTTATTAGTATAGAACCACCACAGAAATAGCAATTTCCTATGTCTTTATTCGCACTGGATAATTAATGTGAAAATTTTGAAAATGGAAGAAAATTGGAAATCAAGCAAATACGAGTAAATAACAACTTGTACATACATGAAGAAAATTGTATTTACCTGTCAGTATGTTTATGCTCATTTAGAACATGAACAATTTTAAAAACTGGTTTAAATGCTTCTTGTATGCCATACGGCAAAATCAAGGTGTTGTTAACAGGTTCAATCAAGATTGTCACAATTACTTGTTGAATGAAAGCTGCTGGTTTCTCTTTTAGCTGAATAGAAGAATATTAAGAATTAAATATTACCGAATATATTTTATTTTATGCTTAAATTTTTGTTCACTTCAAAATACTTAATTAATCTCAGCCTTGTGCAACATACTGGGAACAGCGAATTGATTTTTTAACTAGGATTTTCAAAATGGTGATTCTGAGCTGTAGCCATCATTACACGCTAACTAGAAATTGTTGTTTTTCCCAGAGATGTTGAAGTAATACACTTATATATCATTCTTGCAGGGAAAGAACACAATTATATATCTAAACTTTTAACCAACTTTTTTTTACCTGGTACCTTTACATTTTCTTTATGCATCGCAATCAAAACTTGATATCACTTATTAGCAGGCATTACATATTAATTATACCTACTGTATACTCAGCAATATTAATATGAACAAATTTTACCCAGTTAGGTTTTTCACTGTTTGAACCATTCAAAGACGTTGTTTCATTCCATTCAGATGGAATCTTGACAGTCAAAGGAAGATAAGTTATAATAGGTCCACTAAGCAAAGCAAAAAAAAAGCATTAGTACAGCTTATCACCTAGTATCACCTAGATTAACCTAGAAATTATAAAGAGCATTATTGCCATGCAATAATTAAAATAAGTCTTTTTACACTTGTCTCCAATAAATTTGTAATAATTGCCCCTTTCCCTAAAAGGTAAAACACCCCTGAGATTTTTAGATGTCTCAAGGTTGCATTGTTCTGAATTGACTGATCATCAAGTGCAACATTATCATTCACAGAAGGATATGATCATAATTTAGAGAAAGGGAGTACCAAGTAACTTTCTAAAATGCTAATAGTATCAAGTAATCAACCTCTCTGCTTTGTCTTGATTCAGAGATTTTATTACAGTATTAATAGTCAATACCACTTTATAAAGACAGTTCATGAATTATGTTTACCTGCAAAGGAAGATTAACACACCACAGATGAATATTATAAAGCCAGGATGTTTTGCACAAAAAAGTCCATGATAATAATAAATTCTTTCTAATAAATTCCTCTCTGAAACTACTGGATATTCATCCACTTTAGCTTGTTGCATCTGTCACTAAAATGGTTGAGCAATAATAATAAGGATTAATTGGGAAGAAGGGATGAAATTTATGTATTGATATAATTAGGATCTTTGACTTCTGAAGCTAAGAATATATTTGTTTACATCTAATACTTGTGCATTAATTGGGAAAATAACAGCTGGGGCAAAATACATAGTTATTTCAATTAGACCTTAAAAGATTTCCTTTAACCAATTATTATATGTAGTACATGTACGGCATGAGGTTCAGAACAAGAATCATTCTCAGATTGAATTGGCGATATGGCCAAAGAATAGCAATAGAGGCAAAGATGTGCCTTCAGGTATAAAAATCCAGGCAGGTGAACACAGTGCTGTAGGTGACAAACATAACTGCTGTATATAATGATATGTTTAAGGTTTATCTCATCCATCAGTTGGGATGAATCTATGGGCTTTAGCATTATAGATATTCTGAATTTATTCACTTATTTCAATATTCCACATCAGTGGAAGGATTAATGACTTAAATGGGATAATATGATTTGAAACATCGCTTTATCCAGATGAGTTTGTGGGTGTTCACATTAAATAGTTCTTCATATCTTTGGCACAAATACATGGACAAAGTTTCCAAAATATCAGTAGTATAAGGAAATCCATCAAATGGTGTATATTGGTCAACCTAAATAACCTAATTAATACACAAATTACTATAAAGTATGCATGCAGCATGTTGATACTGATGGTAATAAAATACCTTGCCTTTCTAACTTTCAGAAGAGACGAAACGTCCAGACGATAGAGTCAAAAACTAACAGAAAGTTAAATATGTCATGACGGTACATAATAACTCGCTTGAACTGCATGTTAGGTTTTGACTTTCTTTCATTTTCACAGCATCATGCTCAAAGCATTCAAAATATTCAAAATGCCCACAATTAATACAGATCATAACATTATAATAACACTAGAGGGGACATGTAGGGTGAAGTTGGGTGGTACAACGCGGCTAATAATAGATCTGCAATATACATTGCTAGTAGGTCACGGTTGGTTTTGAACGTTTTGAACAATTGTCGTTGAAACCACAAAATTCTATGACCTATTTATGTTGTTCTACGTATTTTGTAAATCTTCCTGAATTTTTTTTAAACGTTTCGCTCGGAAGACTAGATGTACATTCATGTTAATTATCATGTAATGTATATAGTATAGCGCTCACGCAGTGACACTCAGCCTGCACAGACTCTCTCTTCTCCACAGAAGCTTTTAAAAAGGTTATATATAGGATTAAAAGTTTTAATAATTCAGATATAAATTCACGGGTAATATACGTGTACTTTCACATTTTTCTCTTTAAGAATAAGGAGTACGACTCAATTCACCCTATTTATTCATGTTTACCTATTCATATCCCCTCGATGTTGACAATTGACATTTACTGTTTACATTTTGCAATTTTGACACTTCTAAAATCACAATTTCACATTGATTAACGAAAATCTTTTGTAAGATGATTCTAAGACTCGAGTCTTGATTACTTATTTGGCTATGGATGGTAATACAGAGAATTCGACAGATGTGCGTGGTAAATCAATTTTTAAATCCCTGAAGCGCCAAGCAGTGAGCAAAGTTTTAGATTTTTCAAGTCAATATGGCTCTGAAGACTCAAGAAGTTATACTGTGGACAATATTGTTGGCGAAACCCATAATTACCCTGATTATGGCGATTTTACCCAGGCACTTGTTTTTGTAAGTATGTCTATGAATTAAGTATTTAAAGATGCAGCATGAAACTGTATGCCAGATGTTAGTGTGTGTTTTGAAATATATATGTGGCATTGCAAGGTAGAGATGATATAAATATACTGGAGAACTGCAATAAATGCCTGATACTACTTTATGTGATGGTAAATGTGGGAGAGTTACTGCAGTCTGGTGTGAGGTTATTCTGTATGGATTATTGAGAAACTAAGCATGTACAATACTTCATTGACATTGATAACATTGATATCAAGTACATTACACAATTGAACAGGATTATCCAAATTCGGTTTAATATCGAAATTTGGCAGGAAATTATCCAGGAAATTTGTTATTAATTTTCTTTACCAAAAACAATTAACTTGTGAATTAGTTCAATATGTCAATTTCAATTAGTAATTTTATATAATTAAATGATCCTAAAATGATATATTTCTCTAGAGAACCTATGGAACATGGTGGAACCAGTGTCCATCAACTCCAAAATATTTTCAATACACAAACTTCAATTTTATTAGTCAGGATTTTATAGGTTTGTACATGTTAAATATGTCTAGTTATTTCTAGTTCTCCCAAACTCCCACACATGTTTCTATTTAACAATTAGACAACAAGTCCGAGTTGTTTTTGAGCGAATAGTCAACGAAGGTGAAGCCTGAGTTGACTATTCGCTCATAGACAATGAAGACAAGTTGTCTAATTGTTTTGGTATACACCCTGTACCTAGATATATTAATTTCGAGAAAATAATCGATACACCGCAATTACACCGAAAAATAATTTAAATAATTCAATTTTATACGGTCGTGTGAGCGAATCTTTTCCAAACGTTTCACCATCACGAATAGACAATGGTTGAGTAGCCAATCAGAATGTAGGATTTGTAATAGACAATAGTCGGGTGTATACTAAAACTGTATAGAAGCACAGGAAAATGTTTATTTTATAATATAACTCGATAAAAAGATTTTGTAAAAATATTATAATTTGATTCAATTACAAATTCTCATAATACATTAATTACTTCACTTGTCAAGTTCGGTGCGAAAACTCCCATGTTTCTATATACAGTTATAGAAACATACTTCTCAACCAATCAGCATATGTGCGTACTTTAAATGTTATATTATAATAGTATATAACAGTAAATATTAATTTGGTCACTGGAACGAATAATTATGCCATTAAGTCCTATAGCTATAGACCTTTACCATAATGATGTCAAACATGGAAAGTCTAATGTAACACGAAGTTTGATTGGCTTGATAGTTTTTTGAGCCAATTAAATTTTGTGTAACGTCAGACTCACAGACTAACGTCAGACGATATCACAACTCGTCTCCATATATATTTTAGTCTGATCACTCTTGTTTCGATCAATCCATATCATGGATTCCTCAAGATGTTATTTTCCGGATTTATCTTATACTTATCTCTGACTTATATATAGAAATATGTACAGTGACCTTAAAAATTCGCTGCCGCCGCCACGCACTCTAGTACGTACGGCATCAAGATCGTGCTGTTCCAGGGTTTTATCCGTTGTCCTTCAGCTTGCACACCACTGCCACATCACCAAACCTCGCACAATGCTGCAAAGCCGGTTTCCAGCAGCGATATTGAATAAAAAAAATTCGTTGTCGTACCATATTTTGTGTGTTTGAAGCCTTTGCGAATCTAAAGTTCGCTTTTAGTTGGATTGGAGTGGGACAAGTTTTCGACTAAGTCTTCATGTCCATGTCCATCAGTGACATCCGAACGCACGCGAATTACTGTGTGTTTCGAAAGCGAGGCTTCATGGTTTGGTATTATTCGTTCTCATTGTTCTCATTGACTCCCAAATTACATGGAAGCCAAACAAACATGCAAAAATTTGGCTGCGAATTTTGTTGTTTAAAGCACACGCATGTATTTAATATAGTACCTGCACGACAGAGGCACTGATTCCTTTCTTTCCCTATTGTAGATATTCAATTTAATGAGGCTGTTTACCCAACAGAAGTAGAAATATATGAGACATACAACCCTGGAGCCGTGGTCAGGATTCTTGCATTTGATAGTGATTCAAGTACAACAAATGTTTATAATAGGTACAATTATTTCTGCTGATTTTGGCTCTAATATACGTAACCCGGCAGGATGTAACTGGAAACTATATTGACTACTAGAGTATTTCCTGTAGAAAATGTATTTAAAATTTTTAGTTTTACAGCGAATTAGTTTTCCCAAATAATTACTGGCCTTTGTAAATAAATCAACTATATAGTCTGTATATACTAGTTTGTAATTAAACTAAAACACTGTCAAATGAAACCCAAGGTATCATACAATCTCACTGATGTTTTTATTAAAATTGAATCATCATCAGTAAGGGTAAATCAATCATGATTTTTGGCACTTCACTCGATGTCGGTAAATTCTAAAGGTTGAGAGGGTCTTAATTTCGAGTGGAAATATACACACTTCAAATTCAAACCAGGAACAGTTGATGGAGAAATGAGTAGTAGTTTGCAATTGTTTTGATAGGCAGCAAAGTCGATGAAGACTAAATTTTGTAACGTCTTTGATATAGCAATAAACATTTAATCTCTTTTCAATTCGGACAATATAGTTATTGTCAGTATACATTGAGATTTGAGAGCAACTTTGTTATACATTATACAAAAAGAACAATTGATGCAGACATGCAGTGTTATTATTAAGACGTCCTTTCATAACCATCCGCTGTCTTATTTCAATACCTTTCTATTTATGGAAGTATCCTTGCCCGGTACGCCCCTCATGAATAAAGGAACATTTTGGAAAAACAATAAACAGGAAGAACAAGCCCGGCGGGAACAGCAAGTTTTTATTATATTCATGCAGGAAAATAACGTTGTTATACTTATATAAAAGTTTAGAAACAGGAATAGCGGCAACTTCACTACTATGTCGGTATGTACGCGGGAAGTACAGTTTCAGTCGTATGTCTTGATAAAAATTCCGCGTTATGACGTAATACAGCCAGGCAGTTGGCGAATGGGAGACATGTTTGTCTATACCTATCACAGATTGATGCCTGATATACTGATTACTCTCAGACTCCTTTACTCTACGCTGAATTATTGTCAATAAATTTAATATGTCAGGAGCTGCATATAGACGCCTCCAATCAAGTAGACTTCTCTCTGTATAACTCTCTGCGTTGTTTTTATTCTGTTTTTGAACTGAATACCCGGTACTTGAATATGCAAGGAATGAAAAATATATACCAGCACCCATTTGCCAGTTTATCAACTATTATACGAGTAAGGATCAATATTTTTTTTTCAGGTGGTTTGTTCTATGGTCTGGAAATATACAGAGATGTAAGCGCCAAGCTCGGGTCTTCACACCAAAACTAAAGAAATGTCCTTTCAAATCCAGGTATGTGAAGTTATTATAAAATATTATATATATATAAATATATAATATATATATATAATATATATATATATATATATATATATATATATATATATATATATATATATATATATATATATATATATAGAATATCGATAGTAATTTGTAATATATCATACGAGGTTTACTAATTAAGGATGTAATTTTGTATATTTGTATAATACACACGCCTACGTTTTTCATTTCCTTATTGGAACTGAATTACTTAAGGTACTGTTGCCTAGCCTGTGCCAGACTTCCCATATAACTTTGTTCGACGCATTTAAATGCTTGGAATGCAAGAAAATCCTTTTATAATGGGAGTTAGACGTTATTTTACCAACAAAGTTTTTTCTATTTGTAGACGTCTTAGACTAGAGTTCAACCAAAATCATGTTGATTACTACACTGAGTTAGATGCCGTTTATCTTCATGGCGTAGACTCTAAAGAAGAATATTTCGACAATGAAGATTCGGTTAAGAATTTAAGTGATATATTTCGTGGAAAGATTGCACTGAATAGCGTCCATGATGAAGTACATGGTGAACAAGTGGCTTTGAATATCCTCATGCTTCCAGTATGTACAGTAATTACGCTATATCGACCGACTAATTTACATGAAACACATGCATGATTGTAATAATACCGATCTTTAGTACTGATTTTTTGTCTGAGTATTGATCTAATATGCTTTTGAATAGAATGATGGAAAACACTTGATATTATCGGCCTAGAATGACATTCGTGGATCGAATATTTAGGATTCGATGTTATATTTATTTTTAACTCCTGATTTCCTCAATTTCGAATGTAGATTGAAGTAATCAACAAAATCTTTTCATATTTGACTTTTACTGATTTTGGTAATCTTTCCAGATCTTGCAGGTAAGGAAAAAATCGTACATTATGTACACTGGGATTTATGTGGTTACGTCGACTTTACAGTAACTTTCAGTACGAAAAAAATGTGTTGCAACTATAGCCTGTTCCAAATAAGGAATGTTTACGACAGTCGTAGCCAATGCAAAATATTGTAGAGTATTTAAGATTGTACGATTTTAAAAGTTTTAAATTGTTACGCTGGCTAGTACGTTGTGAGTGGCGAAACACTGACATGCATTTTACCATTAGTTTCTTCAATTCTGCATGCTGCTCAATAGTCAATAATACGAAAAGAAAAGTGCAGAGACCGAGTGCACGCGGTGGGTCATGCCTACCTCTTTAGGGTGCCTCGCCTCTCTTAGAATTTCACGTACGCCTACTATGGATATTGTAGTATCCATTAAATTAGGGCGCCAGGCCAAAATAATGGTTTCGCTAAAAGACGTTTAGCGTTTGGGGCGGTTGTGATAAAACGCTTCTTTACATTGAGTTTTTAATTTATTCGTAGTCAACTCCAATTCTCCAAAGCACAATGCATGAATTTGATTGGCCAATCCTGTCACGAACTATGTTTAAAAATTTACTACTTTTCATACAGCAGGCCCCTGGGCAAAAGTCATGTATTGAACGGGGTTATATTAATCTAAATTCGATTTCGCTTCGTTCACGGAACCGGACAAATTTGGGACCGTACTTTAATTCGTCCGGTTCAGGTGTTCACACGGTGATAATGAATGAAAATTTGACCGGTTCTACGGTTTCACACGAGGAAACCGGATGAATTCGAACACGGTCCCAAATTTGTCCGGTCGCGTATGTACATAGTCTTATTTGATATATTTTTTCTATGAAGATCGCTCCGGAATTATTGCTATGATCCTTTATGGTTCAAGGAATTTGACCTGCAACCTTATTGGCAGAAGGTACGTATAATGTCAACCTGCAACCCAGGGTCTTTATAGACACGCCTCGGGAATTCGTACGCTCCCCTGGGTGAAGACCCTTGGGCGAGTGACGGTCTGTTCGGAGTTGCGAATCATGACGCTTATCTGTGATATAGGTCAATATAAAAACCTACATGGCAGTTTTATACGAACTTCGCTTAAAGTGCATGCATAAATTTTACGTTCATATGCCATTCAAATAGCGCGAGAAAGACTTATCTCGCACAAATATAACGAAAGTTAGGTTCGTTTGTCCGCCGTTTACAATTAGCTTTGCGTCGTATAGAGATAGCAAGAAAAATAAAAGACCGACATATCAAATCTTGTAACCGAATTCGATGATTAAAAGGGGTTATAAAGGATAACAGGCTCTCATGGGGGATGCCATGAGGTTATGCAGCTTCGGGTCGCAAAATACAGGAATGAAGTGCGTTGTAATGACTATATAATGTAATCCCGAAGTATGAACGAAGATTATTTATATCATATTAATTTTATATCAAGCTTGGCTTGTTTCTTTTTAACTCTTTCGATGCCTATAAGGGTTTTTAATTTATTTTCCTAATCAGGTAAATGATGTCAGTCTTCATTACTTGGGTGATAGATGCCAATCAGCAAAGAAAATTAGATTATCATGGTGCGGTTCGAATAATATGTTGTCCTCACCTCACTTTTCAAGGTATTAAATAACAGTGATCTCGTTTGAATCAGAATTTTCGGAATATACTGTAAGCCTTACATCGTAATTAAGGCTGTTTTTCACTTTGCGTACAGCACGAAAAAATTTTAAAAATGTCCGACGCTCATAGATCTCAAAATTTTCTTCAAGAATTCAGAATTCATTTGCTTCAAAAAACTGTAAATTCGCGTCGCGTTGGCGAATTGCGTCCAGTGTACATGCATGTGTGTTTTTTCTGGCATAAAATTAATTATACACTGACAACTTGGTCAACTTAGAAACTTTTAAGCTGTTATGCCCGTGTACCGACGTATACGTATGTGCAAAAAACGCGACAGCGGAAGGCAATATCCTAAGTGCATTTTTTATTTTGATTTGTTAACTTCATAAGGACTAAGAAAATTTCAGAACTTTTTACAAGATGTTCAATAATATTTTTATTAAAAAATCCATAATGTAAATTCAAAGTAAAGCTGTGTTTGGTCGAACGTCTCTATTTTGTTTCAGATTTCTTCAAAAGATCAGTGGGAGGTTAAGATGCTTGTACCTGTCATGTTGTAGATTTGTTGACCATGATGCTTTGCAACAGATCACAAAAGTTTGCCCGAAACTCGAAGGTAAAAACAGGCTTAGAAATAGGGTCGTTAGAGTGATTATGCATGCATGGTAGAGGTTTCTCAGCTTTCTGAGAGGTTTCTCAACTTTCTGTTTGAAATCTGTCACTATATACAGTTATAAAAACTGCTAATTTATACAATGGGCTTCCGTCAGCTAAGGTGAATGTATTTAGGATTCTAAGAGCCTAAGAATATCTAGCGTTTTTTACAAATGTATATGTAATATTTATAGAATTAGATTTGTCGTCGTGCATTGACATTCCAAGTGAAGCATTTAAAGAATTGGCAAGGTTACAATGCTTGAAGAGATTAAATCTCTACAGAACACAGATAACAAAGATAGGTTTCGAGAAAATTGCCAGGTACCTGCCTCCATACATATAGTTGACCTCCCATGTTGTGTTCGATTCCGAATCACGAGCCTCAATTAGCCTGTTTTTTGTTCTCATTTATTCAGAAATGCACAATCTTTCCACCCCAACACCCCCAGTTGACAGACCCACACTAGAGTATTAGACCTACACAGTAGTGTTACATGTTAATTTTACAATTGTATTACATTTAGGTCTTGTACAGAATTAATGCATGTTAACCTGGGAGGATGTTTTAAATGCGAGAACTACGATGAAATGATGAAGTATTTGGAGAATTGCCCGTAAGATTGATGCTATTTTCTTACACACTTTCTTTATTCGCCTTGTCCACGTTAGTGAAATTAGTACCACAGCTATGCTGGAGATATGCGACGCCAATAGTAATCCGTATCCATTACAATTTTGAAGATCTAAGCCATGTAATAAATAAATGAATATATTGATTCCAATTATCCTGCATTTAATGAGCCATTTATTGGTACTGCATGTCGGCGTAATTTTACGCAACCGCAAATCCTTTCCTGACCTTAAATCACGAAAACTGTAACAAAGCGACATAACCCATTTATTTATTTCTTGCAGAAATATTGTTTCGTTAGATTTGTGGAGAACCAAATCACTGACCGCAAATGGGATCGTCCATATTTTTCAAAACTGCCCCAATCTTGAGGAAATTGATCTTGGTTGGTGGTAAGAGATTGATAAATATGTTGTAATGTTGGGATTTGGTATGCATGTATAGAATGTAGTTAATGTAGGCTCACCTCCGTTGAATGCTTTAGAGACACTAATCTCACTGTTCACATGAGCCCGATTACCCGAGATTCAACGAAGCGTGAGAAGACTTTGAGGTATTGAAATAAGTCTTTATGACACCAAACAAGCACATGCTATTGTTGTGGTGATTATACAACTGCCAGGATCATGTTATCTGCTCATTTCAATACCTCAAAATCATCTCACACTTCGTTGAATCTCAGTCGGGCAACCGGGCTCATGTAAACAGCCCCTAAGTCTCTGTTTTTTTCGTTATAGTTCTAATGTTGCGACACATGGTTGCTTGCGTCTTCTGGTCACTCACTGCCCGAAAATTAAGAAAATTTTTCTCACAGCCTTAAGGTAATGCTAAATTAATGTTCGAATAATGCAAAATATATAATTCTTTATACTGTAAAGATCACAATCATGCTGTTGCATGTTGTATCATATGTTGCATTTAAAATTCGTGACGATGTGAAGTGTCAATAATTTTTCCGTGTGATCTCATAGAACGGTGTTAGACGATGATCTTATTGCCATTTCTGAGAACTGTACTATGCTAGAACAGCTGGACATTCTTGGAAACTCGAATGTTACAAAGAAATCTGCCGAGAGGTTAGTTTATCATTTTGCAAATCTTTGCGCTGTATCTTTGCATGAAAAGTAAGACATCTTTGGCCGCATAGGAATTGCGCAGTGATTATACGTGACAATGGTTTTATGTTTTAAGGATCCTCGAAGAATGCAAAAATCTCAAATTCTTTGATGTCTCATTCTGTTCCCAACTCGATGATGATTGGTATCGTGCAGCTAAAGAACGTTACCCACTCGTGGATTTAAAGAAAAGTGTTCAAAATGTTCAGCCTCGAAATTAAGCATAATTCGAGTTTTGGTGAAAGTAATTCTAGTGTCCGGCTGACTCTATGTTGCAAATGAAACAAAGCCAGAGCAATCATGCAAATATAATTTATAAAGAAGTATCAGAATAAAAACAAGTCATAGAGATAAGCAAAAATCAGTCTATGTCAGTTAATGATGCAATGCTGCGTGATCGACTATAATTCTGATTTGTAATGATTGTGTCACATCATCAAATCGTAATAGCGTTGGCGGCTGGAGGTAAAAGAGAAGAGTTTTTTGCTATTGTTTTCCAATAGCATATTGGCAGACCTGAGCTCACATAAAATATTTGGAGGGTGTGAAAAAACTTGGCACGAACATTAGCCTCGTACCCAGGCGCTTTAATAGTAAAATGTATAACGTTGCCTTCAGGTATTGTATGGAGGTCAGCTGAAAAAGCAAGCGCGCGTGGGTGGTTTTACCCAGTGAACTGGTTTTACCCCCGCGCGCTCGTGTTTTTTTTCAGCTGACTTCCATACAAAACTGAATGCAACATTTTTTTACTATTAAAGCGTCTGGGTACGAGGCTGCACAAACACAAATTATGAAAGTAATTCATATCTTTCGGATTTAAGCCGGATCTTTCGTTCCAAACGAGTTTCCGGACCGACGTTCTTGGTCCCAAGCTAAGGGCGTTACACAAGCGAAGTAGGCACTTTAATCTAACTGTTACCAGTGCCAATCTCGTTTCCCTTGCCTCATCCTCCCTAACCTGCGATCCCCCATATAAAGAGCGAGAAACCAGATTGACCATGGAATTTACCGCGATTTAAATGCCCTGTTTGAATTGAAAGTCACCAACCATTACTGGTATCATTTATCACTACTGATATACTTGACATTCCCGGATGTTGAGAGGACCTGTAATGGGTCGATGTTAGCTCATGTGAAACGAACCAATGAAAACGTCACAATTGATTACGTCAGCAAGTAAATCTATGTTCGTGCCCAAACTCCGATCAAGTTCATGGAAGGAAATTTGTGGCAGGAAAATTGCTACTTTTATCGATAGAATTTTGGAATACAAGTGATATACATTGATTATTCGTTAGTTTACAACGTTTTGAGTATTGTCAAAGTTTTACAGCACCTGTGATTACGTTCTGTAAGTCTTTGAGAGAGGTTTAAGGGGGTTATAAAAACGATCAAGTATGTAACCTGTGCGGGACATGTTGATCAAGTATCAACAAAATTCGCATTTGTATACATTCGTATATGACTAATCAGCTCGTCCATTTTCCAGAATACGTGAGATCTATGGCTGTTGGGAAAGGATTTCTTGATCAGTATTCAGTATTTTGTGTTTTTGGCTCTGTAGTGGGATGTGTTGTTGTGCCCTTAATAACACAGGTATGTTGCTCGCTTTGTATTTCTGTCTGAAAATTATACAATCGATATTTGCTTCCGTTCCATGACACAAACCCTCGCTAGCCAGCTGTACGTGAATCGCTGTGATTATGTGTATTAAACTTAAGTGCGTCCATCAGAAATACGATTGTTTGTCTTGGTTTTGTATAGTCAATCGAAAGTGTTATTTTCTCGGCGATCGTGATCAGTCTCACTGCTACACATTTGAGCAAACGAGCAGTGAGTACAGATACATCGAACAAGGTATTAAATACTATATTATAAATATAAACAATATATAGGTAATGATTATATTTTTTGCTTTCCGCTTTTTTAATATACAAACACTAGAGATATATTATTTAGCTCCATCATTATATATATAGTAGTTGAAATTTTAACTTCCCGATTAAATTAGCCTCACAACCAAACGCATATGAAAGATATACGGTAAGGGAAGAAAAAGTCCCCCAAAAAGGCTGTGACCCAGGTAGGCTATGATTAAGAATATAAATTTACCTAAGGTTTTTCGTAAAGTTTGTTCAGCGAAGTTTACGCTGATTTGCACGTAATTTGTTTATATATAAATACACACATACATATTGATTAAGCAATTTTCTATGTCTGCTCTTTGATTCATCCTTTACAACATGTTGTTTCAACTCGAATTTATGTTGTCTCGATAATGTGACATAAAATGTTTCATTGACGCTACATGGTTTATTTCATATACTAAAAACGACAGTTAAAGTTATTACTTGGGTGTTCATTGATGAATACAAAAGTTGTTTTTTCGCATCAGTGAATTCCTATTTGGAATTTGCCTACAATAGGTTGACTAAAACTTTAGTAATTTTACATAAAAACTGGGCGTTGATAATCGTTATTCGTTATTGCAACAATAATTTACTGGAAAATGTCAGCAACAGATCTATGAAGCCACTTGATAATCACCCCTTGTCAAATATAACACTTGTGTCTATATTCTATCAACATACCCAGTCAAAAATTCTCCAGGTATTTTTTGTAATTTTTTTGATGTAATATGAGATATCTTGTAGTGATAAATTGAATTATTATGTTGCATGTTACCTCAACGTGCAGGTTACTTTTTGCCTTTCAAAGTTGAAAGAATTAAGTGATGAATACAACAAATGTTGTGTTAAAGCTCATTAACTATGTAATTGGTTGCATGACTTTAGCTTTACCAATCCTGAAAGATCTAATAACCAGTAAAATCCTAATAACTTATGTTTAAATCTTTTTTTAATGGAAAAATGGTATGGAAATTGAAAAAGGATGCGATCTTTGCTTTAGAACATTCATGGTTTTGTGCTATTAAAAACATTTACTGATATGTGAAATTGTATGTTATTATAACCTTAGAAAGCATCAAAATACTGAAGAATTTGCAATCTCAGAACAACAAATTCAGTTAATAGGTGATAAAGCAACCTTGTCAGTCACCAGGGATCTCCATGTGGGAAAGAGACTAGGCAGGGAAAGAGTATATTTTGGCAGTATCAATTTCATGCACTGACTTTTTAATTTCTAAACTCTATTTCAAGCCAAGTTTAAACAAGTTTATTTTAACCTCTAAATCACTTTTCATACTTGCATGTCAGACTCAGTCACTGTTGTAGCATACTTTCAATTACTATAATCTATTGGTAACTTAGGGTGAAATTCATGTTCGGACATCTGACTATCGACAACGAAAAGAGGAAAAGATTAAAAGAATTGAGGAAGCTAGGAAATTGGAAGAGGTAAATATTTTTCTAATTTATCTTCCCACCCTCTTACGTCAGAACTTATTGAAATATTTTTCGTTTATCTATACTAAATATTAATCGAGATCAGTCGTTCAGTATATTGCCAGTCTTAGGCAATCATAGCAAAGCTATATATACCATATACAGAAGCAACAAGAGTTCAACTAGGTTTTTGGGTAATACACTCACAGGACCTTTATGGAAAATTAACCTATATAAAAATTATATTCTGCACACATGCCAATTATTTCTGCTGATGGAATTTCAAATTTCTCTTAAATGTGGGTAAACTCAACTGTAATGCATTGCAATCAGTAGCAAGGTTAACAAATCATGATTAGTGGGGTGTGATTGGATATTTTTCCCAAATTTTATAATAAAAATCTCCAATTTCTCCATTTATTTTGGATGTATGTAGCCTTATCAATGACAATAATTAGGCTCTAGATTTATGTAATGCCATCTAAATGGTACATTGGGCAGGTGCATCTGTGCATGTTCATACAAGGCACTGCCATACAAGGCTTCTACCAAGCAAGAACATTTTACCATTTCCGGAACATTTTACAACTTCTTTGAAAATAGCTTATTTTGAGCCTGACTACTTATATTAATTCAATGTGGCATATTTTGGGGATTTCCTTCAATATGATGTTCTATTTTTGACCAAAGCAATTGACGACTTGCACTTTAGACTAGTTTTAGTATGCCAATTCAGAAAATTTCCTTTTTATCGCCGATGTGAGAAATTAGTCTAAAGCGCAAGTTGTCCATTTTACCAACTTTATCATTGTGATTAATATGGGGGATGTCACATCCCCTTGCACCTTAGACTTGTTACCACGTTCCTGATTGCAATTGCACCCCACTGTTTTCTTCTCAAACTTCACCTCACCTCACTTAAAACATCTTAGCAACGGAAGCAGGAAGAAAAGCGTGAAAGAAAGGCCAAGAAAAAAGAAGAAAAACTCAAACAAAAAGAGGAAGAGAAAAAGGTATTTGTTGCAATCACATAACAATTCCAAGATTTCGACCTCTCTTTTTACGTTTTGTGGTTGAGTAACAGTAGCTATTACTGTAAGTTTATATTAATACATTATTGTCTATAGGAAGAAGTACGTCGTCGTAAGATAAAAGAAGAAAAAATTGAAAAGCAAACGTCTCCTATTAGTGAAAAAGTAAGTTGTGCTTCTGTCACGTTAAATTAGGAAAGAGAGGAATCAAACCATTAAAATGATTCCCTAATGATTTACTCAAAAAATACATATAATGGCAGGTTAATTTAGTAAATAATCATGTTTTAAAATACATTTAAATGTTTTTAGACCAAGACGAAGAGCAAGCAGCATGCTGCTCAAAAAGGAATTTGGATAACTGCATCAAGCACCAGAGTGTCAAATGGTCGCAAGTCCAATGTTACTCAAGTTGTAGTGAATGATTCAGTGGTCACCCCATTGAATGTTATATCTGCTGGTGATGCTCTATATCGCGAGAAAGCTTCAGCAAGCCCTGACCTTGGCGAGAGTAAACCTCCTAGTCCACCACCCTCAGTATGGAAAGTACCAGAGTATGTTCCACCACGGTGGAATCCTGATAAGCACAACAATCATTCAATTAAAGATAATCGTCACTTCAGGTTGAACAATGACATCGTATTAGAACAACGAAAAAGACCAAGTACACCCTTCAATCAGTTACGTAATCCAGTTGTTTCAACACCAGTGAAATTAAAAAATCAATACATGAATCAACACGTAGCGAAGAATATTCATACCCTCAAAGATTCTGATCCAAATCTCTTGGCCGATGTTCCCCTCAAGTTTTCGGAGAAGCCCGACAATCGGGCGCAAGCTGCCGCCTCGGCAAGTCCCTACTCGAATATAACTGGTTTACCAAGCTTTTTCAAATCTTCAACGGAGGCAAACGGCCGTGATATGCCACAGAAGACGTATTCTCTCTTTGGGCCAGAAGAACCGAATCGTGTGCTCTTCCGACCAGTTTTCCCGAACAATATTCATGTTTCATAGGCATGGACATTTTCATTGGGTATTATTGTATGTTTACAAATACTATTAAAATGCAAAGTATATGAATGAAAACTATGAAAAAGAATATTTTCTCTTCTCATTCTCCTCTCATATTTTCTCCTGAAAACCATAGTCCAAAGTATTTTCGCGCGTATTTTATAACAAACATGATTGATGGCACCCCATATCCATATGGGCCATATACGTACCATATTATGCTGCCTATGATTATGAGAACGCAGATTTCAATTCACACGCGCAACAGCGCAATCGTGATTATTGATGGGGATGGTCGGGATGGGGTTAAAAGAATTCGGTATAAAACAAATATGATGGTGTCTTAATCAGTGGCATAACTTGTAATCGAACATTGCTATTCCAATGTTCTCCGGATAGAGTTTGGGAAAATAAACCACGCCCACGTTCTTAGGTCTAAACCAATCAAACGCACAGTTTATTTTGAAAAGTGGTGGCACTAGTGGGTGGCACAGATTCGTATATTCGCTCAGCTTGAATGAGCATTGAGCACCGTGGCTCTGTGACCGTGGCTTGAGATATGGTAGGCTGTAGTGGTTAAATAAATCGAACGGAAATTTATGCATCAAATGTTGCATCAGGCTTTATACATCAAGTTAGTGATTGTGCTTTACTGTAACATGATAACATCTATGGTGAGTATATTCAACCTTCAATATTCGTCCAGTTATTAAATAAAGTATATTTCAGTTATTATATAAATGTTGATCTGGCGAGATGTCAGAACTACAAGTGCGTTTTTCCAACTTCCGGCTAGCACTGGTCATACGTGATTTATAGTATTTGCTGACCGGTGGTAGTTGCATAATCTGGCCATTTGGGTTGCATCAGAGAAATGCAATGATATGAAAAAACCAATAAATGCCATTAAGCCCTAATTTTTCTGATTGTTAGAACCCTAGAAGCCTAAGCCTTTGAGAATTTATTTCCATGATTTGCATAATTCATTTGTAAACATACTTTTTAATTTGCATATTGGCTATACACAGAAGTGGAAATACATACCAGCTTCGTTATCAGAGTTTTCATATACTTTGTCTAAATGATTGATGTTAAACTTACCAAGCTGTAAATCCCGGCAGATCTTTTCAAGAAGTGGCTGCACTGTCTTAAAATACTAATTAAAATTTAAGTACAATTTCTGATGTCCCAATGATGGGTTGATGGTTACCACCCAACATCAGTTAATGTAATTTACATAATTGCTATCTGATGGATCAATTAACTCCTATAGCAATGAAATAATGAGAGTGAGAACCACCGGATTAAAGGCATTAAAGCATTCTAGGCCTCTAAAATGTCATTTTGTTTAGTACAAAATTAATTGTTTTCAAAGTCAATGCATGCATGAGCACCAAAATAAATTAGCATAGTACTGATAGTAGGACAAATTTGTCAGGCTGACTATGCCACTGATTGTATCAATTCCTGCAGGACGTGCTGTGATCATGATCACCAAGAAATTTAGACTTCACAACATTTCAATTTTTATTACTAATTTAATTTTTTTATATTCTATATATTGTAACAATTAACATGATCAATAATCTTATAGAAATATTTCTGGTAGAACACACAGCCCAGGGGAACTCGTAAACAGTCTAGCCATTCCCCTCTTATTCAGTTGCACATACTGTATATAGACCTTTTCCATGTGACGTCACAGTACTTAGACATGTGCAGGACAATTTAATTAAACTAGTGCAAATTTGGCAAATAACATAATTTACATAATAACATAAGATCTGTTTACACTTTTTTATCTTTTGATTGATGTGATCAAGTGGATGAGTTATGGATGTTGAAATAAGAGTACTTAGTTACATATAATTATGAGCTTTTATAACTGTTCACTTGTTTTTTTTTCTGTCAAAAGAAGAAATTAAATCCCACCTAAAATCATAGAAAAATCTGCCGTCTTAACTGGCCTTTATTCATTCATTCGTTTGTATCTAACAAAAGATAAAAACTTAACCAAGTGTAAACAGGTAAACAACATGAATTTTCAGAGTTTTTGTTCTTATATTCTTGCACCATGCAGCGCTAGAGATGTACGTTTCTTTATACTAACTCCTTATGTACTTTTAGCTTTAGCTATTGCTGTCTTCAACAATTCACAACCTTTTTATCGTATTAATTTTAAATAAGAATTACTTTTAAAGTTTTATCTGTTCACAACAGCTAGTGCTCAATCTTTTTAAAAAATGTTTTCTTAATTTAGTGATTTCTATAAATCGAAATTTATATGCTCCTACACAAGTACAAATCTATTAGCATTATGTCATATAATTTTTCCTGCAAGTAACTTTATGCTGGTTCGATCCGCTTAAAGCTAAGAAGCATCTGAAAGAATGTGAGAAAAAAAATGATTAAAATTTGCCATGCAAGTGATGCAACCTGAGGCATCCACGATTTCAATGTTGTGTTCTGCTCAGAGTCGGTAGTGGAAAACCTAGGGAGAGAGGACCGCACATTAGCACGGCGAACTTCAACCAGTGCATGCAAGTACTTGCAGCTATGTCTAACGTGCATTTCAAAGACTTGTTTGTAGCTATATATTTCTAGTGTTGATCGATGATTGCAATAGCATTCATGTTATTTAGACTGCAGCCGTTTTTGTTCATGGCCTATTTTCTCGCACAAATCACCAAAATTAACGGATAATCCGCCTTTTTTCTGTATTATACGAGAAAGATTTTAGAATCTAGAAGTTCCGTTTACCCCTTTCTCCAATTATTTGCGCAGCATTGCTGAAATTGGTACCCGTATCCAATTTTATCGTGCTCAGGGAACAATTGCAAAGGCCGAGCTAGCTGGGATAAATTGTTACGGGTACTAATTTCAGTTGTTCCATCAGCTAATAAGAAATGGAAAGTAGCTAGTGTATAAAAAGAAAAAGAGGTTCCAGAAGTCGAGTTTCGCGATCTACGAAAATTATAATCTATTATAATTTTATATATTTCAGTCTCGCGGAAGATAGGGCGTTGCTCGAGAGGAGGGAAGGGGGTAGTAATGTGTACTCCTGACAGCCCATAAGCATTTTTACTACAGAGTGTAGGAGAAAGCAGACTAAATTTGAAATCTTTCTTAACTAACCAAAGCAGGATCAGAAACGCACTTTCAAAATATAGTTAAACGAACAAAGTCCGTTAATCTCCATAAAAATCAGCATTTTGCGTGCAGTAAATTACATCATCGCATAAATGAGCTAATTTTTTGAGTACAGATACAACATCCCACAGCTCTTTCACCCAATTACTTAAAAGAGTTTAAACTATTCAAATTTCACATTATACGTATTTTAGACCTGCTTCGTAAAATTAAGAACGATTTAAAATCTATATCCAGTTTTTCACACACGCTGTACAAATGTCCGCTGCATAATTTATATAAAGCATATTTTACTCTACCCCAGGTTGGCCTTTCTGCAATTCCAATTCTTTCTTGTCTTCAGGCGTTGGATTAAATGTGACCATGTTGAGTTGAGGGCCGTGTCTGTTCACAATACCAAGGCCATCCGCAAGGTCTGCTTCTGATTCTGGTGTCTGTGCAAGATATGACGTTGATCGAGGATACATGTTGATTCCACCATTGTGAAAATCTAAAACTTGAGGCCTGTATTGAAAAATTTATGCTCAATTACTCGTTTTAACAAGGTCAGTACGTCTATGAAATTATAGTAAGACTACCTAAGCCTTGGTTCAGGAGATCGGCAAATAACGTGAGTTTTGTCTCGATCTATTGGTAATAGTGTAAAATTGGTTTTGCGAAATTAATGGTAAAGTGGTTCGACAGACCGATCTTACCCATTATGACGTTTCACAGCTTCATTTAACCACTAAGGTAAAGCCCTGCTTTGTGAATATTACTATAGTCCTGTACAGTGCTGGCAAACGTTTATTTATTAGAATCATGTTTCACAAGACTGGTGCAGTAATTTCTCTCTGTACGCGCATGCATGACCGGGAAAAGGAAACAAATTGTTTACCTTTGTTTCTTCTTATGTTTCTTCTCACAGTAGATTATCACGACAATAAGGAAGATAATTAATACAACCATAATTGCGATAACTACATATATTATCCACGGTACGTCTTCTATGGCGAAAGAAATGTATAAAATATTAGAGATATAGAATGCAAAAGTTATGTGAGGAAACGCAGCTGTAAAATGGAAGCGTATATTAGACCTACATGGGCACAACGGCTTCTAACTTACCCTTGTCGTTTGGTTTTCTCGTATTGGCCACTGTAAAAGATAGAATAAATATTAAAAAATACAGATTAGTTTATCAAACATGTTTGTTTCTCGATATAGCCAGGCCACTCATACATGTCTCGTTCTCCACTTAAAACTCAACCAAATATTGACGGATTTCTTCTAACGTATCACGCTCCTACCTCGACATGAAGTGCCATCCCCAGTTGAACCTTTAGGACAGATACATATATAGGATCCCAGCGTGTTGTTACACGTAGCTGTTTCATCACACTTCGTTGCCTTTCCTGTGGAACACTCGTCATAATCTATACGAGAGGATTAAAAATAAAATAACTGTGTAAAATTAAAATGATTTGGTTGACATTTTTAGCATTACGAAGCCAACGTACCTTCAACAGCAATGCTGCTATTGTCAATTGTAAAATTAGTATCCTGGGCATTTCTGAACACTTGTTCGATATCCTCCACAGTAGAACTTGACAAGTCTAATTTGCTATCAAATGATAGCTTGTAATGCACAATTATGCTTCCTGACCTACGGGGAGATTTGAGTATGTCAGTTTTCTTTTTTAGTGCATGTGGATCCATTGATGATAACTGAACCATGAAATGCAGAAATACATTTAGTACAAATACTTACTCAAATCGTAAGACCTGAGAACCCAGAAACGTAGATTCGTATTGAGAACGTTTGCAGATTGAATCGATCTATATTTGAAAGATACATGGGAAAACATGTATTATTCCCATGGCCTTTACTACACTTTGTAATTATCTATTGCTAAAAAGTGGTTTTGTTCTTTTAATGATCTTTGGTATATAATTGACACCTTAGCACCAAAGCTCACTTTGTACGGCTAACATGCATGAATGTGATCCAAATAAATTATATCAAGAAATTCTTACCAGTATTTCAATTTGAATTGAGAATTTCTTGAAAGCTTCCGAGGTTTCATCCGTCAGCTGTACAGTAAAGTTAGCGCCACTTGTGATCCTCAATCTTCCTTCTAGATTTTTTGCATCTGCATGAGAAACGTAATGAAAATAATGTGTGAATCTGGTTTATGTATAGAATATTTCCCTCAAATGTGTGGGTATTGATAACTTTTTTCATGCACCCCATCACGATTCAGAATGGGCATTGGTTGTGTGCTTACTGGATTTTCAGTAATCAAGAGCATATGCTAGTTTATATTATATTAAGTAATTTAGCTTGTAGGTACACCACGTAAGTATTTAATACTGCAAGGCTTTCGGTCCGTTAACCCGGACCTTCGTCAGTGCAATTGATGCAGAAAGCTCGGGTTAACGGACCGAAAAGCGAAAGCTTTGCAGTATTTAATACTTCGTGCATGGTGTACCTACAAACTAAATTACTTATCGACTGTCACCCTGCAAACATACAAGAAATATATTATTATATTATATTGTCTTAAACTGTTCCTAATTATATATTGGAAATCAACCCACCTTTACATGTCATTGAGACTGTATTCTGGTTATCTAAGATGCACCATTCGCCAGTTTTGCATTCTGGTTGACACTTTGAGCCTGAAATGATAAAATATGTTACGTTCTTGCATATGACGAAACGACCAAATGGTATGGTTCCTATTTTAGCCAATGTTGGCAGCTACTATTTAAAAGGATTATTTTTACTTATTTTGTAATCACCTGGTTTTTGAATGCTGGATGTTATTGTTTCAGTCTTTGTTGTAGTTGGTTTAACGAGCGATATGCTGGATATTAATGCTGTCGATATGCCGGTCGGTGATGCCGGTAGAACGGAGGTTGACAAGTACAGACTGGAGTTTTGGATACGTGGTTCAATTGGTGCAGGTGAATGACTCATTGATGACGGAATGTTTGAAGAGTATGCAACTTGGTTTACTGCAGTGCTGGTTGGAAGCATGCTTGTTGTTGACGGATATTTTGTGAGTGACATTTTGTCAGCAATAACAAGAGTTGAAGTAGGTAACATGGGTGTTGCGAGAAGTGTGCTCGATTGTACGCTGGAAAGCGTGGTACTTTCTCTTCCACGTGTCTGAATAACAAGAGAAATCATATTGGCTGAGCTGTAATTTGTCTCCGATAAAAAGTCCTTGGAAGAAGCATCAATTCCAGTCATTACTGAAGACGACAGCGTTGTCCTGACCTCCACTTTGGTCTCAGTTGTATACATGGCGTCACTTGTATTTGTTGTGAAGTTTATTTTAGGTCTTAATGAAGACTGAATGGTTTCCATAACTTTGTCTGACATGGTGTATATAATGGTGTTACGTGACGTAGCGATAGTTGCCTCCTCTCTTTTGGTGGTAGTTTTGTTTTGTTTAGATGTAAATGTTGTGATTGGGGAGACAGTTTTGGATGATAGTATTGTTCCTGTGAGTAGATTGTGAGTGCTAAGCATTTGTACATAGTCAGTGTTAAATGAAGTGGTCTTTTCGGCTATTAGTGATTGAGTTGAACGGGTCGAGGAACGGGTCGAATTTAGAGATTCATTGCCAATCGTTGGTCTCACACTTATGTTACTTTGAATTGATTTATTTGATAATTTTGATAAAGAATGTTCTTTTGTGTGTAAAAGCGTGTGTAGCAGTGATGTGTTCGTGTACATTTTACTTCCAGTAACATAATTCGAGGTGGGGTAAACTGTTGCATTTATTGTCATCGATAGCTTCGATGTTGTTACTGAATACAGTCGTGTAACGTTTGTAGCAATGTACTTGGATGAAATGACCTTGTTTGTTTGTTTCGTCATGAAACCTACTGTTTCTGTTGAAGAAGTTCGATTTTTATTACCACTGTCTTCAGTCACTGTTTTGTGTACAAGCGTGTGTAGCAGTGATGTGTTCGTGTACATTTTACTTCCAGCAACATAATTCGAGGTAGGGTAAACTGTTGCATTTATTTTCGTCGACAGCTTCGATGTTGTAACCGAATACAGTCGTGTAGCAATGTACTTGGATGAAATGACTTTGTTTGTTTGTTTTGTCATGAAACCTACAGTGTCTGTTGAAGAAGTTCCATTTTTATTACCACTGTTTTCAGTCACTGTTTTGGAGATATTTATTGGTAAATGTTTGCTAGATAAATTCATGGCAATTGGGGTAGTTGACATATATTCCGTTGGACGATGTTTCGAACTATTTTGAGCAACACTGGTTTGACTGTCTGTTGTGTCACTAGAGTAATTTGGGGACAAAGGTTTCGAAAAAGAAACTGATTCTTTTAAAATGGAAATACTTGTTTGAAATGTTTTGATAGTAGCGTTACTCGCAAACCTTACTGAAGGTGAAATTGGATGACTCATGACTGTATTTGTAACGTGTGATGTTGTAAAAATTTTTGAATAAGTAAGGCTCGTTGTATCTTCTGAATTATTAAAGAAGTTGCCTTGGTCCAGTGTAGATTTTAGAAAACGTGAATTGTGTGTATTCGAGATATTGTAATTTGATGTAGGCTGCATCTTTCTTTTAGCAGTTGAAATGAAGGACGTGCTCAGATTTGCTGTGGCTAGTGTTGTTGTTCCTGTCTGTCTGGGCAAGATTGTTGTTTCTATTGCATTGGAGGTTCGTGTTGAAATGTTTGTACTTGTTGGGTAGTTGTCCTCTGTTGTTAAAACACGTGATGGAGTGAATAATAATGATGTTGTTATTAATGATGTTAATATGTAATGACTAACCACTTCACGATCGAACGAGCCATTACGCTTCAGATGTACAATGATTTCAATGATATCTTGAAAAGACTTGGTTTTTAGGTATGAACTTGAATATGTTGTGACTGCCGTGATATTGTTTATTGATAACTGCGAGATAAGTTTTTCAGTTTCAGATGACACATTCAGCACGCGGTAGTTTATCGCAAATGACGCGTCGGTCAGTTGATTGACCAACATAGAGATCGAGGAGTGTAATGACAATTGTTCTTGTGTGGAATGGTTTGATTCTAGATAGTTCAAAGACTTCCTTTCCCAAATTTCTCTCAGCACTTCGAAAGATTTACAAGGAATATCTCCTTTCTGACCTACAGTAAGGCGTGCCAAGGCGAGAAGAACATAGTTAAGCGTATTGATTTTGCATACGTCATTTGCTTCTTCAAGAGTAAATATGGAGGAAAATAGATAATCGTTTGAGGTCCATTCATATAAAATTCCCAGTTGGTGTTCAGTGAAGTTTGTGCGACTGTAGATGACGTTAAAAACACTTTCATTCAGAGTGTTTATTTTGTTCAAACCTTGATCTTGAAGGATAGCAGACAAATTGGTAGCCTCCACCAATTCCTTTTGTTGTGATAACGGATCTATAACTGTCTCTAGTGTATCCATCATTACGGTGATTGTAAACTCTTGAATATCCGAATATGAGATGTTAATCAATGCTGAAAGGATATCAATCTCCACTGACATAGCTTCTGCAGAGTTTTGGAAAGATTCTGAGATGATTATGGTTTTAAATGGTTCCCATTTATCGGTGCAAGAAAGAAGCATTTTTGGATCAAAACTTGAATCTTTTTCACTGATTTCATTTGCATTTACCCGGAGAGTCTTCAGCACACTGTTTGTAAAGAGATTTAATACGTCTTTCATCATCATAGCGTTTATATTCGACAATTCTGTGTTGCTAATTCTTGCCAGGAATGTGGGGGTAATATTAAATGTTTGATAGAGACGTATTATTACATTCTCATTATATTCAGGTAGCTTCTCCAACAACTTTGTTGTATTGTACAAGTACATGTCAACCTCGTTCAATGTGAATTTTTGTATTTGGGACGCCGTTTTTCCAATCATCTCAGCTAAATAACACGTTGTCAAATTTAAAGCTTCATTTCTAACCGCAATCACGTTTTCAACGATAATTCCAACCACTTTGATCCATATCTTCTCATCCGCTGCAAAGTAGGCCATTTTTCCAAGGCCTAGTTTGTTCCTAATGTCATCACTGTTAAACTGATATCGTTTTCCCAAAACTTTCATAGCATTTTCTTGTATTTTGGAAATAACTGTTTGCCCACTGATATCTACGAGTTGTCCATTCGATGCATTTAAGATGCTCTTCACACTTATCGTATAAGACCAGTTGCTTTTTGTTGTGTATTTTAGATCCTTCAGGCTCAACGGATTTGAAATATGAGAAGAGGCAAACGTTAGGAAAAGAACTTTGATTTTTTTGCTTATCGTTTGTTCAACAGATTGTTCTGCATTTTTAGCCACATCAAATGGTGTGACTTTAGAATAGAAGTCTTTATCCTGATCATAAAAGAATTTTTCTGTTTCGTCTACTTTGTCGGGATCCTGTATCAGAGCATTGATGGCAACTGGAATGTCATATGTGTCCTTGCATGTGATATGCCATGCAAGAGATAGCAGCACAAGGAAACCGGCGATAATTCCACCAATATTCATTTTACTTGCCTTAGGTCTGTTGAGAATAATAATATTTGTGTATAGGAACCACTATTTGTGCAAATATTAATCTGCATTTTCTTGGACAATATAGCTGTTACATAAACTTTCGTATTGATATATTCTTGATGCATGCATGGATTGATGTATTTTATAATGGCGACTTGTGGTCTTAACGTACGTCTTTACAACATAATAAATAGCATGCATGCATGATATACTATTTCCCTCTTTTGGTCAGCGGGAAATTGAGCTCTGAGAGGCATAGCTGGGTTGTAGCTATATATACTAGTGTTTTTCGTTAATATTTCTGTAAGAACTGCAATGCGATGCAATTCTTGTATATATGGGAATTTCAGGGTGATATAGCTAACCCATCAAATCTAAGGTACCACGAATGTGAGTAAATCCTTATTCATACAATAATCATAAGAAATCAAAGTTATACATGCATGCATCTTGTCCATAATGGATATAGCACCTTCCCGGGCTTGGATTTGTAATGGTTCAATTGAAATATATACTTCAAATGGCAATTTTATAAATTTGTATTTTTTTGGCTCTCATTTTACACTGCTAGTTATATCGACAACATGATTAAATTTGATATTTCTAGTTTCAGTATATACAACCTCTTACCAGTGTAAATATAGTCCACTTAATATAAACATCTTGTCTCTCTGATCCCATGCATGTAAATCCCTAGCGTTTTTCATTATTCGTTGTTGGAATACTCTCTGGTTATTGCATGTACACATTTCTTTAGGTTCAGGTAAACTCTACATGTTTGCCCTAACTTGCTGCAAATATTGTCTTTTGCCCCTCTTCTAAATAAAGTTGTTATATAACTACTATACACCTGTTCAACCACATGCGAGCGTCATGATTATTTTTAGCATTTCACTTATCGTGTCATAAAAACCGCTTCAACTGTATCGCATATAAAGCATAAAGCTCAATGTATGAATGTATATATATAAATATATATTTAAACTCATTATTCACATGTATGGAGAGAAAATATGCACGAGTCGTTTACTACTTTATGTATCATATTTGCCTTCTTTATAGAACTTAATGCATGCGTGTATGTTATTTTCTTCTGTACGTGTAGATAATGGGAAGCAGTGCTTAATTGTCCATGTTAAAATTTAATGAGTAGAATATACTAAAAATAACATAAATAAGGCTTGGTATATATAAAGAGGAGTACTAGTGTAAGTTCCTGGCTTTTCAAACATTGAGAATGTTCATATATATATATAAACACCTAAAATGTCCATGCATGCAGGTAACTTTATATAGTTTTCACTCGTACAATCGAGTATTATCTATGCACATGCGTGGATACAGGCATACAAGATGGATATATGTTATCCAAATATATATAATTATGCTAAAATTGTTTTTCAACGTACGAAAGTGTGGGCTGGCAGGTGCATAGCCTCATTTCTCCTGTGCACGATTTATGAAATGAATTGAGTGAAATGTTAACATTGTAACGTTATAACTGATTTTATTTCTGAAATAATACTATTCTGTAAAGTTTCGTAAGTGTTCTGCGTTATGCGAGTTTGATCAATAATTCAGTTGGGAGAAATTAACAAAAGCATCTAAAGTTAAAGCAAAATATTTAACTATTTCAACCGCTTGCACGCGCCACATGCATTGCGGCTTTTGTGGAGTCTCTCCTTATTTAACAACGCGTCTTTATAGCCAGGGTGATATACTTTGTTCAAACATTGGCCCGTTCTATATCTTTGCTGCTATATTTGCCTTGTACTTTGCTTTGCCTTCACTGCATATATGCATGTGGGTGCATGCAAATGCGGTGATATATAGCTCAGACGCTAGAAAAAATAAGATTATTGTCCAGGCGACAGCCAAGCTAAGCCCCGGCTTTCGTGTCTGTTTTATTTGTGTTGGGACTAAAACGTAAACTGATGAATTACGATTGTCAGCAGGAAAAAATTTCATAATAAATTCAGATGCAAGCAGTGGAAAAAATAACTGCTGGTGCTATAGAATAACGTGCATACAAACATCGATCCTAATCGGATGAAATTTTTCTGGTGATAATTTGCACTTATAGGCAAAGGACATAAAAGGACATTTTTATTTGGGTGAATTACTGCAATTATAAAATTTATATATTTTTTTCTCGGTGTAAGTGAAAATGAAAATAGCTGGTTCACGCGGCAAACATGGCTGCATGGCTTCACTTTCTGATATTATTGCCGGGCAGAAGCTATATATCGCCCTGCCACCTAATATAATTTAAACATTTGAACATTTATTGTGTTAGGCTATATATATATACCTATATAATTATATGTATTTTTCGCCATTTTTGATCACGGGATATCAGACGGCAGAAAATTCAACGAATTTCCATTTTATTGGCATAAAATCAAATATATTTAGTAGTATAGTATATAGCTATAATACATAATATAATGCCTTTCGCTAACACTAAACAGACATTGCTTGATTTACAGTTAATGTATCATGTATATATTTCAAGTGATATTTGACGAAGGCAAACAACTGGTAGATATATATGTAACAACTTATATTTCTGTCAGTTATATAGGAGAGTAAATATAAAGACGCCTTAGACAGTAGGGTATACCTTCAAAATATATCCTTAACTCGCAAGTAAACGAAAAAAATATACATTTGTACCTGTAATATTCCTTTAATATCGCCAAAGATCAATCTGCATAATCTTAAACAAATGCGATAAGTTTGTACGATTCATTTTTGAACATGTCCAAAGTAACATAAATATCAGTATTGAATAATGCTAATTTTCAATATACACTTGAATGATTATGAAAAATCTTTTTCTTTCAACTGGGTAACGAACGTTTTGTTTTTCAATTTCTTCACCGACGCTGAAATATTCTATTGCCTTGACGATATAATCTGGCAATCATTTATGTGCATCAGCTGTTTGGATGCATCTAATCAATATTCAAAGCACCTGTCCTGGCTGAGGTAGACTCTCAGAATAAATAATACTTTGTTCAATTGTAAACCTATACGGAAACACTCTTTCCAGTGTCGATTTCAGAGACTATTTATTGATTTGTACATGACATGTGTACCGATTGTTTAAAACGAATATAACTTTAAGGTTTAATGCCAACAGACAGTTCATCTCATATACATATAGCTATATTTGTTTTGACTTGTGTTTTCATAAACGTTTCGGCTTTGTTCAACAGTAGTTTGAAGTTGCCGCGACTGTTTTATTACCTCGTATATATTATTATGTATTACGGCTATGTGTTCATCTCGTCACCCAGATACATCAAATTTTCATATAATGTGATGTTTTGCATATTTGCAAGTTAATTTACTACTCTTCTCTGTCTCGATTTTGGCTTTCAGCAGAAACAGGGTTTTAAAATAATTTGAGCCACCTTAAGTATACAGCGATCGGCCCTTAGGTGCCTACCCTTATATATTTTATCCTAATAATATGGTTTTATATCACATTTTCTCGCCTTCCATGTTTGACCATGAATATAATTATAACGAATATATCAATTACATTTACATTTATTGTTGGAAAAAGTCTATTAACATCAACCACATCATGCATGCACTGCATGATATATATTGATAATAAAATAATTCAATTTTCAAGAGCAATTTTCACGCACGTTTTGCACGAACATTCGGCATTGCGTATATATTATTTTCAATTAAAAAGAAAAAATCTTCAATTCTATCCAATATATTGAATTTATGTTATTTTAAATTGTTTTTACTTACCAATGAGTCTTAGCCTAGGTGTGTTGATCGAGAGAACATGCATGATCATGCATGCTGGTGATCTTTTCGAGTATCCCGCGTACAGGGCCGTAGCTAGAAGCTTAATTGAGAGGGGGGGGTGTATATTCATGAATTCATCTTATGCCCAACTGATTTCTTTTGTACGCTATTGTTCCTGCGGTAAATAAACATGAATATATAAATATACACCCCCCCCTCAAATTAAGCGGTCTATAGGTCGTATTCGTCATTTTCCGGCCAATTCGACCATGGTCGAATTCGTCATTTTCCGGCCAATTCGACCATGGTCGTATTCGTCATTTTCCGACCAATTCGACCATGGTCGTATTCGTCATTTTCCGGCCATTTCGACCATGGTCGAATTCGTCATTTTCCGGCCAATTCGACCATGGTCGTATTCGTCATTTTCCGGCCAATTCGACCATGGTCGCGATATAGCTACTGCCCTGATCCCGTAAATCGGTTCGGTTGTCTGCTAACCCTGCGTATGCTCATATCCCGTAGAGTAATCAATTTAGTATAATCTCTCAGATTATAGCTGTAATTCTGACAGTAGCGTGTATATAAGTGATGTTATTTTTTCTTTCATCCATGCCAATAAGTTAAAATTGATACATGCATGCTTGGTAAGAAATAAAAAGAAATATACAAACGCGCGTGTAAAGGTTTGCTGGCAATATGCTTACTAATTCTAGTAGTGATTGCATGCAAATTTTGAAAAACAATTCTTACAAGGAAGTGCGTGCATGGCTATAGCTGTGATTTTGTTTCGCGCAAGATTTGTTGTCTCAAGACAAGTTATCGTAATGTCGGTTCAAAATATAGAACGTAATAAACGTTTATTAATATAAAGAAAAGAAACAGCACATGTCAAGTGGTGATGAAGCCTAAGTTTACCGAACATGTTCAGAAATATAATTGTGGTATGATATAATTGTGTTTGGTTCAACTAAACAATTAAGCACCATGCAGTTTAGTTGTATAAACGAATTTAATCATTGAAATATACTCATCTTTTCTCTCCGTTGAAGACCAGTCCGATTCAGTCGTGCATATATGCGTTGCATGCTTTCACGTATTTTCCAAGATCGACCGTTTAAGAAAGCATTTACTGACGCTGATAGCGTTCATGCAATATGGCATGAATTCTCGTAAAGGTTGATATAGTTAATACGCAACACTGATGCAAGATAAGAAGACTTGTTTACCAGCAAAGTATATTAAAAATCAATATATTTTACCTTATGTCATCCAAAGTTGAACCTTAAAGCAATCATATGTATACATCATTGTCCATCTGGACATAAATAGAAACCGTCAATGTATATTTTAACATGCGGAATAAAAGCCAGATGCTGCCTGTATTTCCTTCTTTGTTGTGAAGTCCGAAGTAGACCTGTAATGACCTGAAATTATCAGGAAACGTTCTATTTAAGGAATTTTTAATGACATTATTGCACCATATAGAACAAAAAAGTAAAAAAAAGTCTTGTCTGCATGAATTGCATGCACTTTTGTATATTCGCCATGATGAAAAGTGGAAAAATAAATATGTTTGTGTCTAATTCTTTGAAGAATAATTTGTGTGGAAACACTGTCGGTTTATTGTTCTAAACAACCATGCAGTCCTAGTCTTATAAGCCGCCGTGCAGAGGCCGTTTCACATGGTCAATATGACGTCGCCGTCATTAATAGCATGCATATATTAATTCCCACAAGGACGGATTTCTGGTAGTTTTCATCTTAACTAAGGGCCTGATTATCAGGCTAATATTAAATTAAACATGTAATTTCATTCTCCTTGCATGGGAGAGGCATTGTGCAAAACCAAAGTCGGTAATAGCTGACGAACGTGGAACTTTAAAATAACTGTATTTGTTATATAGGTGCTTTGTATTTTAAATGCGATTGGTTCATTCGTAGTCACATGACTTTAAATAAATGCAATGTTTCCCGCAAGGGAATGTTGCCCGCTCATGTCATAACAAAGTAAAGTGGCTTTCTTTTTTAAATGAAATTGTTGTGTAACATTTATGTTTTCGTTCCTATATAACAAAACACTTAATGTTCACTACACCTCGGGAAGTAGTGAGTTTTGTTTTCCCTCGAGTCTCCGACTCTTGGGAAAACAAAACTTACTATTTCCCTCGGGAGCATACATTAAGTGTATAATATACTGTATATATCATTACAAACACTATCCATGCACTGACTTCGACCCTAGCATACCTATACAACTAATATGAAATATGCAAGCTCGTTCCCAGGGTTTATATGCTCTACCTATATATGGATATTTTGTGTGCAAGGACAGGGTATTATAGGGTTAGTATATATCATATCATCTGTTGCCTCCATATAGATATGGTGATTCTAGTTTAACACGCATGCAGGCTCGAATAATGACAATAAAACAATACTTTATTGATGAATATGAATTATATTTCATGAACTCTGGTCGAAATATATGACATTAATCTGTTATATTTCTCCCTTCGTTCACTCATATAACCCCAATTATACATCAGGCTCCTCAGCCCTTGTATAATTCTAATTTTACTCAAATAAATAATAGCGAAGAATACGCTGAACAAAACAAAATAGACTGAGAACAAAATTGTTAGTGATAAATGAAGTATAGATAATTTCTTTCGATAGAGGAAGCATTTATGCGTCAATGTATGCGTATTTTAATACAGTACAAGTATAAATATGCATCTAAAACGCCTATTATATGAAACAAAAGTAAAATGCCGCTTCGAAAATTATTGCTAGTAGAAAGTAAACTGGCTTAAGCCTGCATGGTTCAAATCATAGTCGACCATGCAGGTCTTTGTCTAGAAAATCGGCCAAATTCTTTGTTTTATCATCTTTCCTGACGTGCATTACGCGAAAACAATGGTCAGGCTTCGTACGTGCAATTACTTGTGCATGGTAACCGTGCTTTTAAATTACGTGCTCGGCAAAGTCGTCTGAGCATCAATGAGTTTCTCCAATTTATACCAACACCAAATACATTGATAAAAGTAGTGTAATCATCGTTGAAATGTACCCTAGACGCAGAAATTACATAATTAATTTGGTTGAAAAAAAGGACGGATAACAAGCCACTGTTGACAATTAGAAAATATTTCATTATGAACACGTACCTTTCAGGTGTAGGTTATTTCCTAGGGATACTGTTCTAGCTCCAACTTGATTGGAAATACTACTTGTCGTTATATCTATTTAAAGATGGAAAGCAGAGGTGATACTGATGTTGCTCGAAAACTTTATTGGATTTGCCCTTGAATCTTTTTTGGGTCGTGTGCAACATCCTACCTTTTGTTAGAAGGGAATTTTTTGCACCAACAAGCCCCAAGGAAGTCGTGTGATTAGCTATTCTGGTTGCCATAATCACACCTGTAAATGAATAAGAAACAGAAGCATAAGCACAAGAAACATAAAGCACAAAAGGTTTTTGCTGATGTTGTGCACATTTTTGATGGATTATAAATGCATAAAAGGTCGAGTTATGCATTCAAACAATATACATGAGACCAAACAAAGTTTATCACTCATCAGTCATCGCATATTATATTCGACGCCTAATTACATTCGATTGCATGTAATTCTAATTCATTGATCTAATTCCATTCAATTTGCTCTACCGTTTGTCCCCAAAAAAGTACACCTTTTATCATTATTTTGTTGTTAAGGGAACTTTTTCTTGAGGACATACTGTATGCACTCGAGTATTCGTTAATTCGACAGTTATGAAACCCAGCGACAAAGCAAGTGGAAACTATACTATTTTAAACAAGTATTTACTTTTCGAATGAAAATTATTTGCTGAACTGCCAGAAGCAAAAGTCATCGTCTGATTGGTTATTCTGGTTTCCGTCACCATACCTACAAGTAAATGAGTAAATGTCTGATTTTTTGGTAAAATATTAGAATTTTAGAAGTACAGTGTGTCCCCATAAAAGTACCCTTAACAATGAACCATTATATATAAGAATGATTTCAATAATGGTACTTTTTTGGACACACGGTGTAATGACTATAAATGTTTCATTAGAGCTTTGATGATCATGTTAGTTAAGTATAAGGTTCAATGTGATACCTATATATGCTTATGGCTCTCGGAAACAGCGTGGTATTTTGTATATATGTATACGACCATGTTGATTGTATGGAAGAAACGAACATTTTATAAGTTCTACTGAAAGCACTCGCTAACATGGGCGAAGAACATTGTCTGCTGTGTTCTTATAGCGTGGTTGCAAATCAAGAATTTATACCTTTTGAAAGATAATTATTCGCTGAACTGACAGAACTAGAAGTCCTCGTTTGATTGGCTATTCTGGATTCTGTAATCATACCTATATAGAGAGAAAAATTAAAGAGTTTATTCGGTAGAATTTACAATGCATGCATACATAAAAATTGTCTTTCAAAAGTATTTACCCTTTGTAAGATTTTTTGTCGGACTGAAAGCACTAGGAGTTCGAGTCATCGTTTGATTAGTTATTTTGGTTTCTGTAATGATACCTATAAGGAAAAATAAAGGAAAACGGAAAGAGAGTTTCTCTGCATGGTAAAATTTCATCATATATATGCATGGTGATTTTAGCTTGCGGGTTCATATCTTTATATAAGCAAACTTGAAAGTGGCTTTTAAAGGCGATTTTATAAAAAGTATTTACTTTTTGTTAGAAGATTTTTCGCTGAACCGACAGAAGTGCGAGACATCGTTTGATCTGCTATTCTGGTTTCCTTATCTGTAGGTTTAGAAATAGTTATATGCTGATGAATAATATATTATTACACCGTGTACATGCATATGTCCTCAGAAAGCTTAAACTCAAAGTCAAAGGACACTTATTGCATGCTGAGGCTGTGGGGGTCTATAAAAGTCTAAAAATACAATTTAATTAAGTAATGATTACTTGAATATAGGTTTTTCTCATGATGGCTAATAATTATACGATATAGCTATATCTAAATATGTGCATACACCAAGTCTCGAAATATATAGAAACATGCATGTACCTGTTTTCGTTGTCACTGCGACCTGTGCTTCGATGGAAGTATGCATTGAATTTAGTTCTCTGGAGCTATTTGGCATTATCTGAAAAGACATGAGTTAATATGATTATACTGATTATGTTCAGATATTTCCAGGATATAAATCATTTAAACATTGACTATTTAGAAATATAAAACGTTGTGATAAGTTTGGTTAGCAACTCGTATGCATTTTTCTCCATTATGATTAAACAATTCTAAAACGAAAATACGTGAAGAATGCTGTTATAAGTATGTTCCTTACAACCTACCATTTTAACGTTTTGAAACAGTAGTCCATTTGTCTTTAGTTCCTCAGCAAGTTCAATAATATATTGAAATGACTTCTGCTTAAGATGCGTCGTGGTAAGAGATGATGCCATCGAGATATCGTCTAGGATGACATTTGCACAGAGTGCTCGAGCATTCGAGCTTGAATTCAAGACGCGGTTAATGAATGTGAGGTTTCCTTCAGTAAGTGCGAGAAGCATGTTTTCCAGGGTCAAATTACTGAGCTGTTTACCAAATCGCTCTTCTATCTCATTTATGGTTTTCTTTTCCCAAATCTCTCGTAATGCAGATAATGTCTTGCACAGTTCAGTAGTGTCTTCACCAGCACTCATTTCAGCTAATTTAAGCAATGTGTAATTGAAGAGTTCAGGTGAGCAGGAAAAAACGAGATCAGCAACTGAAAACATTTCTGCAAAGATGAAGTGCGAGTTTTCCCAGCCATAAATTAAGGATAGTTCGCTTTTTGAGAAATTGGTAACTGTCTGGATGATAGAGAATGTATTTTCACTTAAATTGATCACGTCAGTTTGCCCATCAATATGCATCAGTATAAATAAACTTTTTTGTTCGATTATATTTTTTCTTTCTTTCACCTTCTTTATTTCATTGTTGATGAGCTGTTCCATTTGTTCCGGTGAGAGATGGCTTATGTTACCATATGGTATTTGAATCAACAATGAAAGGGTCTTGTTTGTTATTGACATATTTTTTGCTTGGTCCTCAAAAGCTTCCTCGACGATCATTCTTTGGAATATTTCCCACTCTTCGGGACATGGAGTTAGGACAGCATCACCACATTTTTTATACTTTGTAGCGATGGTATCGATCGAAAGGTGAAATTTCTGCAGCATGTCGTTGGTAAGTAGTCTAATTTGATTCTGAAGTTCCATTGTGTTGACCATGGAGATATTTAAGCCGCTCAAAGTTGCAAGTTCAGCCGGAGTGACATTAAACGTTTTTGCTAAAACCGTTTCTTTGAACTCGGGGACTTTATTCCTCAGGTTGCTGATATTATAGATGTGCTCGTCAACTTCGTTAAGAGTAAATCCTTCAATATTCTTTTTAGTCGTATTAAGAAGTTCAGGCAGATAACATGGAGGAAAGCCTAATTCTTTACTTGTTCTGTTTATCATTATTTCGGTGATGATGCCAACTATCTTGATCCACTGTTCTTCATTTGCTCCTAAAAATTCCATCCTGCTAAGGCCAAGTTGACTTTGGATTTCACTCATGTTAAAATTAAAACGCCTTTCTAACAATTTCATTCCAAGTTCCTGGACCAAGTACAATTGCATGGCATCATCTAGCTTCACAATACTTCCCTCTGAAGCGGCGATCAAGTCTTCAACAGAGACGCTGTACGACCACTTGCTTCCATTCACATATTTCAGATCGCTATTTTCCAAGGTTTTGGCAAGATGCGAGGACGCTACTGTGAACATTACGACTGATAATTTCATTAGAATAAGATCTTTTAAATCTTTCTGTGTGTCATCTGCAACATCCGTAAGAGCTACCTTGGAGAAAAATTCAGGATCATTCTGGTAGAAAAAACGAAGCGTTGGACTCAGTTCTATTGGAGTTTGTATGACTGGGTTTAAGGATAAAGGGAGAACGTATTCTTCGGCACTGGAAGAATTCACAAAATTCAGCAGAAGATGCAGACCGGTTAGAGTGAGGACCAAGGTGACGTGCATCTTTCTTTGATCTATTAAAAAGAAACAGAACTATGGTTACATCCGACTCATCCTGCAGATATGTGGTGTTCAAGGCTGTTCAGTCTTTGAATAATGTGTTCTAGGCTGTCCTGTGTCGTTTAGAGAGTAGCTGGAAGATGGTGTTTTACATGGATGCATGGCTAATCCGAAAGCAGTTTCCTGTCTTGTCGGATTTTTTTGTTTGATAATAAACAGCTGTCGAAACCGGAAGTTAGGAGTTTTTCAAGGAGTGTTTCCAATATTTGATGAACTCCGTAAGCCAACTGATAGATTTGAGCAAATGAGAATTACTCGATATTTTTCGGAACGCTTCTACTGCCGCGACTGTAAGAAATGTTCAAAGGCTGACATGATTTGCTTTATCTCTGAACTAACCAACAAGTCGTAAGTTTTTTTCTATATACCGGGTATTGGAAAACCGCGCGTTAAGTTCTCAAATTTGCGCTCACATTAAAAATGACTATAAATCGGAGACAAGGCCATTAGTCAGAATAAGCATGGAAGTTTGTCGAAACTTTAGTTTTATTGCGTATAGTGAAATTTGTTTTCAAAATTTGAAACACAAATCATCAACACCTGCAGTTTAGCATATTTTATTACATATTCCTCAATTTACATCGTGGACATGCACAGGGCCGATTTAGTAGGATATACGGTTATGTTCGCATGTAAAGGTTTTTTAGTCGCTAATATCTCGACGCTTGCTTACGTAAACTATGAACGATGTAATTTTCTATAAAATTATATGTTTACTTGGTTTGTTTAATTCCTATTCGTCAAACTCAAACACTATAAAATCTTGAGTAGTTTACGTCATTTACAATTTATTTGACTTACTGTTTTGCTTCGATATTCTCTTTTTTGTTAAATGCAGTAGATGGCAAATAATTCGCAAGTCAATCCTACATGATAAAGAACCGTTACGTTTTTTGTTGCAGTTGTCCTGACTACTTTACAGCTAAACTTTACAGCCAAGTTTAGACTTTACATCACACGACGCTTGCCTTAACCTTGATTAGAAACCAAACACCTGCCGTGGTCTATAATGCATTAACTTTCATAATCCAGTAGGCAATATTCTTGCGTCATGTGATCGCCGCGAAGCAATTAATGTTAAATTGAACACTTTATTGAAGTTTGATTACAATTTTTGACGAAAACAGATTTTAAAAAATTGTACGAAGAATCGGGACAATGGTAATTAGAACATAAGCCTCGTTATCCTCACCATGCATATATTGATTTATAGTTGATTCGACGTCACCGAAATGCCACGTCTATGAACTAGAGCCAAGACAATCCTATATACATAGCTGTGAAACAAGGATGTATTGATGGCCGACACATTAATTATGCTGGTTTTACCAAGTTTGTGTTCTCGTGCATGTCTCCATCCACGTCATAAAGACACTGACCGTTGGGTAATGCCATCAAATATCCGCGGTTTCATCTTCATGACTGATGACCAAATCGCCTGGCTTGCGAGGTTGCTTCATGACTGGGCCTCTCCAATTACTGCATTGCTTGTACTTGTTGTCATTTTAATACGAAAATATTGAATATCCGTACCTCTTGCATATCCAATATGCAAATACATATGTTTATCGGACTGTTGGCATGTGAATACAAAGACAGGTTCCCACTATCCGTAAGTTATCGATCGCACGAAACTTTTCGCTCCAATTTCCTTTTAATCGTGAGAATTCAACCAGAGCGGATTCAGTTAAATTCTTTTTTCAATTTTAAGGGCGCTTAAAGCCCCATTTACACTACATTCAATTTTTGGTACAGCACGGTTAAAATCGGTACTTTTACCCAATAGACCTTTTCAGCTTGCATGCAAATTAACCCGTTTCATGCAGATGTTGTGACCGTGGAATAGCCAATAAGAATTAACCATTTCAGACCATGTGACTTGAAATGGGTTCATTTGAATACAAGCTGAAAAGGTCTATTTTATTAGTGTTCAGGCCGCCAAAACAAAGGCCGGGCACGGATGAAACCCATGGGTACAGGTACTCGAAAGAGAAAAGAGCCACAACTAATATTTTAATATTTTATTATCGTTATACATTGTGCCAGTGTGAGTGTGCAATGATGAAACCGTCCCACATGCCTGTAGATATATTAAGGAACCACGCAGCTTAACCGATATAATTTAGCTGAACCGTTGGTTATTTTTGAGATTTTCTAATTATAAGATGTCCATTTAAACTTCCTTTATTATAGTCAAGAATAAGGTTCTTCAATCAGGTTGCAAAGTTAGCGAGATTTTACCAAGCGTGTGCATGGGCACGTGGGACAATTCGAATGTTAAATTTACTTTATAAAATTAATGTGAATATCAAAAATTGATCTCGTTATATACATTCAGTGCAAAAATACAAAACATTCAATATTATATAATATTGTTCTTTACATGTTGTGGCATTTTACCCAGTAAATTGCTTTTGGTAATAAATATATTTTTTTAATTTTTAAAACATTTGTTTTTAAAATTGTGCATGTGCATGTGTGTATTATCTATCGTCTTATTTTATTTCTTTATGTATATATGTTTCGATGCATTCTTGGTGAAAACAAAGAAAAACACTGCAGAACTCAATGATACAGCATAATATCCGCACGTACACAAGGGCTTTACCTCCTTTACTCTTATATATTGATGTCATTGTGGGTTTTAAAGAAAAAGTGCATTGTTTAGCCTGCAACATTGTAGTAAAATGTATATATTGCATTAAAATTTTCAGGGTATTTTGGGATTAACTATATATATTAATCCAGTAGCTTCAAAAATAGATTTAACATGAAAAAAGAATGGAACCTTTCTCGACTTTTTAGACTTTCCTCCAGTCATTATCATTCTTTCAGTTTTTAAACATTACAACTTTCTTTGTAGCAGACCTGAATAAGTTTTTGTATCAAAATTTATTAGGACCAGTTATTGATAATGGAATTACCAATGCTACAGTTAACAAAGTGGTTAATGATACGAAGTCTAGAAAATAGAAAGATGTAGGTGTTATTACGTTGATAATGAAATTTGAGATTTTAGCATTAGGTGAGCAAAAAATATTAATTATATAGATCCCGTAATGACCATGTTAATAATAAGTGCATAATTGTGCAAATGTTTTTGCAAATTAATATTACTTTATGTTAGTTGTTAATCAATTTGGACAAACCTGGAAGATGGCGTTTTGATAATGATCGTGGATTTGCTGTAGGCTTTTCGTGTCCGTTATACTTAACATCATCAGTAAATATTCCTTCTGTGAAGTTTCCCGTTGAATAATTTATTGTTTTGAAAACCTAAGTGCATATGGATTTTTTCATATACTATAAAATCATTATTTGGTGCGTGCAGTTTGTTATATATATACAGTTCAAGGTAAGTGCAGTTAATATCGTGTTTAATATTAGTGTTATAACTCATGTAATATTAAAATAATATATATGATATAGCTTTAATAATTGGAACTTACCCGTATCAGGGAGTCAAATGCACCAGTGTTTAGTAACTCGTAGATCATGAGCACAATTCGCTGTATTGGGATTTCTTGTAAGTAATCATCTGTATGGTTGGTCATCTCCGACATGTTGTTTAACGTTACCTTCTGTAATAACCACTGGATTATGGGTGTTTTACTTAGAACCCGACAACTTATTTTTTCAGACGAGTTGGTGAGTTTTCCCAGTACGGTTGCAATGGGCTCTGATAGTGAAATTCGTGTGTTTGGGTAATATAGGTTTTTCAAGTCACTTAAACTTGCTTGGCCCCAAACAGACCTCAATGCAAGGAATGCTGTGCAGTTAATGTCTTCACTGTTTTTACCCATGTTGATTTTTGCCAGTGAAAGTAGCGTTTTCTTGTTGATGTCAATGAGGCATACGTCGCCAATTTCCTCGGCGGAAAACAATCGTGCAAAATGATAATCACGAGGCGCCCATCCGTACAGCAGCTTGAATGCATACTTCCCGAACTTTGTCGTACGTTTGATCAAAGAAATGGCATTGTGCTTTTTAGTGTTAAGTCTTTTAGTGCTGTTAATTTTTCTCAACATTGATAATGTAAACTTTTCAGTCTTTCTTTTGTCTTCTTTAATCGGATTTATGGCAAGTTCAATAAGATTAATCATCTTCATTACTGACAGCGTTTTAATATTATTATAAGGCATTTTGATAAGATTTGCAAGAATTGCTGGTGTGATGGACATTTTCTTTGCTTGATTTTCAAATGCTTCTAAAAGCACTGCATCTTTGAACGTGCTCCACTGTGACGGACAGATAGTTTCGTTCTCTGAGAAAGACGAAGGCATTTTGTTGATTTCGAGTTTTGACAATATAGTTCTGGTAAATAGCTGAATAAGATTTTTTACTCCAATTGCTTTGAGAACTGTAAGGTTGGTATTACTAATCTTAGCGAGTTGTGTTGGCGTCATGTTGAACTCTTGGTAGAAACTACGCAGGGTCGAGTCTCTGTAAACGGGTAGTTTCTTATTCAGCTTACTTTTATTGTTCAGATATATGTCAACTTCTTGGAGTGTGAATCCTTGTGTCTCGCTTTCTGTTTTATTGATAAGTTCTGCCAAATAACACGGAGTTAGATTCATTTCATTTGATCTTTTTTTGATAACAATATCAGTTATCGTGCCCACAATCTTTATCCATTGTTCTTCATCTGCGGCATAAAGTTCCATCTGATTCATACCATGCTTTTGAAGAATGGAGTCTACGCTTAGTTCGTATTTCCTTGCAAGAACTCTCATCGCTAGTTCTTGTAGTTTGTATATCTTCATCGTGTCAGTAAGTTTCGTGACAGTGCCGTCCGATTCACTTATCAATTTCTTAACCGGGATCTTGTAGGACCATTTGCTACTTCCAGTGTCGTAGATAAGTTTCTCGCGTGTTAAAATTTGTGAAATACGAGAGGAGGCTGCGATAAGGAAAACGACACTAATCGGCTTCTTTATTATTTCTGAAATTTCTTGATTTTCGTTCTTGGCAACATCGAGTGGTGTTACTTTCGAGTAAAAGTTCCTGTCCGTTTTATAGAAAAAGCTTACTGACCGTGACATCTCTATCCACGCTGGTTGTACTAATGGACTGATTGACACTGGAATTTGAATGAATATTTCCGTCGCTTGGGAAGGGTTTAGGAATACTGAAAGGATTCCAAGGGTGCGTAGGAAGTACATCATTTTGCAAAACGTCATAACGAAATTGTCTCTGATCCATAAACAACGTTAGTTGCCAATGTCTTCTATGCCTTTTGCAGCTGTCCCTCTGCAACGCAATAACGTAGCAGCACTTCACTTCAATATGAAATTAGAAACCAATTAAAACGGTAACGGTCGCTTCAAAAAGGCGAATTACAGGTGTTTTTATCTCTTAGCCAGTGGAATTCGTTGAGTATGCCATCGTGTGATAAAAATCATGAGCAAGAACAAACTGCGTGTTGCGTTACTATGGTCGGATTCTTTAATTTCAACCACAAGCGCGATATTTATATTTCGATAAATATCAGGATATATAGTCGGCTTGACCGCATGTTTTTGTTGTGAACCTCATGGTTAGCATAGCCGCTTTGTGATTTCGGTATGAAACGGATTAGAATGTTTTAGAACCGCTATTGCTCTCTCATTTTGTGGTAATTCAAAAAAAGTTTAGCTAGCATATATAACATTGCATGTTTTTTGACATTGAGACATTAATGTACTGTACTGCATGTGCATTACGCGCATGACGTGTAGCATATATATTCCTAATAATTGCCAGTTACGTTACAAACCCGACAACGTTTGTTAACAACTTTACAAATGGACTTCGACGTATATTTACCAGGTTTAGAAAGACATGCACTTAGTTAGCGCTCGAAGAATGTATAATTCACAAATGCGGACAGTTGAACACTTTGTTTGTTTGTGAGATTAATACGCGGTTGCATGTTTTTACGCCACAATTTCTGATGTATCCAAATGTGCTGAAAAAATGACAAGAGATAACATTGTCATTGCGTATTTCAGTGCGAATATATCATAGATGAAACGAATTGGAGGTTCAGTTTATCATTTCCGACATTTTGTATAATTGACTGCACTTAAATTTTATGCCCTAAACGTGGAATTTTAAACATGATTTTTCTATTCAGTTTAAAATCTCTTGAGACTTATCCGAGTTTCATACAACCAGTGTGTACGTCAAACAAGGTGAATAATTTTCCAAGAGACTTCGTTGAAGCGTGCATGTTCCATTATCAGGTTTTTAATTTTTTTCATTTGTATAGCCAAGGATAGATATTCATTAATCTATCCTTGTCTATACCACATGCCAGAGACAAACGATCTGCTATTTAGCATAAGCGTGGAAGCGGGTTATAATACGAAAGAAAAATTTTCATTGATGAACCAAATGTCAAGAATGTCGCAATAGAATCACATGATTTTTAAGTTTATTTCGTTTTGTCATTCTGAAGGTAGTAGGCATGCTAATAATTTCGGCGCAACTTCAAACAAAGACGTTCGAGTTCCTGCTGGAAGGAACAGGTTCTGTTTGCCACAATAGACATCGTGGCGCTCTGTTGCTTTATCGTCTTCTCTCCGTCCGATTCAATTTACATAACCCTATATTATAATTTGTATTTATTTCCACAGAATTTTAAACATCGATTTTTTAATTATACAATTGCCTTGTAGCTATATACAATCCACATGCACAGATAATTTCCATTTACAGCCTATTATCCTAACGAAAGTCAGACACGAAGATCAATTGTTTGATTCATCCTGCATTCAAATACTCTAAAAGGCCGTTTCTCTCATTTAAAGTGGGAAAATTGTATCTCGTAGATTCTCGTATGAAAATACCGTCGATTTTAAAATTGGGAACTTGCAGTCGTGCGATGTCGTGCTTGCATACCCGTTGAACGAAATTTCTGATTTGCATGTCTGTATTTCTAATTTTTTTTCTGCTAGATTTAAGGGCAATTTTTTTCACAATTAGAAAGAGCTCATTAATTGTTTTGGCTCTGCTTTATATAACAATCTGAAAACAATTGGTTTACAATATCACGTCACGTGATAATCCTGACACGAGGAAGTAGCCGTCCAGTCGTCTACTAATGATTCAAAACAAGCTCTCCAAGTCGTCAATTGAGTTACTACGATATTATCACGGACCAGTTTAAGCAAATATACATTTTCGTTTCGTGTAGAGCGGGAATTTGTGAAATAATTAACATACATAAAATAAGGTCGAATTGTGACAGGTGCACTCCCAATACTCCAATACTAAATCATGTTTGTGATTCAATATTCATTTCTAAATACTTAAAAGTTATTCAAGTAACTATACACTCTTTCTCGAGTAAGTAGTGTTTAAGTTGTGAATAAAAAATGTTGCTATGCGAAAACTGTTTTGTTTTATTTCTCCCGTTGCTAACTAGTATACAGGACGCCAATAAAATTGAAGTTTTGTTTGTGGGCGTATATAACACGCCATCGCTAATGTCAGTACTGGTGGCCATAATTATGCAGTTCTCTATAAGCTGTGTCATGCAAATAGCTATAGGTTAGTTGTAGTCAGTGTAGAAAGGAATTTTCTCATAACTCGTTTTTCTCCAAAGTATATCTAACAATGTGTATCTAACATAGCAGTTTGTCATTTCACGAGGATTAAACAGTCGATCGTCTCACTCTATCGCAATAATATAAAATGTTTTATCTTTGAAAAAAATATATAAAAACAAAAGCCGTATGAACTAGGCAGACTGATGCATCCTGCGTGGCGTTTAAGTAGTAATCAATATTTGTTCCGCTTCAAACAAGGTCGAGTATAGGCTTTGGAAGAGTCCTTAGACGATAAATGTTGGAGGTAGCAAAAAAGGGTAGACGATTTATTTAACAAAGTCTGCTTGAGCTATGCCGACATGATCCTGCTTAATTCTGTTCAGCAATAGTCAATACCAATAGATCACGGCCATCAAAACTTGTAATCTAATTCAGTTTCGAGCATTCGCTATAACGGTCAATTCGTAGTTATCTCATTGAATTATACATAGGTTATAGCCTTCCATATGCTGACAATTTTTGCCAGAAATGAATTATTTATTGAGATGTTATATTTCATTTGATAATTAATATTATGAGATAAACAAATATATAAGAAGTAGCTAGCGTCCTTTCCTCAAAGATGGTAATTCTACAATTACACACAGAAGTTGCATTAAATCATAGTGACAGAGTTTCGCTTTTATAATAATGGAGGGGCCAACTTATTAAAGACTATAGTGGTACTCTTGGTTTTTTTTAATAAGATTATTAATAAAGTTTTTAAATGAAAAACAATTAATAAACTGAGCAGGTTATTCGAATCTGCTAAAGTAAGGGAAATTATGTGTAGATTTGCTAAGATATCGATGTTTTCTGATATATTAAACCAAGTTGACCGGTATTCCTAATTTCAAAGTCATTATCTTCACCCGAGGCCGAGTGTTAAGAAAATTTTTATATAAGGTATCATCCCTGTACGACCCGGTTCTATACGATACGTTAGTCAATTTGTTATTCATATAACTTATATACCTCTGGTTCATCTGGTTCCTTCCCCTCATGTATTGTCTTTAAATTACTTATGCTGCTACTTTTCGACATTGAACGACTTGACCTGTCATCTCTTCCTTTATTTACAAAACCTGTTGTTCGATTGTTTATGCTTTCCGTGCTTTCCGCGGGTCCTTTGCTGAAAAGTTCTAAGCCACTTTCTGCATTCATTTGGTTAGCACTATAATGAAGCATTAGTTTAGACACAATCTCTCTCACTGCCCTCTTATGGGCAGGACCACACCTTAGCTACATACACCCTCCCCCTCTAATTAAGCGGAACAGCTAAGATCCTGGGATCACTGTCATGGCGCGCGTCATCAAACGCTGGTATTCAAATACAACGTTTGGAGTATTTTTAAGCACATTATAATATGTGTGTGCACTAACGAGTGTTGGTATTTATTAGGCGACGAAATGATCGAATACCTTTTGTGTCGTCTTTTGAACCTGAGCCACATGATCAATGCAGTAACAACAGCAACCAGGAAAAGAACGCACATGATTGGAACCATGATGAGAACGACAAGATAAACTCCATCTATATTATATGACGAATGATGTCAGGTATGTCAATTTACTCTACACCATAGAAATATTGAATACTGAGAAGGAATAGTGAGAGGAATTCTGAGTTGAAAATGCTCGTTCAAGCGCCTATATATACCAATGCAAAGATATGGACGATCTTGCAATATCTATAAGGAAAATGTGCAACGAAATATGTCTCAAAACCACAATTCCTTGAGTGAAGATATACATTATTTACGAAATATTTACCCACGCAGAATCCTTAATTATCTCGGTAGAAAGGTTTTTACTTTACCATTATAAAAATTTCAGTCGTAACCTACATAATGACAGTTTATATATGATTCTATACTTCGATTAAAGTAGATCAATTATTTTTAGCTGATTTTCGGAAACGCATTGTCGGACTAAAACGGATATAAAGTTGATCTATATGCTCCTGTTTAAAGAGAATAAATATCAATCAGCATACACCACATGCAGTTTTACCTTCAAAATGTGAAGATGATGCATGATATGAACTTAGATTGACAGGACTAGATGTTTTCCAATTCACATCATCAGCTGTTGTGGTAAAGGTAGGAGAATGTTTCAGAATATTTGTGGACTGTTGGTACTTCGTGTTTGTTGATGTTGTAGTAAAGGTAGGAGAATGTTTCAGAATATTTGTGGACTGTTGGTACTTCGTGTTTGTTGATATTGATGTTGTGGTAAAGGTAGGAGAATGTTTCAGAATATTTGTGGACTGTTGGTACTTCGTGTTTGTTGATGTTGTAGTAAAGGTAGGAGAATGTTTCAGAATATTTGTGGACTGTTGGTACTTCGTGTTTGTTGATATTGATGTTGTGGTAAAGGTAGGAGAATGTTTCAGAATATTTGTGGACTGTTGGTACTTCGTGTTTGTTGATATTGATGTTGTGGTAAATGTAGGAGAATGTTTCAGAATATTTGTGGACTGTTGGTACTTCGTGTTTGTTGATATTGATGTTGTGGTAAATGTAGGAGAATGTTTCAGAATATTTGTGGACTGTTGGTACTTCGTGTTTGTTGATATTGATGTTGTGGTAAAGGTAGGAGAATGTTCTAGAATATTTGTGGACTGTTGGTATTTCGTGTTAGTTGTTGTCGCCCTCGGATATGAAGGCGACAAACTGCTTTTTGTGCTCTCCAGTAAGCGCTGAGTGCTCTCGGTCATTTGAGATGTTCTGGGGGGAATCGAGGCTTCTGTTCCCATCTTTGATGACGATGCCATTGCTATCGATGCACTTGTCATTTTCGCTATTGAACTGCTTTCCATCGCATCAACGGTTGTCATATCACTGGTTACTTTGACTAAAGAAGCAGTTGGCCCGGTTTTACTTT